GTTTCAAATTATTCGGTAAACCGAGTTGGGAGAAAAGTTTTATAAACAAAACCTCTTCGACGTCACCTTAAGGGCGTTAAAGAAAAGTGTCTCATTCGAGATCGACCGATTCGAGGGGGGTCTTCACTTCACCTTAAGGTCGGGTTTTTCCTCTTCCGTAGGTCCGTTCCATAAACCAGGATAAACAGTTAACTGTAAACGGGGTTTCCGCCCCCGCCCCCGTCCCGGGAGAGCACTTAAAGGGGAAAAACGAGCAAGACGGGGCGAAGTGTGCGGAAACGTGGAAAGTGCACGTGTAATTGATGCTGGCGTGCTTTCCGCGTCTCCCTTTTCTCCGGCTCTCCCCGAAAAGCAAAGAACCCCCCCAGAAAAGCGTGGAGAGAGAGAGAGAAAAAGAAATGAAAGGTGGAGGACTTATCCGGCTCGTGGGGAAACCTCTTCATTTTTTATTCCCCACCTTTCAGGGGGAATTAAGAACAGAGACGGAAGGAAGAGCTTCGCCTCGCTTCGAGACTTCCTTAAGGTGATGTGAAAGTGGCGTCGAAGAGGTTTCGTTTATAAAACTTTTCTCCCAACTCGGTTTACCGAATAGCTTGAAACTTTACAACGTGAATAGGGAGACTATAAGGAAGGTCCTGAAACTCATGAAATTTCAATTATTTTCAAATTTCTTTATAGGTATTTTAAAAATAGTATATAAAAAATGAAATTTCAGGACCTATCTTAGGGTCTCCATATTCACGTTTTAAAGTATGATACGATTTGAGACACCCAGTTCCATGAAAAGTTTTATGAACGATTGAGCTTTCGAATGACACTTTCACATCCCCTTAACGATCGAGGGTATTTCTTTCGGCCTTACTTTTCCCCAATATTCGCTTGCTCTCTCTCTCTCTTTCGACATTAAAAAAAATAAATCCCACGAGCGAAGCGGACCGATCAAAGGACATTCGATGAAAATGCCGAAAACCGACCGCACTGACCGCGAAATTCAAAACCTCGTCCGAATCGAACTTCCGGCAAATTGAAAATCGTAAAGCAAACGTTTCATGTCGATTGTTCGGTAAAAAATTGAAAAAAAAAAAAGGAAAGAAATTATTTCCTTGAAAGGAAACATTTCATTTTATGGAGATGTATTTTCTCTCTGTAGAAATCCAGTGATAAATGGAGTCTAGAGGGAGAGAGGGAGAGAGAGAGAGAGAAAGGCCGTCCTTGCGAGCATTATAAGGACATTATAAGGACAATGTCCTCTCGAAGGCATGCACTCCGTCCCTGACCCGTTCCTTTCTTTTTTTTTTTCTTCTTCTCTTTCCTCTTTTTCATTCGTACTTTTCCTTTTATTTCTCCCCTCTTTTTCTCGTCCTCGTATATAATCGAAAGCGTCCTGTGGGAACCATGGGCGTTCTTTCGAGAGCTTCCGGTCCGCCATCTTGGAGAACAATGCGCCGACGATTTCGGAATAATTAGACGATGCTGCACTTTTTTCCTGGGATTTTCCACATTTTCGCTTGAAAACGGAATGAAACGTAAATTTGAAGCGGAAGTGATTGCAATTTCTCCGAGAATTGCAGTTATCATCGGCATTACGACAATTGGTATTAAATACTCCTCTGAGAAAATAATAAATAAATAAAAAAGGCCTGGTAAATCTCATTACAAATTTAAATCCCCACATTTCTCTGGTCTTTCCATAAATTTCGACCGGGAGTAATTGTAATTCCTCATAGAATTGCAGTCATTATCATCGGCATTACGACAATTGGTATTATATACTCCTCTGAAAAAATAATAAATAAATGAAAAAGGCCTGGTAAATCTAATTACAAATTTAAATCCCCACATTTCTCCGGTCTCTCCATAAATTTCGACGGAGAGTAATTGCAATTCCTCCTAGAATTGCAGTCATTATCATCGACATTACGACAATTGGTATTAAATACTCGTCGGAGAAAATAATAAATAAATAAAAAAGCCTGGTAAATCTAATTACAAAATTAAATCCCCACACTTCTCCAGTCTTTCCATAAATTTCGACGGAGAGTAATTGCAATTCCTCCTAGAATTGCAGTCATTATCATCGACATTACGACAATTGGTATTAAATACTCCTCTGAGAAAATAATAAATAAATAAAAAAAGCCTGGTAAATCTAATTACAAATTTAAATCCCCACACTTCTCCAGTCTTTCCATAAATTTCGACGGAGAGTAATTGCAATTCCTCCTAGAATTGCAGTCATTATCATCGACATTACGACAGTTTGATCAGCATGTAGGGATCGTTGTGAAATATATCCGTGAATAGAAGGTAATGGAGGATTCAGGAATAAAGAGAGAAGGGGGAAGGATTTCTCGGATAATAATTACCGGCAATTTCTGTACTTGGCATATTGTAAACCGTATTATGCACCATCCCCCCTCCCCCCGGAAATGCATCCCCCCCATGCAAATGAAATCGCAAACAACGTTGGTCATCTCGTTAATGATTGTTTACGTCGGTTTAAATAGTTTTCAATACAGCTCTTGATTGGATTGGAGGAAAGTGAGGTTATGGAGGCGGTTTGTAAATTACATACATTTCGATATAGAGAGGTAAACCAAATTTGTACAGAATTGATGCGACAATTTAAATTGCACCGTTAATATTATTCCTAAATTTTGCACGTTATTATTATTATTATTTTTTCAAGTTAACTTTGGACTGTAATTATGAATTTTATGCGAAGACTTACTTACTTTGATAACCATAAATATTTCCTAGGTACGTCAATTGGAATTTCCGCGGAAGACAAGACGTCGGATAAGGTTTTATTCTTTTTTTCTTTTTCCTATTTGCTGTAAATTTCTCCGACGTTGAGACGGAAAGGAAGGGTTGGGAAGGGGGGAAATGGCGTCCCATGGGAGTCGCGTAACTTTTTGAAGCGAGGGGAGGGAAGGGTTGCGACGTTTCGGCGATAGAAGAGGCAGGTTGACATCCGATTCGTGTCTGAAGGCCCAGGGGGTAATTGTATGCACGGGACTCGAGAGAGGGAGGGTAGAGTGCGAGTGCGAAGCAGAGGGGTAGATAGAGGCAAGCGGAAGTAAGAGAGAGACGTGGGGATAGGGACTACCGTAAGCTCGAGAGGGAAGCAATGGATGGAGTATGCGGGTGCGAGGCAGAGGAGTTGATAGAGGTGAGCGTGAGTGCGAGGGAGAGGGAAAGATACGGGCGAACGCGAGAAGCAGTGATGTAGGATGCGGGCACGAGAGGGAAGAGGCAATGGGCGGAGTATGCGGGTGCGAGGCAGAGGGGTAGATACAGCTCGGCGTGAGGGCAAGGGAGAGAGAAAGATGCGGGCCACCGTAAGTGCGAGAGCGAAGAGACGGGACGGATCATGCGGGTGCGAGGCAGAGGGGTAGATAGAGGCGTGCGTGAGGGCGAGAGAGAAGCGTAGAGACCAAGAGACAGACACCATGACTGAGCAAAAGGAAGAGAGTAGACTGGAAGCAACAGTTAGGCAAAAAGAGACAGCTCTTTGACGCGGCGTCGCCCAAGTTGGATGCCTTCTTTAGAAAACTGGCTTTTTCAGACGTAATGCGACCTGCCCCCGGCCATTTTTTTTATTTGCAACTTTCAAGTTTTGACTTCCCTTGAAGAATTCACGTCTTCCGGCATCGACGAGAAACTCCGTTTATTTTACATTAATTGTCTACTTCCGCGCTGATTATTCGCTCTTCTATTTTTCTTCCAATTATAATGTTGAGAGTTGCGTGCCGATTACTTTTCTTTCCCTTTTTTTGCCTAATTAAAATTGAAGAGGCTCGAGAATTCATTTTCGCTTTTATTTCTGTTTACTTCGAGAAGTGTTCGTCTTTTTATGTTATTCGAAAATGTATAACTGTTCCTGTTCGTTTTATCGTTTTAATGTCCAGACTGGGACTCGTTTGGAAGCGGACGTTCAAAAACGCATTTGCGAGTACGGTTTAGAAATGCAAAATGCAACGCATCTTCCAAACGGAATGAATAACGCAAAGCGACGAAGGAGCTTTCTCGATTAATATGGATTTATGTATTCTGAGAATTAGAATCGCTGCCTCAAAGACTCGCAATTTCTTATTAAATATTTACCCTTCCTTGAAATTAAACACATTTGGAAATGGACATCTAACAAGGACCTGAGTCCTGAGGAATTTCCGTGTCCCTGGATCTTCCCGAAAATGTTGAAGGAATGTGCGGTCTCCCCAGGAGTACGTTTCTCTCTCTCGCACTCACGGGTTTCCGCATATAGGCGTCCTCGTCTCTCTCGCACCTCTTCGCTACGGCGCTAGAAGGGAAAAGTCACGCCGAGGAGGACAGCGAGATGCGGGCGCCGTGGGTTGGAGAGAGAAGGAGCGCGCCCCTGGTGGCGAGGCATTGAGACGCGGCTACGGAAGAGGACGGCGAGATGCGGGTACCGTAGGTTAGAGAGAGAAAGAGAAACTCACATCAGCCGGCAGCTGTGAGAGCGAGAAACGCCCGCTAAGAGCGAGGAGGACGCGGCGATGCGGGTGCCGTGCATTAGAGCGAGAGAGGCCGAGCGGGGGAGGGAGAGGGCCCTCCCCTATAAATACGAGCCGGGGAGGGGATAAGGCAGCTGTTTGCCCGCCGAGGTTGAGTCGCGTCGTACGTGGTCGTCGACCAACAGTGAACTCGACCGATTCCCTTACGCAGGCGTACTCGGGCCTCAAAATATTACGCGAAATCCGTTCCGAAAAGTGGCCGACATTTCTCCCGGGAGATTTTGAAACAAAATATAAACCTATCTCCGCGTTCTAAACAAAGTTTATTGGAAGTCTTGGAGCCTTTGCGCAGACGCGTTGACTTCGCGCCTTTCGGAGTTACTACTCCCAACCTAACCTGAAAATTTATTTCTTTTTTCTTTCACAAACTATAGAATATTTAATTCAAATCATTTTTAAACCTGGGAAGCGTGGAGGTGAAAATGTGAAAATATGAAAAAGTGAAAATGTGAAAATGTAAAAATATGAAAATGCGAAAATGCGAAAATGCGAAGGTTAACCGGGGATTGAAAACGGCTACGCATTACGCGGGCGTATTACTTGGCGTCGTTGAACGCCAGTGAAAGTTACTATGAAATATTGAAAAGAACTAGGTGGTCGCGCGCATGCGCAATGGACGTTTCGAGAAGCGAATCCCAATATCATATAACGCTAAATGTATTTTTAAATGTCTTTTTACGATATGGAAGAAATCTCCGCAGAGGATCTTTGCGATCCTCTGAAAGAATAAAAGTAGAATAAACGGAAGAAGAGGATAATTATCGGAGAAGGAAGTGCAATTTAAGGACAAAGACGAGAAACCGAGTTGAGGAGAATTAACCCTTTAGCTAAAGAACGCCTAAAGCCGTCCGACGTTTGGTCCAATATCCCCTGCCCGGTCAGACGAATTTCGCCCTTATGTCGAAATGACTCCTTGCTCAAAGGGTTGATGGAAAGAAGCGGGATAAAAAGAAAACCGAAGATTAAAATGAAAGTAATAGAGAGTGAGCGATGAAAAATTAGAATCGAGGAGTAGGAGAAAGGGGAGAGGATTTTTTAATCGGGTTTCAGGAGTGGAAGAGAATTTTCCAGCGCTGTTATCAGCTGGATGTAAATCGCAATTTTCTTATCAGCTGGATGAAATTTGGCTTTTACTGGAAAAAGGATTCTCTTCGTGGTTAAACGCCCCGAGGGACCTGCAAATGATGAAGTTTAATTGCACTGTGATATTCTACGGAGGTACGGAGTTCATTAGTCAATATACATTTCGGAATGGAGATATTTCAACATGTCGAGGGAATAACCGCGACGTCAGGTTCTCCGGGAAACACGAACGCCATTTTTATTAATTTACTATGAATAATATTCCCGAATTATTAGCTGGAGGAATAAATTCCCGGCGTTTTAATTATTTTACGATAAGGACTATTATTAGGCTGAGAAATAAATTTCCGCCGTTTGAATCGCTTTACGTTACGTTTTTTTAGAATTAAATTTTTCACGATGTATTTTTATTTTAATTACGTTACGCCACGTTTTTTGTTTTTTTAGAATTAAATTCTTCACGATGTATTCCAGAAAATTATTTCCGCTTGGAAGTCTTGACGACTCTTTTAAATAAGCTAAATTTATTTAATTTCGTTACATTACATTTCTTTATAATTAAATTGTTGCTCCCAATGTATTCCAGAAAATTATTTCTTCGTGGAAGTTTTGACGATTCTTTTAAATAAACTAAATTCATGATTGTCGAATAAATTGGCCGAATTGATTGGAAAAATTAGGAATGAATTTAATTAGATGTTTAATGATTATTCTAAATTAATCGTCGGAAGGGATTGAACGATTATTTTTATAATTAGATTATTGTTCACGATGTATTCCAGAAAATTATTTCTGCTTCGAAGTCTCGACGATTTTTTTAAATAAGTTGAATTCATTTAATTATGTTACGTTAAAAACTGTTATTAGGTTGAGGAATAAATTCCGTTCATAAAGTGGGTATTTCTTTCCGAATTTTTTTCGGGATAGGTCCGTCCGAATCGATGTCCTTTTTTTATTTCTCAACTTTGATAAAGTGCATCTCTGAATGACTCTCTTGTTTTTCTCCCCGAAAAGGGAACGGATGAGTCCGATCAAAACGCGTTTATCGTCCCCGGAGGAAGTAGATTGCATGTTATCTCGGCGAGATAAAATTACAGATAAAATCGGCGGAAAGAACGAGATAAGCGAAAGAAGGGAGAGAAACATAGAATGACCCTTTTATATCCCCTTAAAATGGAGAAAATACAGAAAAATCGTTTGACTTTTCAAATGTTTCGATTTTCCCGCGCGACTCGATAGTTCATAAATAATTCGGAGTAATTAAAGAACGAGATAAGCGAAAGAAGGAAAAGAGAGACAGAATGACCCTTTCGTATTCCCTTAAAATGGAGAAAATAAAAAAAAATCGTTTGGCTTTTCAAATATTAATTTTTCCCGCGCGACTCGAAAGTTCATAAATAATTCGGAGTAATTAAAGAACGAGATAAGCGAAAGAAGAAAAAGAGAGACAGAATGACCCTCTCATATTTCCTTAAAATGGAGAAAATAAAGAAAAATGGTTTGATTTTTCAAATGTTTCCATTTTCCCGCCCAATTTGAAAGTTCATCAATAATTCGGATTAAAATGGAGAAAATGAAGAAAAATCGTTTGACTTTTGAAATATTTCCAATCTCCCGCGCGTCTCGGAAATTCCTCGATAATTCCCGTTTCTCCGGGATATTTGACCGAAAAATTGTTTTCTCTTGGAAAATAAAAGGAGGGGCCGTCGAAGGAGTTTAGCGATTGGTTATTTCGCGAGCAAACAGAGGGAAAAAGGTAAACAGGGAATCGCGGGGGCGAGGCGGAAGCGCAAAATGGCCGCGGGCGCGTTTCCGGTCTCTTTCAGCCGCCTTCCGTTGTGCCAGCGGCGAGACGTGAATGGCCCTCTTATCCGGATATATTGCTTTTTCAACATGGCGGCATCAGTGGCTGTTCGTCTTTGCGAGTTCCATTACTCTCGGAATGAGGTCCGAAGAGCCAATCCGAGCGCTCGTTTCTTTCGAGGAACTCGACCTCGAGCTGCACCCCCAAACTCCGATTAAACGAGACTCGGCCGCCATCTTGTTCCGGCTAACTACCACATTTAGCGGCTTCCAAATTATCATTCCAATTTCGAGGCGATACACTTGAAAATGGAGAAAAATAGTTAAAGGGAAAGTTACTTGGAAGAAAGTAAGGCACAATTTTTGTTTGAACGTTTTTGCTGTAGCATGCTCGTTTCGAGTAGAATTTTCATTTTTATCGACCTCGAGCTGCACCCCCAAACTCTGGTTAAACGAGACTCGGCCGCCATCTTGTTCCAGCTAACTCACATTTAGCAGGTTTCGAACTATTATTCCAGTTTTGAATCGTTATACTTGAAGATGGAGAAAAATTGTTAAAATCAATGTTGTTTGATAGAAAATAATACACAACTTTTGTTTCAACGGTTTTGCTGTAGTATGCGTTTTTGGAGTAGAATTCGAATTTTAAGGAAAGTGGAACTACGAGTTGCCGTATTTAAAGAGGAACGTGGGTTCTAAATTATTGTTGCAATTTTGAGACGTTATTATTCGAAATAAAGTAAAATGTTTAAAATAAAAGTTGTTCGAAAAAGAATAAGGCACAACTTTTGTTAGAACATTCTTACTGTAGCATGCCTGTTTGAAATAGAATTCGAATTTTGAGTGAGGTATAACTATGCAAATTTACTACTCTTGGGTAAAGTTCGCCGATGGAAGCGCTTGTTGCAATTTGAGTTTCGAATGAGATGAAACTATAGGAGCTCCCGGAATCGAGGAGCTCATTATATTTTGGAAGCTCTACCTTTGATCCTAATCAAATTCCGTTTAAACTCTCGATAATACGCTCTCATAAACGAGATTTTCTCGGTCACGTGACGCCGTCATCTTGGATCGAGTTTAACGAACGACGCTCGCTTTCAAGCATTATCAAAAGTTTACGCCGTAATGACTCGAGATGAAGGAAAATGTTTCAAACAAAAGTTGTTCGGAGTAACATAGGACACATCTCTTGTCAGAAACGTTTCTTTACAGCTCGCTTAGTTAGCGCGATATTCTCACTTTAAACAACGTAAAATGTTGTACAATCGACTCGACTCGATATAAATCGAGGCCCATCGCTTAAACGGAGAAGATTGTTGCAAAATCGTATTTACAAAAGTTGTTCAAAGCAATGTAATGCACACGTTTTGTTGAGGGTGTTTTTTTTATATTACTTGTTTCTGAAGCGATATTGCAGGGATAAGGACTCGCTTGGGCGAGACCTGCAACAATTGTTATCCCTTCCTTAGGGAACGCAATCGTCGTCGCTTATTGTCTTGTTTATTCGGTGACAACCTTGTTACATTGTAATGGCCCCTAATTTGCATGTTAACCTTTTTAAGCTCAGCCTTCCTGCTCGAAGCCCTCTCGGAGCTTAATCGACTTATTGGTTAAGCCAAGCTCGATTATCTCCCCCTCGATCTTGTACTTTTCCCCTGTAAGAAAATGTCTTTTCTGAGAATAGTCTTCGCGACCATGTCCCTCTTTTATTCCAAAGTTTTGTTCATTTAATATCATAAAAATAAAATTTCACGATCATCGCGTTTTTCCTTAGGACCTCCATAATTTCGTGATTAAGTTTCAAATAATTCGGTGCACCCAATTTGGAAAAGAGTTTTATCAATATTTTGGTATATATGTAACCCTTTCATATCACCTTAAATTTGGTTAGGCTCGGTGAGGTTAGGTTAGGTTGGTTTTGGTATGTGTATATGTAACCCTTTCATATCACCTTAAATCTGGTTAGGCTCGGTGAGGTTAGGTTAGGTTGGTCCAGCCGCGGCGTCTCGAGCATTGTTGCGACTCGACGTCGGATTGTTGGGATACAACGGACGCGGCCAATAAACGGGCATTGTCGCGAGTAATCGGTACTAACGGCCGAGATTGCTCGCCGATTGCTCGCCCATTGCTCGTCCATTGCTCGTCCATTGCTCGCCTATTGCTCGCCGGAGGGCCTTCTCCTTCCTAATGGCCAATTGTCACCGCGAATTCAATCTCCCGCCCGCAAGGCGCCCCTACTAAATAATAAATTACCTCTTACACTCTTATACTCTTATACACGTATACACGTATACACGTATACACGTATACACGTATACACGTATACACGTATACTCTTACACTCGTATACACGTATACTCTTACACTCGTATACACGTATACTCTTACACTCGTATACACGTATACTCTTACACTCGTATACACGTATACTCTTATACTCTTATACTCATACTCTTATACTCTTACACTCTTGCACTCTTACACTCTTACACTTTCACGTTTTATACAACTTACACGTTTCAAAGTTTGCAACGCGAATATGGAGACTGTAAGGAAGGTCCTACCACCCATAGAATTTCAATTGTTTTTTTAATTTAGTATAATAATTGACATTTTTGAGAATACCGTCACCTGACGATATTGCATCGCATGTATAACAAACAACTTTCGCCTTCGAGAGTTATTACAACTTCGTGGCGTTAATATCCTAGATAGAAAAAAATGTTTCAGACAAAAGTTGTCGAGAATGATCTAGTGAACAACTTTTGTATGAAACGTTTATGTCTATTACGATTAATTACCGCGGAATATAATTTTTTTGGTGGACGTTTTCAATATCTCGTGAGGGAGAGCTGTTGCGGAAAATTAAGTGAAATATTTTTTATGGAATCGCTAAGGAATTTTAATCGACTACCGAGACGTAATTGTAAAACTCTAAATGAAGGAAAATGTTCGGAAGAAAAGCTGCGGGGGAAGAAAATACAAATTACATGGTTTTTATATTTAAAAATAAAGTACTTTTCTCCGTTACGTTTACATGAATTTTTCGCGAACTTTGGGAACGTTTTGAGAGCTAGGATCGTTAAGGTGGAATTTTTGTGGAATTGCGAAAGGAGGAAAGTTTTAATTGACAACCGGGCCGAGGATTTCCGTCCCTCCCGGGAAATCCGGGAAAGCCGGAGAAACTCAAAATGGCGTTCGTGTTCCCCGAAAGAGGAAATAATGGAGAAGGAAAGACCTCGTGGTTCTCCTTTGGCCTCGAATTTCCCTCTCAAATCCGATTTTCCTCTGTTTTTTTAGCTTTACTCGGCCAAAGAGGATTTTTCCCGGTGGACTCGTTTCGAAGAATGCCGACATAGGAAGAAATATTCTTCCAAAAGTGGATATATAATATTGAGAAATTATTTACATATTTTCGAGGGTATCCATATCCGATAGCGATGATAAAGTAGGAATCTTCTTCTGCTCTTCTCGTGGGATAATTTCGAAAAAGGAAGGAAAAATTTATTCACGCCCAAGATTGGATGTTGGATAAATAAAAGACTAAAGATATCAAGAAAACGTTGAAAGAAAAAAGTGGGAATTATTTCCACAACATTTTTTTATATACATATTGATAATGGACTTTATGTGAAGAAATGCTCTATTTGTATCCAAAGTTGGATTAATGATAATCATTAAGAATTTCGAGGATTATGGATAATGGAGTGCCTCAAAGTAATGAAAATAAAGGAGATGCAATTATTTTTCCTAACCAAAAATATGACTACCTGATTATGGACAGAAATTTGGTTTTAAAATTAAGGATCGATATTATTGTTAATCGAAAGTATTAATGGACATATGATTAATATTAATACCGTAGCGATGATAACTTGAGAAGGGATATTTTATTATCCACGTTTAATTGTATGAGGATACCCAAGATTATTAATAAGTTAATTGATAATATTAAAGGAGGAGCCAATTATTAAGAGGAATTAATTGGAACTCACCAAAGTCTCCAAAGATCATTAAAGACGATGAAAAGTGGAGATGATAAATGAACGAGTGATATTAAGGATCCGAGGGGTCATCCAAAGATCATTAAGATATTAATATAATTTGATGGTTAAGGATACTTTAATTAACTGGCATTATGATTACCCTATCGTTAATGTCAATATAATGGATAACGATATCGATAAGGAGTCGTTTTTTTGATAACGAGTGATCAATGCACAGAAACATCAGCGGGACAATCAAAGGATTGCGAATGAGAAAAAATTTGAGGTCATTAAGATTTGGACCCCGTTTTAAGGATATCCAAATCATTAAGGTCATTACTTTAGATATCAGAGATCTGATTAAAAAAATAAGTGAAGCCCCGAAACATCAGCGGGACGATAAAAGGATTACAAATGAGAGGAAATTCAAGGATCATTAAGGATCACGATCCACTTTAAGGACACCAAAATCGAGGTTAAGGTACCAAAAATCGAAATTAAGGACACCTAAATCGAGGTTGAGAATACCAAGATCGAGATTAAGGACACCAAAATCGAGGTGAAGGTACCAAGATCGAGGTTAAGGCACCAAAATTGAAATTAAGGACACCAAAATCGAAATTAAGGACACCAAGATCGAGGTTAAGAACACCAAGATCGAGATTAAGGACACCAACATCGATGTTAAAAATACCAAAATCGAGATTAAGGCACCAAAATTGAATTTAAGGACACCAAAATCGAGGTTGAGAATACCAAGATCGAGATTAAGAACACCAACATCGAGGTTAAAAATACCAAGATCGAGGTTAAGGCCCCAAAATCGAGGTTAAAGACACCAAAATCGAGGTTAAGAATACCAAAATCGAGATTAAGGACACCAAAATCGAGATTAAAAATACCAAGATCGAGGTCAAGGCACCAAAATCGAGGTTAAGGACACCAAAATCGAGGTTAAGGGCGCTCCAAATCCCAGATGAAACTCCGAAAATCCAGTTCATCCAGCCCAAAGATGGAGCTCCTATCCCGGAGGACAACCAACGGAATATCCAGCCTGAAGAGGTCGAGGTCCTTCCGGGCGTCGATGCGATTGGTCACGAAAATCCGAAACCACGCGAGTCTCCGGTTGACCTCGGGCTTTGACCTCTCCCCGGTGTCCTTGACCCCGGAAGGACCAGGGCCAAGGTTCAACGACCTCTCGACGACCTTAAATCAGGAGCCAAGGGCGCCCACGAAGGTCAAGGACGCCATTTCGAAAATGAATTCGAGGAGTCCTAGCGAGGATAAGGGTAAGGATATGAAGAGAGGTCAGAAGACCTCGAAGGACATCCAGGATAAAAAGGACGGCAAGATGAAGTTATCATTTGCTGACAGGATCATGAGACGAAGAAAAGGACGAAGACAGGAGGAAGAGAAAAAGGATGTCCTCGAGGTATCCGAGGTCGATAAGGTCCCTGGAAGGATCGAGGAAGAGGTCACTCGTTTGGATGTCCTGGAAAGGAAGATGTCCTGTGGATTTCTCGTGGGGGACATGAACTCTTATGAAAATCCTACGTTCTGTTTGGATAGTTCCTCGGAGGCGATTCTTGAGGACGAGGACGAGGACGAGGGTCGAGGATCACGTGGGAAGGACATCCCATCCAGGATGTCCTCAAGCGGCACTTTTCGGTTAAGAAAGGACCTCGAAGATGAGGCGACTTTTCCAGAGGAAGTTTGGACTAAATCTCTGGATGAGGTCAATTTCGGGAGGTCCTGTGGGAGGGAGGATCGCAGCATATCCTCGAAGGATATCTCGTGGAGGTCCGAATGCGGACTTGGAAAATTCCAGGACGAGGACGATGAAGTCGGGAGGGTCGAGAGGACGTCCTGGAAGGTCGATAAAGTTCCAGGAAAATATGGAAAAGGAACGAAAGGTATCACACGTGGGACGTCCTTCGAAATTCCTGGAATCGAGGTCGACGAAAAACTGGATAAATGTTTAAGAGTCCTTGAGGTTAAAATCGTTAATATCTCACGGAAGAATAATGAGCTGCGAGATAAACTCCGGCTTGCAAGATTTGAAAAAATTCCAGGAATCGAGGTCCTCAAAAATGAGGATAAAGTTCCGAGTGTCGGAAATTGTCAGGACCTAATTGATAATATGCAAAGGGAGAATAATGCCTGTTATACGATACGAGATAAACTCCAGAATGCAAGATACGAGAAAATTCCAGGAATCGAGGTCTTCAAAAATGAGGATAAAGTTCCTAGCGTCGGAAATTGTCAGGACCTAATTGATAATATGCAAAGGGAGAATAATGCCTGCTATGCAATACGAGATAAACTCCGGCATGCAAGATTCGAGAAAATTCCAGGAATCGAGGTCCTCAAAAATGAGGATAAAGTTCCGAGCATTGGAAATTGTCAAGACCTAATTGATGATATGCAAAGCGAGAATAATGCTTGCTATGCGATACGAGATAAATTCCGGCATGCAAGATTCGAAATAATTCCAGGAATCGAGGTCCTCAAAAATGAGGATAAACTCTCCCTGGATAAGAACCTTAAAGATAAGGTCGATCGTATCCCACGGGGGAATGATAGCCATCATAGGGAGCGAGACGAATCGCTGCCTGCAGAATTCCTGGAAATTCCTGGAATCGAGCTCGACAAAAATCAGGATAAATCCTCGCGGATCCTTAAGGATAATATCCCGCAGGATGAAACTATCCTTAAAAAATCCAACAACGAAACAAAAAATATATCCCAAGACGATCCCGAAAATGAAGTCGACCAAAATCAGGATAAACATTCGCGAACGCAGATCCTTAAGGATAATATCCCGCAGGAGGAAAATATCCTTAGAAAATCCAACAGCGGGTCAAGGAAAATCCACCATTCAAAATCCCTGGAAATTTCCCGAACCGAGGTCGAGGAAAACCAGGATAAGTTCTCGCAGGACTTTAAGGATGACGTCCCTCGGGATATCCGGGACTTCGGCGGAAGTAGTCCCGGATATCCTTCGAGATCGAAAACTCGAACTGTCGACAACATCGCGAATTTTCTGGGGGGAAGAGGGACCAGCTTCAGGACGAAGAAAAGTGGCAGGAAGAAAGTCCTGAAGAATCTCTCCAAGGACGCCGAGTCGACCAATCAGCATCGCTCTATGGTCACGACCACTTCCGGTTCAAGTATGTTTCCGAAATACCGGAAGAGAATGGATGAAATGTCCAAATGTCGATTTTCAAATTATCGCCAAACTTCCTTTTCAAAATATCTACCGGAAAAAAATGGACGATACGTTTTTCGGAAATTTTACCCATTTTATAGATATCGATGATATATATATATTTTTTTTCATTATTTGAAAATGTCCAAATGTCGATTTTCAAATTATCGCCAAACTTCTTTTTCAAAATGTCTACCGGAAAAAAATGGACGAAACGTTTTCCGGAAATTTTACTCACTCTATATATATCGATATTTTTTTTAATTTCATAATTTGAAAATGGCCAAATTTTTATTTTGAAATTACTGCGAAACTTNAGATTTATACTTTGACGTATGATGTATGGACGATTTTTAATACCCGTCACTTATAACAATTGGTTGCACAGGACAGATTGATTACAGTTCATTATTTAAATGGAGTGTAATTTTCAGTTAAAAAAAATCGGATATTTAAGCCTCGCTGAGATTCAGATATTTTATGAACATTAAAATTCACCATTTGTTCATAAGCTACGCTCGGGACAAATTTAACAACTTTTTAACACGATTTCGGTTAAACACAGCCCCGAGGAATTCGTTAACAAAATTCCAGCTGAATGACATTCAAAAACAATTATAGCGTAATTATTGTTGCGGCGTCAACTTCCAACCCGGTGATAGAGAATTAACATTTATCCGCTCTAATTAACATTTATCCCGGGAGGCATTAATTAATTCATAATTAAGTTGGTGAAACGATTATGGGCTATCTTTGTTGGTCGCCAAGTTTTTAATTGAAAAGCGCTTAGATGGGAAGAAAATTCATTAAATGCATTTTAATCGAATAACTTTCTTCCCGATATACAGCTACCCCTCCCTCTTGTTAATTAACTCTAACCGGAATTATTTAAATTATTAAAAGTACCCCAGATATATCGCAAACTCTTAACAAAAAAAATTAACAAATTTCTTCCCATTTTGGAGGGAGAATATTTTTTTCCATATTTATCACACCATTTTACAGAGATAAACAATTAGAATAAAAATTCAGGTCCATTGTTTCGATTTTTTAGTGACCATCAATATCGCCTACTTTTTTTTTTATAACATTTACTTTGTTTTTACGAAATTGCAAAAATGTCTGACGCTTTTAAATCGTTGCAAAAAATCCTGAAAAATATTTATTACCATTTGCATGATTTTAAAAATCAGATTTTTATGCGACCATCAAATCGTCGACTTTGTTTATTGCCTGGCACCGATTTTTTAACAACATTTACGTATAATTTCGTTTTTGCGAAATTGCAAAAATGTTTGCCGCCTTTAAATCATTCCAAAAAATCCTGAAAAATATTTATTACCATTTGCATGATTTTAAAAATCAGATTTTTATGCGACCATCAAATCGTCGACTTTGTTTATCGCCTCGCACCGATTTTTTAACAATATTTACGTATAATCTCGTTTTTACGAAATTGCAAAAATGTCTGCCGCCTTTAAATCATTGCAAAATATTTATTGCCAATTTTGTGGTTCTCAAAATTAGAGAATATCGTCGATAACGTCGATTGATTTGGTCTCAACGAATTTGTTGCAACTGAATAACGAACAATTTTTGCGCTTAACTTCCAATCGTGTCTTTTCTTTTATTATTTCCTGCGCTCGATTTAGAGTAGCCGTTTATTTTTCAACTTTTGTTTCTCCTTTCTTGAGCAGAACTGCAATCCCGACAAGGAATGGAGTTCCTGGAGGGTTTTGGAAAAAAGAAACAGCCATCAAATCCGACGCAGTTGACCCTTATCAACCCCTTATCAGCACAGCCTTCCCTCAACATACACCTGCATGGTATCTCTCGTTACATTTTTATATTTTTATACGCTTACATTCTTCCACTTTAATATTATTACATTTCCCTACGAACATATTTACATGTTTCTACATCTTTATATTTTTCACGTTTTTATATTTTTATATCTTTCCTCCGATTTTCACTTTTCCGCTTTGTTCGCCTCTCCTTCGTCTTTGTCCATTTCTCGAGGGTTTAAAAAAAAAATGATATTCCGGGAGGATAAATCGCTTTTCAGCGATGAAACGGATAAATAAATGCGAGGGTTTCGGATGTTTAGAAAGTGTTAGTTAATAAACTTTGTCATTTGTTGTTACAGCACTTTTTGCCGCGGTCGAGCACGGCCAGCTGGACAAGGCGAGAACGATTTTGGAGTTGAAAGGGGTAAATGTAAACAGGTGAGAATTTTCATTCCCTTAAGGCGACATGAAAGGGTTATTCTATATGTACGAAACGCCCAAATATTTACCAAACTTTTCTCCAAACTGGGTGCACCGACTCATTTGAATCCTTAGTACATTATCATAAAAAATGAAAATAATTATACAATTTTTTCCTAATTGAAATTTGGACCTGCCATAAAGCCTCCATACTCACCTGATAGCATTTAAAACAATTCGGTACACCCAATTCGGCGGAAAATGTCATGCCACCTTAATAGTTCATACTTTCATATCCCCTTAAAGGTTAATACAAAATGGATGAAGAGTTGTTGTCAACAAATAAACAATATTCTAGTTTGCTCAATATAGTGCTGGACATGAATGCCTTTTTACCCCCTTAATGCAGGTTTTCAGAGAGAGCATTTATGTCCGCCACTGTACCGTATTGTTAGTGTTGTACAGTGGTGGATATAAATGCCTTCCTATAATTCATTGATGACATATGTGTAGGATTTTCATGTCTGTCGGATTCAAGAGGAGAATTTAATTCTTTTTCTAATTTGTTTATATGTTTTTCAGTGTAAATAGCGACGGTTTGTCGCCCCTCGACGTGGCGGTGCTCAGCAACAATAGACCCCTTGCGAAGATGCTTGTGGCCTTCGGTGCACAAGAGGGCAATCAGTGTAAGTCCTGGACACTCTAATTAGAGCATTATTTAATTATTTTTAATTAAAAACACAGTACCTCGAGACGGTCGTCGTCGATCAGTTCTAAAGTTTGACGAGCACCCGCAGGATCAGGATTTAAAAGTTTTTCAGCCCTCGGAGGAACTTCCACCCAGAAAGTCGAAGCTGTCGATAACATGACGGGCTTTTTGAAATGCACTGAATGCACTTTAGATGGATTTAATTCGGCTGTTGCTGCAATTTCTGGAATGGCAGGCAATGCTTCGAGTTGTCGAATCTGGAATTGGGCTTCGATCACCTGATCGAAAGGAAACATGACAGATTTTTGTACATCGGAGATGAATCTGACATCTGGAGCTTCATTGTTTACCAGGGCTTTAAGATTTGGACATTCAAAAAGTGGACGTGTGCTTTGTGATGCTGGTTTTGCCTCATCGAGGAACTCAGTCCTCGGTTAAGTCCTTCACTGAAGATGGATCGTTATAGAGTTTTGTTACTTGTTGAGATTTCTACTTCCATGCAGGTTTTTAGACACTTAGGAACCTTTTTCTTTGTTACAAAATTTGACGTATCATTTGGCATCGCTGCACTTTAGAGAGAAATTATTACGGAGCTTCTTCATCTGCCAAGGTTTTAGATTTCAGCCTTGTCTTCTGAATACCTGAGGAAGTTAAAACGTTTCCATTGTTCTGAAAATAGAGTACCATATTTTTCTTCCCATTTTTGGTCCTTACGCTGGGAAGCAAAGTCCTAAACTCTCCGATGGTCACTTCGCAATCTCTCTTCGGAGAGTGCTCCACTCCGTATCTCTCTGAACTTGTCACTTTCTGGTTTCAGTCGAGTCCCCGGAGTCCCTAGGGACCCACCTGGCGTCGTTGCTCTCGGAAGCGGAACACAGGGTCCAGGAATTGGGAGGAAGCTCTTCCACTGGTGGCAGTGGCTCGTCCCTCCTGGAGCCACCGTCCCACAGGTCCAGCTTTTCTGCACCGCACAATAACCTTACTTGTAGTGGAGGCAATGCCGAAGACAAACAGCTGGCTCTCTGGGAAAGGAGGGCGAGAGCCCTGAGGAAAATGTTGTTGGGATTCGACCAAGCAAGTAAGCATCGAAACACAGAATCCTAACCTGCATCGGTCCACCTTCCGAGGCTCCTAAACAAAAAATTCATTTCGTAATGCAGCACTTTTGTCCTTAATTATAACATTCAAATTATAAAGGACAGAATATAGGTTATAGAAAATAAAATATAAAGAAACCCACAAATGATACCGAGCACTGAATCTCTGTCGTGTCCATCATTGACTCTTCGTGTTACGCCTTAAAGTCCATCCACAAGTAGAAACTATTTTTTGGATTCTTGTTGGAAATTTGAGCGTTACAGATTAATTCATGTTTTTCCAGGACCACCAGACGCACCATTTCTAGTGGCAGTGGATGTGACCGGAACCACATCTGTCAGCGTAAGGTTCCAGGAACCGGAGTCCCACGATTCCCCAATTTGCACAAAGTTCAAAGTCCAGTGGAGCACCAAGGAGGACTTTTCCACGATCTGTGCAGAGAGAGAAGTCCTGGACATGAAGCAACGAGAGTGTAGGGTCGAGAATCTTATCCAGGGGCAGAGATATTACTTCAGGGCGGCTGCTGGGAACCTCAAGGGGTACAGCAGTTTTAGGCCTTCGACGCCTTCCCACGTAACACCAAGCAGTACGTATTACGTTGACCTCCTCTTCTAGAATCATAGATTATGAAGACACTTTGATCATTTGGTTAGAAAAATCTGTAAACCACATAAGCTACGGAGCATCATGTTAGAGAGATCCTTTTTGAAAATCTAGATCTGTTGGTTTCTAAAATATTTGAACATAAAATTGCATCGCATAACCTCACTTGATCAAACTTAGTGAATAGGTTTTTAAACCATGCGAAGGTCCTAATTTTTCCAGAATTGAGGATCCTCTTGAGAACATAACCTTTTCTGTTAAATCTTCTAAAATATTTGCAGGTTCAATTGCATCGTTTAACCTCACTTAACCTAAATTTAGCGCAGGGATCAATGCTTACACTATTCGAAGGTCCCAATTATTAGAAATATGTGTATCCATGTGAGAGTATAACCCTCTCTGTTTTGTTTTTAAATTATCTAAAGGTTGGAGAGACGTGGATGGCAGAACTCCCAGGTTCGCAGGTCGACTGGAGCAGCTCGACACACTTTTCACCGACATCAGGGGCCCGGAGTACACCCAGGAGACGCCAGCAGTCCAACGACGCAACCACAAGAAAAAGACGACGATAAAGCAGCTCTTCACGGCCACCAGCAAGTTCCAAAAAAATCTAAGACGTGGGGTGTTCCTGGCCTGCCTGCTCTACCACGAGGACAAGGTGCTGGTCACCAACGAAGACTTCCTGCCAGTCATCGAAGTCGATGAGACCTATCCCAGCTGCATCTACAACGATTTTCACTGGCTGATGAAGGTTGCCTGCACCTGGGACGATGTCAAAACTCTCCGACAGGACATGGAGAAGAGCCACAGTAGCTCTACGAACCACTTCCGAATAAAATTACTGCAGGCTGCGGCTCAGATGCAGGTGTGTTCCTAGTTTCTTATTAACTTATTATTAACTGCAGATTACTTGGCAAAGCAACGTCTTATCACTTTATTAATTATAGGTTACGTTACGAGGCAATACATTGTTGCTTTGTTAATTACTGGTTTTTTAGCGAAACCATATCTTACCATTTTATTAATCGTAGACTACGTAGCAAAGCGATGCCTTCCCAAGTATGCCCAAAATTATTTAACATAACGATTTCTAACGATTTGGTATAAAAATGAAATTGTTATTTAATTACAGGCCGCTCTCTGCATCCAAGACCTGGGCCAGCTGTACCACAAACCGATCAGAGACATCCAGGGTACCCTGGTGTTCTCCACCGTCAACTACGTGGAATCCCCGAAGCTGGTATCGGTGCTCAACAGCAGGTGGCTTCCCCTCAGCAAAGTCATCAAGAAAGTCATCACCCACGAGGACAGCAACGTCGCCGACATCCTGATGGCCAGCATACAGGAGCAGATGACGTACCACCGGGTCAGCAGCATCAGATTGTCCAGAGGACTCTACTTGGGGTACCTGAAGATGCAGAGCAGCGTAGACCTCATCCAGGTCGTCGTCCCGACGAAGGCGCCGAACGTCCTTCCCCACTGCAAGATTCGCGACAATCCTCACGTATCTGCGTACGTTTCCTTGTCTTCTATGATCGTTTTGATGAACAATTTCATATCGCCTTATATCACCCTTTGGCTACTAAGAGACGTTTGGTCCAATATTGCCTGCACGGTCAGACGAATCTCGCCCATATGTCGAAATGGCTCCTTGTTCAAAGCGTTTAAGTGGCGTTGCTCTACGAAGAAGGGATAAAAAGTAAACCGTGGACTTCCATTTCAGCGAAGAGTGGGACTACCTGAAGAGGATGACGAGGGTCCAGATGAGCGACTCCTCGTCCACGCAGGACCTGGAGGAGAAAGAGAACGCGGCAAACGAGATGCAAGGAACGGAGCAACAGAGACTGTTCATCGACCTGGTGTCGGCGACGGCACGTCGACTCTTCGCCTACATGGAGATCAGCCCCGAAGACTCCCTGGTGCACAGATTGTACGACGCGGAGGTGATCGACCTGACGCACGACGTGTCGTTCCTGATCGCGGTTCCGCCTGCGGAAACCGCGTGCTCGGTCCCGGGGACCAGGGAGATCCTCCTGCAGAGGGGCGACCTGCTGTCTTTACCGATCCAGGTCTTCGAGATGGTGCACCTGAACACCTACCAGAAGGACGTGATCAACAGGTACTCCAGGCTCAGCTGCATCCTGGAGCTGGACACGGCGCAGGCGCAGCACAACCACCGGGAGGCGTTTAGCTCCTCGGAGCTGAGCCTGGCCAAGGACAAGCTCACCAGGTTGCAGGACCTCCAGAGCCAGGTCAACGTCGTCTGGAAGGGCGCCAGGTGGCTCATCGACGTCATCACCTTCGCCAGGGATCGCGGCTCTTCTCAGCAGAACGTAGGTTACTCGCTTATTTGTCATTCGGTGCATTTACATTAACTAAGTTGCGTTATTTACGTATACTAAGTTAATTTCTAACGGAGTAAGTCAATCGTTTGTGAAACTTTCTCCGAGCTAGAGGTTCCGGGTTGTTTCAAAGTTCAGAATGTCGATACAGAATCTACGAGGAAGGTCCTGACACTTGTATTGTTCACTTATTTCCTTTCAATTTGTTTAGAAGGGTTTTTTACATTTTGCACATTTTTTTTACAACGATGGGAATACGAAGTCTCGGAGTGAAAATTTAATTCACCTGGAAATCATAGATGGCGCAGGGGGTCCCTCCGCAGTCAATAAGGGCCCCAGAAGGCACGAATCCAGAGGATTTCTGGAGTTTTACTTCGATTTCTTTATAATTATTGTACGAAAACGACAGGTGGAATATGCCATTTGTTACAATACACAATATAATTCGACCCAGCTGTCGATATAAAAACCAACGTCGGCAACGTAGGCATTTAGAAAAATCTCCTTTATCGACGTTGATCGAGTTCCTCGACGTGTTTCACTTCACCTTAACGCTTCGAAGGCTTTCAAGGACTTCTTTCTTTCTATCCACTCTTCCGAGTTACTTTGAAACTCCAGTGAGGTTTTTGTCGCGAAGATTTTTTACATTTTCATGATTTACTATCCTCAGATATCCGCCCAGGCGGCCGGGATTTGCATGAAGCTGCTGCTCAACCTCGACAGGAACAAGAACGGCAACAGTCTGAAGCGCAGTTTGCTCCAGCTGCCGCCGAGGGACCCAAAATTGGTAAAGTCCAGCCCAGGTCGAGGAAGCTGGCCAGGACCCAACATCGCCAACTCCTCGACGAACCTCCTGAACACCGAGTTCAGCAAGAGCGAGCAACAGCTTCCCAGTGGCCAGTACGTGCGGAAGGGGAGCAACAGTTCCAATCTTTCCACCGGCTCCGAGCCGAGCAAGTTCTCCGTCCCGGTCAGCCTGGCTCCAGGTACGGAAGGATACCGAGAGGGTATGACTCCGCAAACGGCTGAAAATGTTCAAATTGATCGTAATGTCTCCCTGTCCCCAGGTCGCGCCTCCAGCCACCACCTGGTGCCGCTGCAGAACGTCAGACTCCCGCCCTCGAAGTCGGAGGACACCCTCTTCCTCGCCAAGTACAAGCACAGCCCCAGGAACCGGTCGGCGACCGTCACCTCCGTCTCCGCCAGCACCAGCCCCCTCCTGGGGGTCAAGCCCATCGTCTCCGGGGGCTCCTTGCCCATCGACTCCTCCTCGCTCGCCATCGCGTCCAGCCGGCTGCGCGTACACGCCAACTCCGACGAGTTCGCCAACCCCGACGTCGGCTTCAAGGCCACCCTGGTCAAGGTTAAGCAACCCAAGCCGACGGCCAGCGTCGCCAGCGTCGCCGCCGTCCCCGCGACGCTGCCGGAGGCGCAGCTACAGGACGCCAAGGACGAGGCCACCCTGATGCCCGCCCCTTCGCCTGGGATCTTGCAGGTGCGAAGATGCTCTTCTTTGGAGAACCTGGAGGAGGAGTAGAGGTCTCCTCAGGAATGGGCAGCGGTGATAACGGGATGCGCACCCTCTGCAGGGTTGATAAGAACAGAGGGAACGGGGAGATGTTTCGCGTCATTGTTTGAAAGGGAGGCGCGGCCCCCTGGCGCCCTCTACCCTCTTTACACCTATGTACAAATTGAAACTACTCTTAAGGGGCGAAATCTTCCTGACCGGTAAAACAGGGTATACGTGGGTGCCGCGTCGTAATCTCAATCATCCACGCGTAACAACTTTATTTCCTATTCGTAGTCTTCTTTCCCAACGTACGTAGACCCTGATACTAATTATGAAACTTGAATTATCGCTGCCCATTCTTGCCGACCTCGGTAAATAATTTCCCTGATGTCGCAAGGTGTTTCTTTGTAGGGGACTCGAGTCTAGACGAGATTGTAGTTAACGAGAGCGCACGATCATCTAAAAAACCGAAATCCGGAGACTGTAAGCTGCCTGGGATGTTGCTTTCAACTTTTTTCTCTCCGCCAGTGTCGTTTTTTATCAACGTTTCCGTCTTTTTCGCGCGCCAGGCATGAAGATTGGCTTTCTCGTTGCACCTGCCAGCGTCGGATAGATATTTTCACTCTGTTTTCCTGCAAATTCTTTTTCAAATTTAGTCTTCGCTTTCCAGACTCTTTGCTGGCTGCTGGCTAGAAAATAATACTATGGTTGCATTAACATCGAAGGAATTTTAACCAATCTGAATGACTTTCATAACCTATTCTATCTGGAAGCTTATAGAAATTTCTACTGCGTTGGGTGAAGCAGTTCGCAGCTGTTAATTCAATGTTACGGTATATTATGTACAGTTTATGAGTTTAAATATTTGTAATGGACATGAATGACATAGATCGAAGTCATTCAGAAGCATTTACTGGACATCGATGAATATCTTGTATCGTAATTTAAATAATTATGCTTTGGAGAAGCACAACATCCAGCTTCGGACAGTTTACCCAGCGTAGCAGAATGGTCTGAAACTCTTTCTCTATTTGGTTTTTTAATCAACACTAAATGAAATAATATTAACATCGAAGAGCATGATCTCACCAGGCGAATATTGTGAGCAATCTTATCGGAGTCAATGTTTCGTGGCAAGTGAGATGGAATGTAACGCTAACCTCATCGCTGCAATCATAGCTGCAACTTTCTGTCCTTTGAAGGTCAGTTTTCTGTCTTATACATTCATAACCTATAAAAACAGTAGAAACAAAAATTACTTGGAATAACTTGACGAAGAAATTTTACTGGAAGCATTTCTTTATAAAGTCGAAGACTTTAACAGAAAGTTGAGATTGTTAGGACAGCAAAGAGTGCAGGTACGATCAGCTGATTCAATATGGTGATGCATCGGGTTGCGTAGATTTAAGAATTGTTTCTCAACTTCAGGTGTATGCGGCCTACGAAACCGGCCTGGCTTCTGGAACCAGCTTGAAACTTCACGTGACACCCAGGACTACAGCTCGTGAAGTTGTCGACCTCGTTGTGAAGCAGCTCAACATGGCCGTGGTCTTGAAGGGTCAAGAAGGACCAATTTACACAGCCGATGAGCTGCCAAACTTCTGTCTGGTGGCTGTCATCGGAGCTAGAGAAAGATGTTTAAGAGACGACTTCAAACCACTGCAGCTTCAGAACCCCTGGAAGAAGGGCAGACTCTACGTCAGACAGAAGCAAGATGTCCTCGCAGCTTTGGAGCACAGTAGTAAACACACTGCGTACTTGTAGCACGAAGAAATCCACTTGGAAACAAATACAGCGATCCAGGAAGAGATTTCAACCGAAGATGACCGTGATGGGGAAGAGTGAAGCTGGAATTGAGGCCCGGAGATTGAAATTCAAGGAAATGTCAGGTACGATAACTACGGTCCATGCTGGAAATATTTACCTTACGGTGAAGTTGTGGCGGATAAACTGCTAATCTTCCTCTCTAAAATCCTCGGAAGTGTTTTGAAGATGTTTTACTCAATGATTATATGAAGAGTGAGATTATGGAAGGTGCGAAGGGACATTACAAAGGGACATGTAGGAGTCATTATTAAATTCAAGAAACCGTGATTGGGGAAACATGAGATAGTGGAGTTGTGTAAAAAGCAATCGTGTAAAATGTGGGAACTCGAATGGAAGTCGTTTGCGTAGTTATAAAAAGTGATCGTGTAATGGTTCAACTTCGAGCGACGAAGAGTTGTGGTCGAAGTTTAGACACTCGAATGAGGCTTCGGAGAAATTGTGTCCAACATTAAAGAAAGTAAATAGAATGCGTATCTACTTGTAGGGAGGCATCAAAGAATTGAACAGTAGAAGTGAGGTTAGAGTGTGCTTTTGTTTTACCGTTCAGTGAAATCGAAGAGTAGAGTCGTTCCGGAAGGAAGTTCTGTATCTGCTTCTTCGAAAGAGACTTCGACTACTCCGGAGAGGAGAAACGAAGATCTTGGAGTGGCACTCTTCGTAGTGCAATGGTTAGACAACTCTTGAGAACAATGTCGAAGAGTCGATAAGGTCACTCGAGTGTTATCGAAGAGGGGAAAGGAATCGAAGACGAAGAGGAAACATTCCTCATATTTTAGCTACCGATCTCAGTGTGTAATTACGACGAGGAAGCCCAGGATTCGATTGCGACGCGTCGGACCGATTCCGCAGTCCTTTTGTTAAACAAATTTAGAAAAGGAGGGGGTATTATTGTTAACCTCACGTTTTTGAGAAGCTTCGAAGCGGCCGCGCGGTAATTTCGAACACTCGAAGGAGTCGCTTTTTGAAATTCCCGCGGGCCGCCATTTTGCGCGCCGGTCGAAGACACCTTTATTCGAAAGACGAACGAATAGCGTGTAAATAAATTCGCGATAAGTTGTCCTGCGAGCTCGTTGATTATTGTTCGGATTTTATGAAGAACCTCCAGAAGGCGAAAACCATTTAGCGAAGATGCGAGGAGAAAGAAACGCTTCCTTGCTATAGGGAGTTTTTAGCCGCCATCTTGGATTCCGAAACGATTTGCCGCGTTGTAATAATTTAACATATTTCTTCGACGCACACCGAATTAAAAAGACGCGATAGGTTTATAAAAGCGTGTATATTTCAAGGAAGAGTTTAAATTATTGTTCTTCTTCGATAAAACATGGATTTATATTTAATGGAAACATCTGGCTAAGGTATTTCAAAAATGGCGTCGCGGATGCTTTCGAAATTGTTCGATAATTTGGAAAAGAGAGAGAAATGGCCGTTTCAACGCTTTTTGCAGTTCTTTCGAAATTCATTTCGTTTATGGTTTAATCGTTTTTCTGGGTTTGAGAAAGAATGGTTTTGAAAAAGTACGTTTACGGAATTTAGGGGCACGAAAATGGCGAATCGCGACGCGCGGATCTAATAGACTGCTTTAGGATAGGACGAGAGATCGTTTTTAATTTATAGCGTGGAAGAAAAAAAAAAGAAACAGACTCTGCGATTTTCAAATTTTAACTACCAGCGTACCTAGGGCTAAGGAGGTTAAATTTCTCGCGGGCGGTTTCGTTCCGAAAAGTGAATCTGCATAAAGAGCAGATTCGAGACGTAAGGCGCCATTACGTCGTATTTACTCAAAATGGCCGAATTTTACTCGCTCCTTTATAATCTGCATGAAAAATCGAGGGGAAAACCTCTTTTGATAAATTTCGAGGGACCAGTAGTTTCCGAGATATTCGACTTCGAAAGCAACCAATCAGGGGACGGATCCAACGGAAAGTCGAAATATTTTAGAATATTAATTCAAGAATTTAAAAAAAACAAAGTTAAAATTTGAAATTTCCTATCGAACGACGAATAGTTTTCAATATTTATGGATATTCGTTGCATTGTTCTTAAACCTCGATTCAAATATTTCTTCTGGATTTCCGAAAATTTCTCTTGGAGCGGTCTCGTGATTCGTCGACTTTAACGTCGAATATCTCGGAAAGTATTGCGTTCTCAAGATTTTGATAAAGAATTTTTCGACTCGATTTTACTCAAGGAACATTTCAACTCAACGTAAACCTAGGGATAGTGGTGCGCATATTTTTTTATCTGAAATTAGGGAAACGTTATGGCGTTTTAGAGCGAATGTTTGAGGGGAGGTTAGAACGTTTCGCAATAACAATGAAGATAAAACGCGTAGAAGGGAATTAAAACCGTAGGGACGGCATTTTGTCGTCATTTCGAGGTTATGTCGATCCATTTCCGTACATTGCTTGCATTATTAAGATCAATTTCCCCTCAAACGACGCTCTATGGTCGGTAAAGAAGGGATCCACACAAGCGAACATCAGAGAGAGATGTATTTAGCTCCACTGGATGTTTATCGATGTCTGAATGTAAAATCCTCTCGTAGTTTATCGTTAATAATGGCCGCGAGCAAAGACGGGGTTTTGTTTCTCTCGATCGGGGATCTGTAAATAGTAAATAATATAGATAGTTACTACCGAACGAACGAAGGGGGGCGCGAGATGCGTTTAAATATTTTTAATCTATCGCGGAAAGCAAAATGGCGGAGGAAAAGACAATTGCAGAGCGCGTTGTTACCGGCGGCCATGCGCGCGCACATCGAGGAGTACCACAAAGTACCTACAGAGGGACTCTAAGTGATTTTACGAGGCGTTAAACGAAAATAAAATCTTCACGAACGTGGGATGTATGAAGTACATACATTTAACTAACCACGAAGGCAGAGGAATCGAAAGAAAGAGAACAAAGGGACCATTTTCAATCTTTATTAAGACTGCTGCGCAACCCAATATGGCGGCACGAGAAAATTAGAAAAATAGGAAAAATAACAGCTTCTTTGTTCTCTCTTTTCGCTGCCTCTGAAAGAAAATCAAGGGAATTATCGAGGTTACTTTGTACAGCTCATGTTCATGAAAATATGGCGGAACACTAAGAAGTATTAACACTGGGATGTTCGTTAAGGTGGTATGAAAGTCGAATCCACTTTCGACGGTTTTACTTCGATTTCTTTAGAATTATTCTACCGAAATGACGTATGGGATGGTTTATTTCGTATAAATCTCATCGTAGAGGGTAATGAGCCTCAGTATAAATATAAATGTCGGTATACGTAGCGCGCCATGTTACCACTCGAGTATCCAAAATGGCGTCACCACGAGAAAGGGTATTTATGAATTCCACTTTACCGACGTCTCTTAAATTTCCTAGCGCCTTTCATATCACCTTAAAACGTGTAAAAATCGTAACGAACGTTCCAGTATTTCCATATTTCGGTGATCACGGTACACAACTATGTATAATAGCTTCGATGTTTATATATACATACGTTTAGTGAGAGAGAGAGAAATGGCGAGAGGCTTTGTTCAGTTTTTTCTCAAAGACACTGTGTACGGAGGAACTGCACGAAATAAAGAGCAACATTATATTTAGCCGGAGTTTCTTGATTGACTAGTGACTTTTTGGGGATTTTATTAATATTTCGTTTGAAATTTCTTCCAGCAATGGCGGCGTCTCGCGCTATTAAGTGGCGGACGAGAGGCGCACGCTTTAATGGCGGAATTAACGGACGGCTTGGCGCCATTTAACGTTACTTTGACTTATTTGCAAAAGTCCCGTTGCGTAATAAAGTTCCTCGGAGGATTTTCGCCCACGAGAACCCGGACTCGGTCGACCGGGAATCCTGGTGACACGCTTCCGCCATTTTGTCCCGTTTGCTCCCATTTTCTTCCCTTCCTATCCTTCCCCTTTTATTCTTTTCCTCTTTTACGATAACCTACACCGAGAAAAAAGTCTCAATGAACCAAAGAAACGTTTCTTATATCTTCTATAAAAACAATATTTTCCTAAGGAATAATTTGACTCAAATAAATTTATTGCAACATTTCCTCGGGATTGTATTAACGAAATATTTCTTTTTTCTTCAGGTTATCGAAATAAATAGTGACGTTTTCCTTCCTAAATTATTTCTACAATCGTTAACTATGAACTAATGAATAATGAATATTATTACCTGAAATATTTTTCCTCCTCTCTAAAGTGTCATGGCGTCTTCGTTTCCTTCGTTCCTTTGGAAAACCTATGAAAATAAATACCGACCCTTTTCTTCGTTGATTTTCAATCATTAATCATAAACTAACGAGGAATAGACAGTTGACCATTGTATCAACTATCTTTGTTTGTGATTTCTAACTAATTTCCAGCGAATAATAGTATAATATGTGTAAATGGAAGTCGGAAGAATAAGATTTAATTCCGTGGGAAGAAATGGCGAAGTGTAGTCGGCACATAAACCGGGAATCGAACCCGGACTTGTGCTCGACCGGGAGTCCCGGTGGCCCACTTCCGTCGGCTTTTCCCGTTCGGTCTCATCCACTCACCTACTCCCCTTCGGCGTCCCTTCCGCCATCTTGCCGCCATCTTGCCGCCATCTTGAAGACGAGTCTTCCCGATTCGATAGATCGATCGATCGATCGCTTCCTCTCCGACACTTAAGCTGATATGAAAATGCGATACATATATTGTTATTCCGTGAGATATTTGTCTTCTTGAGGAATCACGACAATTTTACACCTCTAACTTTCATAATTAATTCCTTATTAATTTTAATAGCGAATATTATTGGTTCATGACGTTTCGATTCGGACAGACAGTTACGACGTAATTTTATCTTCCTCTCCATCATCATATTTGATTTTATTCTATTAATATCGTTAACTAATTCAAGTGGCGTTAATAAATGACAGTTACTGATTAATAACCTAAGAAACAATCAAGGAAGGGCATGGAATTTAACGTAATATTACATTGACATCAAGTAGAAGTGCACTAATATGGTAAATATACAATGTCACGTATATTTATAAATTTCTAATCTGTAATTTTTCTATCTTACGTTTTTCTCCGCGAGACTCCAATTATGCGTATGTAAATTTCCATGAATTTTTGCCAGGGTCGGTGTCGAATTTAACAAGATGGCGGCCGATAAGCGTGTCGACCGCTATTCGTCCTCGGAGGAGGCGTCGCGATAATTCTCTCTCTTTGGCGGGCGCATATGTGAATGCGCATGCGTGAACTGCAGTATGTTTACTGCACACAATGCGCACTCCAATATGGCGGCCGTCCGTGTGCGCGCGCACCGACTCGCACCGGATTCGCCCTCGGATGGCCTCCTTGCTCGACTGACCTACTCACGGCGAGATCGCGAGATCCGCTCGTCTTCGACATAACCTTACCATTAGTCACTCGATCGGAAGCTTTATAAAATTCGCCGAAAATTTCAAGGTAAGAATTATCGAAATTCCAATGATAAGGCAAGTGCATTTCGACGGAACCTTAAAACTGACCATCCTTCAATATATACAATATATACAAAATTTATTAAAAATTAACATTCCGATTAAAGGTGAAGTACTGTTAATTCTTGGAAAATCCCGCGAAACAATATGGCGGCTCCGAAAACTTGTAGCCGCAATATGGAATATAGAAATGGCCGTAACTTTTACAATTTTCAACCGATTTCGCTGAAACTTTGTATACGCTTAGGTTCACCCCTGAAATATAATATAAAAAATCGACGGCGATTAAAGTTGAGAAATCTCAAAATGGCGACCGGTTGATTTTTCGAAACGGACGAATTCAACATGATGAACGAGGAATTCTAAATGACGGTCGGGAAAAGTACTCCATCCTTTCCATCGCATTAATTCAGCAATTTTAAAACGAGTCGCGAACGAGTCGTGAATAGGTAATCGCGAAACGACGAGAGAATGACTTTTTCAAGGTCGGTCAGTCGGCGACCCACGTTACCGACGGGGGCGCGTTCGACCGACTAACCCGAAGCATTGGCGAAAGTATTTTAATGGAGGCCCGTCGCCGGCTTATTTTTATCCGTCGAAGGTTAAGACGAGATCGGCCGATCGCTTCTCTGACTCAGAAAGTCAGACGGGGAGGGGGAGTAGACAGAGTCCGCGCATGCGCACGCGTAGACTGTACAGTGACGGACATAACTGTATTTCCCATTACACCAGGACATCGTACATAAATTTCTTTTCCATTGATAGACTCCATCAGGGGCCGAAAGGAATTAACGTGATATGAAAGTGACATTCAAAGGGTCAATCTTTCGTGACACTTTTCTCCAAACTGGATGTACCGAATCGCTTCAAACTTTACAACGTGAATGCGGAGACCGTAAGAAAGGTCTCGACACCCATAAAATTTAATTTTTTTACAAACAATTTAAAAAATATCTATAAACAATTTTTTTAAAAATTGAAATTTCATTCATCGGCCTTAATAATCGCGTGCTAAGTTTCGAATGACTCGCACCCAGTTTGGAGAAATGTTTTGTAAATATTTTGAGGTTTTTTTATATATATATATAGAATGAACTTAAATACACTGATCGGAGGTGTCATATTCGCAAGGAAGGTAGGAATGTCCATCACTGTACAGTTTTGCGAGCTAGGTAGGCGCGTTGCGTTTTGCCCCTACTTAAAGTTAAGAGTCGGCCGAGAAAACAGAAAAGTGAACCGCGCCGCCTATTCGGAACACGGGCGGCTCAGCCCTCAGTTCGCCGCCGACCGCCGAGGGGAGCGGACCCACTCGACCTCTGCTCGGGACCAGAAACGCGCGCAGAAAATGGGATTAAACGAGATTCGCCATTTCTCCGACCAACTCGCATCCTAAGCTTCTGCCATACGGTAATTTAAAAGTCTTCAGTACAGTGATAGAATTTAATAAAACGGAGTATTCCCAAGCTAATCGATAATAAATATTGGTAAGGTTAATGTTACATTGGAAGCATTCGTCAATTTATAATAAACATACTTACGATAAAACGTGATAAAGTATAATCAAACCGGGTAACCAGGTTCTGATTTTGTAGATGCCTGTAGATAAATTTGCTCTGAAATCAACATATCAATGTGATAAAATATGATATAATGGAATCGAATATTATATTTCGGGTTTTATTATTAAGCTGATACGAAACACACTTCTAGGTTATGGAGGGGGATAACTTACGAAAAGAAAATTTTCAGCATAACTGCTTATGTTTTCATGCCACTGCTATGCGTCAATTTTTTTAAATGGCACTAGTAATTTTCATCCCTCTAATAATTGTTCGGCGTGATGGAATAAATTCGATGGTATCATTTGTTATGTCATTTTCATTCAAGTGGAAATCCCGACCTCCGGCAGGATTTTTTGGTCGAATCGTGGAAATCGAGAAAGATATCCCAGAGAAAAGATGTCGGAGGGGTGCACTCGATGTCGGGGCGCGAACTTCGCGGGGAGCTCGCTGCAGCTCGGCGCGCCATCTGCCGGGACAAGCGGAAGCTCGTCCGCGAGTACGGGTTCGGCCTGCGCAGCCGCAAGGAGGGTTCAAGTCCGGGCTAAGGTGCTCTACGGATCCGGGAAGGCCATCGCCAGCCTGCAAGCACAAGAGAAGGCAGCGAGGCACTGACAAAGGTTACTTTTATACACTATTAAATGTCGCTAATGTATCGCCACCTCTTATTCTTAAATGAAAATTTATTATCGAAAAGCGATTTTTCTTTTATTTCATGTCGGCACTGATTCTGACGATAATTAACACTTTAATGAACGGCGAATTTGGAAATAAGTGGAGATCACGAGAATCGCAAAACTAATTAATTGACTTCCGGTCGGTAAAGCGATGACAGTGAAGAGATTCTTTATCGAATGTGAAGTATAGCAGGATTTGACGTTAACCTGATACTTGTTGCCTTGATAACGATTATCGTCGCGACATCTATCATAGATATTCCGTACTTTCTTATTGAGAAGAAATTTATAATATACAGGTACCCGCAATACCGACAATCGATGTTTGCAAGTATGAGATAGATAAGTTACCGAAGGAGATCGCGTGGCGCCATCTGTCTGCCGCCATGCGATACTACTTAGCCGAGTTAACTGAAAGAGTCGGTAAACCGAACCCCTGCATTATCCACGAGATCTATTATCGAGAATTTCACCTCCCGCAAGGATTCCCGAAATAAACCACTTCCAATTTGAACTTTCAACCCCATTAACGTGTTATGAAAGGGTCATTTTGTATATATGAAACCGTGAAATTATTAATAATAACTTTTCTCCAAACTGGGCGCACCGAATCATTTGAAACTTCGGCGCGTGATTATATACTCACGAAATGTGATTTTGTCAATAATATGTGTCCTTGGTTCTAGTCTGGACTAAATAAAAAAAATAGGATTGTTGTCACAAATGAAATTTCATAAGCACCACGTTCTTCCTTAGGGCGTCTATAATCACGCGTTGAAGTTTACATGGGAACGATTTGGAGAAAAGTTGTGTAAATATTGTTACGTTTTGTATATGGTGAGAATGACCCTTTCGTGTCGCCTTGAAAATTCGGGTCGGGATGAAAATCCGATTTGGATGTGCGGAGGATAGGCGGGAGTGTAACAGTAAAAATGCGCAAAAAGAGGATGCAAAAAGCTTTAAGTCGCCCGGGGCTAAGCGCGCTTCTCGAGGATAAGACGAGTCGGACCGCTTCCTTGAAGGTTAGTGACTCGTAAACCGTCCGCGGGAAACGCGCCTTAAGGTTCAGGGTAAAATTCCACCGCGAGCCTCTCCCATCAATCTCCTGCACGAGGATCGCACGCTAATTTTTCCTCCCTATGGCCATCTTTTTTTTTTTATACCTTTATTTTTCGCGAAACTCCATTTTACGTTCGGTCAAGTCGCTCTAACCGGCGGTTTTGCAAATTTTGCGAAGACCTCCAAGCAGCCATTTTCACTTTTCGCGAGAGTGTTCTCTGTTCGGTGTTTAGTAATCTTCGAGAAAATTCTTCTAGCCGCCCTTTTGTATTTTCCGCGAGAATTTTCGCGTTTTACTTTCGGTGAAATTGTTCTAATCGACAGTTTTGCAATTTTTTTTTTAGAAGACCTTGCGACAGCCATTTTGATTTTTCGTCGGTGTTTATTAATCTTCGAGGTGACTCTTCTAGCCGCCATTTTGTATTTTCCGCGAGAGTTTTCGCGTTTTACTTTCGGTCAAGTCATTCTAACCGCAGTTTTGCATTTTTTTTAAAAGTCCTTACGGCAACTATTTTGATTTTTCGTCGGTGATTATTAATCTTCGAGAAAACTCTTCTAGTCACCATTTTTAGCGATTTTTAGCGCATTTTAAGCGCCATTTTTGTCGGTGTTTATTAATCTTCGAGGTGACTCTTCTAGCCGCCATTTTGTATTTTCCGCGAGAATTTTCGCATTTTACTTTCGGTGAAATTGTTTTAATCGACAGTTTTGCATTTTTTTTTTAGAAGACCTTACGACGGCCATTTTGATTTTTCGTCGGTGTTTATTAATCTTCGAGGTGACTCTTCTAGCCGCCATTTTGTATTTTCCGCGAGAGTTTTCGCGTTTTACTTTCGGTCAAGTCATTCTAACCGCAGTTTTGCATTTTTTTTAAAAGTCCTTACGGCAACTATTTTGATTTTTCGTCGGTGATTATTAATCTTCGAGAAAACTCTTCTAGTCACCATTTTTAGCGATTTTTAGCGCATTTTAAGCGCCATTTTTGTCGGTGTTTATTAATCTTCGAGGTGACTCTTCTAGCCGCCATTTTGTATTTTCCGCGAGAATTTTCGCATTTTACTTTCGGTGAAATTGTTCTAATCGACAGTTTTGCAATTTTTTTTTTAGAAGACCTTGCGACAGCCATTTTGATTTTTCGTCGGTGTTTATTAATCTTCGAGGTGACTCTTCTAGCCGCCATTTTGTATTTTCCGCGAGAGTTTTCGCGTTTTACTTTCGGTCAAGTCATTCTAACCGCAGTTTTGCATTTTTTTTAAAAGTCCTTACGGCAACTATTTTGATTTTTCGTCGGTGATTATTAATCTTCGAGAAAACTCTTCTAGTCACCATTTTTAGCGATTTTTAGCGCATTTTAAGCGCCATTTTTGTCGGTGTTTATTAATCTTCGAGGTGACTCTTCTAGCCGCCATTTTGTATTTTCCGCGAGAATTTTCGCATTTTACTTTCGGTGAAATTGTTTTAATCGACAGTTTTGCATTTTTTTTTTAGAAGACCTTACGACGGCCATTTTGATTTTTCGTCGGTGTTTATTAATCTTCGGGAAGACTCTTCTGGCCGCCATTTTTGTTTTCCGTGCGACCCTCTTGACCGCCATTTTTTATTTCCCTCAGAATCGCGGGAACGATTATTTAATCCACGATTACGTGACTTTATTTTGCAAGAAAGAAAGTTAATTATTATTAACGTAAACTGGACTTTCTGGTCAGTGATAATCGTGAGGAATATTTCCGCGAGGTGATAAGGCACCGGCTTTGAAAAGAAGAATGCTTCTCGGGATCTTGTAAGTGTTTCACTATATCAATAATTTATTTACTGTACTTGAAAACCACGATTCCACCTCTAGATTCCCAAATCGGAATTAAGTACAGTGGCTGGCATAAATGCCTCCTCTTCACACACGACGGCGTCAAATTTCAAGGAAGTAGTTAATGTCCGCCCCTGTACAGTATTCGAAAATTATAAATAAATCTCTAGAACTCTAGAAAAAAATGCAATATAAACAATACTGGAAAATCCTGAATCCATCTCTAAAATCCCATAGTGGAATTTAGTACAGTAGGGGCAAATAATTCTTTCTCTTGTTACATTAGCAGCGCCACATATTTAAAAAAAACATCATTAATATCCGCCACTGTACGCGCTGTCCTCCATTCCTCATCAACCAATATCAATAAATCCAATTTCCTCTCCTCTGGTTGAAAGATCCAGGAGGTAACGACAATGCTAATTAATGTGACGTCATCGGGAATCAATCCATCGCTTACCGTTACTTTCGGAACGCGCGATTCGCGGATGATCTCCAGGGCTAAAGGCTCATTCACAATGTGCGTTTTCAAATATACGTTCGTTCGTTTAATGGCGTATCTTTATTGTGTTCACGGGAAAATATTCGCGCGTTTTTGTAAGCAATGCGAGAGTTTACCCGCGAAGGCGATATAATTTGTGGTTTAAATTCTTCACGATTTAAGTGGGAGTAATTTAATCGAGAATGTTATGGTCATTTTAAATGCCTAGACTATTTAAGAGAATTTATATTTAAATTGTATATGTGTTATTAAGATATAACTGCGGGTGAATGAACTCGTATTCGAAAATGTGAAACGTGAAAGATGAATTGTGAAATGTGAAAGATGAATGTGAAATGTGAATTGTGAATTGTGAAAGATGAATGTGAAATGTGAAATGTGAAATGTGAAATGTGAAATGTGAAATGTGAAAGATGAAATGTGAAATGTGAAAGATGAAATATGAAAGATGAATGTGAAATGTGAAATGTGAAATGTGAACAAACCCTAAAATTGCGTCCACACGTGCTCATTGACTTGTCCACATCCCGTTAATCCGGTTTTCAGCTGGTTCTTCGAACTCTGCTTCTCAAATCGTACCACGACTCATAATACTAAAATAAAAACAAATCAATTCCGATACCTAGGCGCTGTAAAGTTACTATAATATTTGTTTAATGATGGGTTCGATATAATCCCGAATAAAAGTTTATTGTGTGAGCTCAACAATTGGGAAACAATCGGTAAATTGTTTTACGATATTCGCTGGAAAGAATGAAACTTGAAAGAAAATGTTGCGCAAATATTAATTATTAATCAGAGAAAAGTAATTTAGTAATTAGTGCGATCATTTCGAGGGATAATTGAAGTTTCATACTTAATTTTCAGAGTCGTCGCTGTCTCTCTCTCCTCGACGTTATTAGCTAAGGCGAAAAAAGAAGATGACCTCGACATTATCGGAGAATATACTTCATTTTCGCAAACACGAAAAATGGAGGAAAAAGTTCGGCAACTCGAGGAGAGGATTAATAATATAATAGGAAAGAAATTAACAGATTCAGATTCAGTAATTCAGGAAAGTCTCAAAGAAAAGGAAGAGAAAAAATCAGCACAAGAAGACGATGAAAATATTTCGACATTTTCTTCTTCGATAGACAAAAAGGAAGACTCGAAGCATGAGAAGAGAAAATTAAAGGAAAAAGAGACTTCGATTCGACATGAGGGAGAAGAGGAAATGGAAACTGGGAATGTTGAAGAAGATGAAGGGATGAAGAAACACGATGTCAATTTTGAAGACAGGTATATTATTAAAGATTTTAATGGCTGGAAAAGAGAGGTTAGGAGTATGCCAAATTTTAGGCACGTCGAAGGAGATACGGAACTAAGAAATTGGCCAGCAGAAGGCTTCGAAGTGGAGAAGGATCGCCGAAAGGAGGGGAAGAAGGAAGAGAACGAGGAACATTGGAAGGAGAAAGAAAATCTAAGAAACTATGGAAATCAAGAGACGCTGAAAGGGGAATTCAAGAATGAAGCAAAAGATACGTCGAATGTCATCGAGAGAAGAGATGGAAATTTTCTGGACAATGCGAAAAGACTAGGAATGCATTTTCTTAAAGAAAGAAGTAAAGAGACAGCTTCGAAGGTGAGGAAAGGCAAAAAAACATTCTTCGGTGACTTAGATGTGAATTTTGGAAACTTGCCGAAGGATTCCAGCCAGGACGAAGAAGTGATAAAGAACATCAGGCGATTGATTGCGAGTGAACTTCAAGGAATGAAGATCCCAATAAAGATGAAAGAAGCTGAAGAAAGAGAAAGAGACTCAAACGTGTCAAAATTGGGATCGAGTGTAAACGTCAAAGATACTTTCAATATTGATTCCGAAAAGGATCTCAGGAAGGACAACCATAAAAACGAAGAATTAAGAAAACCCGAAAATGAGATTTTCATGGCAAAGCTGTCAAAAAATGGTGGAATAGAAAACCATGTTGCAAGAAAAAGTGGGGAGAAAAACCTAACCAAGAATTTTTCAACGGCGAAGGAAGAAGAAGGAGCCAAATTGTTCTCAAACACACGCACGAAATTTGTCAGAATTTCAATTCTATCAGAGAATTCAACGGATGTTGAAGAAGAAAAAGGTACCTTAAACTTTGACGATAGGAAGAGCGAACAGGAGAAGATAAATGGAACTGTAGTAGCGCATAAACTGGACAAGACTGAAAATAAAAACGTTCAAAGAAATTCAACAGGTATTAATGTCAATAGAGATAAAATTGATAACATAGAAAGTAGAACCGAAGAAGAAACCTCGAAGCCTGGAGTAGACGACATCGTAGAAGCTGCTGACTTCGGAATGCAAGCTATGAACGATCTGTATTACATAAAGGAACCAAAATTATACTCGATGGGTAAGACAACGCTTTTCTCCCTTCAAAACAATTTATTTATAATTTATGGAATTGAGCAATTTTTATACGAATTAAACAAATGTTTAATTCTCGTTCTTTTAATATTTCAGGACTGTTTCTGAGCTCGAATGATCCAGCAACTTACGTGGCAGCTTTCAATGACCAAACCGATGAAGCAAGACATCTCGCAAAGTTTGGCTTCGCAGCTCTTGAAGGATCCAGATTATTTTTCAACAAGTAAATATTGAGTTATCTCCCACAAAATATTTTGGAAACATTAAACGAATACTGTACAGTGTCATAAGATTAACGTCCATCCAGCTTTGTGATTTAATGTCATCGTAGGTACCCAGAGTTCTCAAGGGAGGTTCCGCTGACTAAAAGCACTCCTCGATCGACTCTTCATCGACAATGTCCAAGAAGAGGAGTGCCACAGTGCACCGCAGCCAGCATTAAATACAGAACCACCGATGGCAGTTGCAACAATCGAGAACACCTTTGGTGGGGTTCGGCAATGTCATCGATGCAAAGGTACTTGATAAACCTTTTGAGAATAAAATATCTCGCGATAATTTAGAGTCATTCCTGGCCTTTTCCAGGTTCCTGCCCCCGGTCTACGAAGATGGCATCCAGACCATCAGGAGATCGGTCACTGGAAAATCTCTTCCGAGTCCCAGAGACATTTCCAATACGGTTCATCAGGACAAAGATGTACCACTGGCTTCGGTCACTCATATGTTGATGCAGTGGGGTCAATTTATAGACCACGACATCACAGGTGAGATTATTACCTATCGATGAAAAATACTCTTCGATACATGGGACATAATTTTGAAAATCTAAAAAATGTCTTCGTTGGCCATCAGCTACTGGACAAAGTAGAGGATTCAATGGGACCGTCCCCCAGTGTTGCTTGCCTCATGGTCTTGGTTTCCAGCCACCAGAGTTCATGGTGAGTTATTCTCATTTCATTTGGAATTTTTGAAAAATCTCGTGGTTTTTCACATCTTCGAAAATTGAAAGATTTGTCAAATTCATGGAATTCCATGCTCTTCAGCATCCGGAGTGCCTGCCGATCGCTGTTTCGCCCCAGGACACGTTCCTGGGTCCCCTGGGAGTAAAATGCTTGGAATTTGTGAGAAGTGGTCCTGCTCCTCGAGAAAATTGCGACTTCGGACCCAGGGAACAATTGTCCCAGGTGACGAGCTTCGTGGACGCGTCGACGGTTTATAGCAGCAATGCTCATCACAGCGACAGTCTCAGACTTTTCCGAAATGGTAACGAAATTATCACCACAATATGTTAAGAGGATGTGAAAATGGCATCTGTAAAGTCATTCGTTCATAAAACTTACCTTCGAACTGAATATACTGAATCATTTCAAACTTTACAATATGAATATGGAGGCTATAAGGAAGGTCCTTACAGCCATGAAATTTCAGATTTTTAAAAATATCTTTAAACGTTTAAGAATTGTTCATAAAAATTTAATTAGTGTCAGAATCTTCCTTATAGCCTCCATACTCACAATTTAAATTTTGAAAGGGTTCGGTGCACTCAATTTGCAGAAAAGTTTCATATACTTGATCTCTTTGACGTCACATTCATATCTGGCTAGTAATTTATATTTATTAAGATCAGTATAATTATTATATTAAGTGGTATTATTATATTAATTAATTTCAGGATTGTTGCAATATGGGAGAATCCAGTCCCGGAGGCCAGTTCTTCCCAGAGAGGAGCCATCGGATCTCTGTCGTCGCGGGTCTCTGTCCATGACGTGCTTCAGGGCGGGCGATGGCCGAGTCAGCGAGCAACCTGGACTGACGTCTCTTCACGTCGTCTTTCTGCGGCAACACAACAGAATCGCTACCCAGATGACCGCTCTGAACCCGCATTGGAGCGACGAAAAGCTCTTCCAGGAGATCCGGAAGATCGTCGCGGCCCTGGTCCAACACATCACCTACAGGGAGTTCCTGCCGATCGTCCTTGGTAAGATGCTTCGTTCCTCCGTCTTGCGATAAGGCTCAAAATCCCGAGGCTTTGATATAGGAAAATGAGCCTTATTGATTTATGATGAGTAAGGGGAAATTCTTAAAAAAATTCAACTTNAACACATCACCTACAGGGAGTTCCTGCCGATCGTCCTTGGTAAGATGCTTCGTTCCTCCGTCTTGCGATAAGGCTCAAAATCCCGAGGCTTTGATATAGGAAAATGAGCCTTATTGATTTATGATGAGTAAGGGGAAATTCTTAAAAAAATTCAACTTTATAGAGAACAGCGTCCTGTGAATAGTGGTTATGAAATTGAATTTTCTGGTCGAGCACATCACGTACAAAAAGGTGTTTTTTAATTGTTCTAAAGATACAGTTCGTACTTCGTCTGCCCATCCTGCGATAAGGCTCAAAATCCCGAGGCTTTGATATAGGAAAATGAGCCTTATCGGTTTATAACTAGTAAGGCGAAATTAAGATGAAAAGCTTCCTAATGAACGGCATTCTTTGAATAATAAATTTCTTCTCACTTTCCAGGACACGAGGTGATGAAACTGTTTAATCTCGAGATCTTGAAGAAAGGCTACTACGAGGGCTACGACCCCACGGTGAACCCTGACATAGCGAACGCCTTCTCCACCGCGGCCTACAGATTTGGTCACTCCATGGTCCAGTCCAGCTTCGTCAGGTTCGACCGGAACCACCAGCCACTGTTTAACAGTAAGTATAAACATTATATTATATTAATTAACATTATATTAACCCTCGTTCCCCCCGTAGACGTCAGCCTGCACAACGAGTTCGCGAACCCGGTGAACCTGGAGACGGCAGGATCGGTCGATCGTCTTCTCCTGGGCCTGGTGAACCAGCAGTCGCAGAAGAGGGACGAGTTCCTCTCGGGCGAGCTGACGAATCGTCTCTTCCAGACCCCGGGGTTCCCCTTCGGGATGGACCTGGCCTCCCTGAACATCCAGAGAGGTCGGGACCACGGCATCCCTCCCTACGTCAGGTGGAGGGAACCCTGCAGCCTGTCGGCCATCCGCACCTGGGAGGACCTGGACAGGGTGATGAGCGCGTCGACTGCTAGGAAGCTCCGGGAGCTTTACTCTCACGTGGAGGACGTAGACCTGTTCCCGGCGGGGTTGGCCGAGAGGGCCGTTCCTGGGGGACTCGTCGGCCCCACCTTCGCCTGCATCATCGCCCAGCAGTTCAGCAATCTCCGCAAGGGCGATCGGTTCTGGTACGGATCAGATCATCGTTATCATCATCTCGATCATCAAATGATGAAGAAAATCGATTTACTAAAATTTGCAGACCATTTGCTGCATGAAATGTCTGCAGATAAGGAAAATCGATTTACAAACAATTTGCAGACCATTCGTTGCATGAAATGTTTGTAGAGAAGGAAAATTGATTCACAAACAATTTGCAGACCATTTGTTGTATGCAATGTTTACAGATAAGGAAAATCGATTTAAAAACAATTTGCAGACCATTCGTTGCATGAAATGTCTGCAAATAGAAAAAATCAATTTACAAACAATTTGCAGACCATTTGTTGCATGAAATGTCTGCAAGTAGAGAAAATCGATTTACAAACAATTTGCAGACCATTTGTTGCATGAAATGTCTGCAAATAGAGAAAATCAATTTACTAACAATTTGCAGACCATTTGTTGCATGAAATGTCTGCAAATAAAGAAAATCGATTTATAAACAATTTGCAGATCATATGTTGCATGAAATATCTGCAGATAAGGAAAATCGATTTACAAACAATTTGCAGACCATTTGTTGCATGAAATGTCTGCAATATGTGTACGCATAATGCGCAATAAATTATAAGAAAAGTTTGCGGGAAATTTGTCACGCCAATATGACAACAGACGCTGTAATTGTTTATCAGCAATGCGTGAGATAAATTTAGCTGTACGTTTGCAAAGAAATATGGAGACATTGCATGTACTTTGTTTCATGTTTACGTATTTTTGGTTCGTCATCGGCTGCAGGTATGAGTTCCAAATGATGGCTCATTTCATGATCTGTTAAGAGGCAAATTGAATGTAAATCTTGCATCTCTTTGTCTATCCGGGTATTTATTGTAATTGATTTATCGGTAGGTACGAGAACCCCAACCTGGAGAGCGGCTTCACGCCTGCGCAGCTCAGACGGATCAAGAGGGTAACTCTCGCCCAGGTCCTCTGCAAGACCATGGACAGCATCGAGACCATCCAGCCCTTCGTCTTCCTGACTGCGGACACCCTGAGGAACGGAAGACTGCCCTGTGGAAGCGAGTTCATCGGTACCCTGGACTTGGAGCCTTGGAGGGAGAGGCAAGGTGGAACCACTAATAAAGGGGACCAGGAAGAGGATGTCGAGATCGTGGAGAGTCAAGACGTGGAAGTTAGGGAAAGGACTTCTTCTAGAAATCCAGGAGATTTTCCTACCTCTTCTGGAGGTGGAGGGAAAATTAATACCAATATTTATCCTGGGGAGTCTAAAAGTTCCGGGGGGATTTTGAATCCTTGGACGAGGAGGCGGGAAGGACATGAGAAACACCATGAAGAGTCCTCCGAAGAGGACGAAGGCGTTGTTCAGAGTCAAGATGTGGAAGTTAAGGAAAGGACTTCTTCTAGGAATCCAGGAAATTTCACTACCTCTTCTGGAGATGGAGGGAACATTAATACCAATGTTTATCCTGGACAGTCTAAAAGTCCCGGGGGGATTTTGAATCCTTGGACGAGGAGGCGGGAAGGACATGAGAAACACCACGAAGAGGATGAAGGCGTCGTTGAGAGTCAAGATGTGGAAGTTAGGGAAAGGACTTCTTCTAAGAATCCAGGAAATTTCACTACCTCTTCTGGAGGTGGAGGGAAAATTAATACCAATGTTTATCCTGGGGAGTCTAAAAGTCCCGGGGGGATTTTGAATCCTTGGGCGAGGAGGCGGGAAGAACATGAGAAACACCATGAAGAGGACGAAGGCGTTGTTGAGAGTCAAGATGTGGAAGTTAAGGAAAGGACTTCTTCTAAAAATCCAGGAGATTTTCCTACCTCTTCTGGAGGTAGAGGAAAAATTAATACCAATGTTTATCCTGGGGAGTCTAAAAGTCCAGAGGGGATTTTGAATCCTTGGGCGAGGAGGCGGGAAGGACATGAGAAACACCATGAAGAGGACGAAGGCGTTGTTGAGAGTCAAGATGTGGAAGTTAGGGAAAGGACTTCTTCCAGAGATCCAGGGAATTTATCCAGGATCATTGGGGACGTGAAAGGTATCGGTTCCAACGCCGGTCCAGGACGATCCAAAAACCCTGGTGGGATTTTGGGGAGCCTGACCGGGATCCTGAAAGGAACCACCAGCACGACAACCCCCAGTCCTGAGAGAAAGTCCCTCCTTCGACCTACCAGGCCAGTAAAGGTGAACACCAACGTGAACCAACGGAACAGAATCACGGTGAACCGTCCTCTCGGTCCCCATGAGAACCTGACCATAGTCGTGCAAAACCACGCCGTGAACTCGCCGATATTCGTCAGCGAAGGAATCTCCGGCTCCCATTTTCAAATCCTGCAACAGACCACGAAGAAACCGCCGAAATTGCCAGGAAGCGGGAGTACGATTCCTGGAAACTATGCCGATGGGGTCCAGAGGCCAATTTATCAGGGAAATTTTGGGTCTGGAGGCTATGGCGAGGTTCCATCAACTGTTAAACCCGTGAACAGACCTAGACCTACTAAAGTGAGACCCTACGTTCCCCAGATAATCCAAGAATTACCTGGAAATGGTAGTTTAATTCCTGGAAACTATGCTGACGGGGTCCAAAGGCCAATTTATGAGGGAAATTTTGGGTCTGGAGGTTATGGCGAGGTTCCATCAACTGTTAAACCCGTGAACAGACCTAGACCTACTAAGGTCAGACCTTACAACGGGTATCAGCCTGTTTCCGGACCTTATGGCGACCCGGATAATCCTAATCCTCCTAGTTATGGAGTCCAGAGACCATTTTATCAGGGAAGTGTTGGGTCTGGAGGTTATGTCGAGGTTCCATCAACTGTTAAACCCATAAACAGACCTAGACCTACTAAGGTCAGACCCTACAACAGTCAACAATCTGTTTCTAGGCCTTACGTCCCTCAAATCCTTCAAGAACTACCAGGAAACGGCAGTTTAATTCCTGGAAACTACGCTGATGGGGTCCAGAGGCCAATTTATCAGGGAAATATTGGGTCTGGAGGTTATGGCGAGGTTCCATCAACTGTTAAACCCGTGAACAGACCTAGACCTACTAAAGTAAGACCCTACGTTCCCCAGATCATCCAAGAATTACCTGGAAATGGAGGTTTAATTCCTGGAAACTACTCTAATGGGATCCAGAGGCCATTTTATCAAGGAAATGTTGGGTCTGAAGGTTATGTCGAGGTTCCATCGACTGTTAAACCCGTAAACAGACCTAGACCTACTAAGGTCAGACCCTACAACAGTCAACAACCAGTCTCTAGACCATACGTTCCCCATAACATTGGAGACCCGGATAATCCAAACCCCCCGAGTTATGGTTATCAGGCAAGGCCGACAAACGACCACATCCCTGATAATGACTTCTTCAACTGGAGTTATCGACCTTCGGTCGGGTATATCGAGACCCCTAGACCCATCTCGACGGCCTCTTCAGGGTTTAACGTGGACCAGGATGAAAATGTCCATCAGGGTGGTTCCCAGCAAGCTGGTCTGGGGTCTGGGGGAAGTTGGTCTTCGGCAAGGCCTGGTTATGGTTCTGCTGGTCCATTTGCTGAACAAGGTCCTGGAGATTCTTGGTACGATGGGTACTATGATGGGTTCAGGATGGGTCAGGTGCAGGATGGATTTGATCCCGATGGAAGTGCTGGAGATCGAGAGGAAAATGCAGACTTGAGTGAAGAATACTCCGATGGTCATCATGGTCACGATGGGCATGATGGGCATGATCGGCACGATGGTTATGATTATCGCCGTGATGGTCATGGTCATAGTGATCATCATGGTCACAATGGGTACGATGGTCATGATAGTCATGGTGACCAGCATGGTCACAATGGGTACGATGGTCATGATAGTCATGGTGACCAGCATGGTCACAATGGGTACGATGGTCATGATCGGCATGATAGTCATCATGGTCACAATGGATACGATGGTCATGATCGGCATGATAGTCATCATGGTCACAATGGGCACGATGGTCATGATCGTCATGATGGTAACCATGGTCATTATGGTCACATTGGTTATGATGATCACAATGGTCATGCTCAGACCTACCAGAAACTTCCCATCCAAACTTTTGTCGCACCAAATGGACAGAAGATCCAAACTTATCTGACCAGGCCGGTAGATCTGCAACCTTGGTCCCACCAATCAGCGTTTTTAAATGGATATCCAAATGTTCATCGCCAGACAGGATATCCTGTTCAAGGTCTTCAAAACAGTGGATACTCGAACCAAGATGTTCATCAACCAGGAAGCGATGGATACCTAAACCCAAATGTTCATCATCGACCAGGATATCTGGTTCAAAGTCCTCAGAATTGTGAATATCCAGACCAAAATGTTCATCATCAATCTGGAAATGATGGATATTCAAATCAGAATGTTCATCATCAATCTGAAAATAATGGATATCCAAACATAAATGTTCATCGTCCATCTGTAAATGACAGATATCCAAATCAAAACGTTCATCAATCTGAAAAAAATGGATATCTAAATCAAAACGTTCATCATTTATCAGGAAATAATGGATATCCAAATCAAAATGTTCATCATCAATCTGGAAATAATGGATATCCAAACCCAAATGTTCATCATCAATCTGAAAATGGTGGATATCCAAATGAAAATGTTCATCACCAATCTGGAAATGATGGAAATGCAAATGAAAATGTTCATCATCAATCTGAAAATAATGGATATTCAAATCAAAATGTTCATCATCAATCAGGAAATAATGGATATGCAAATGAAAATGTTCATCATCAATCAGGAAATAATGGATATGCAAATGAAAATGTTCATCATCAATCAGGAAATAATGGATATTCAAATCAAAATGTTCATCATCAATCAGGAAATAATGGATATGCAAATCAAAACGTTCATCATCAATCTGAAAATAATGGATATCCAAACCCAAACGTTCATCGTCAATCTGAAAATAATGGATATACAAATCAAAATGTTCATCATCAATCAGCTGATCAAGAAGCGAGAGTAGAGGTGCCGAAGCCATTGTTAGTCCAGCACAGACAAGATGACTTTCAATTGTCAAAGACAATTGCAAATGAATCCCCGACACAGTATTATTACAATAAAAATGTACTGAAACGATACCCTGACGGAATTGACATTTTGACAGATCTGAAATATGACACTTTGGATGATTCAGTTGATGACTCGATGACAGCGACCAAGAATGTTTCCTACACTCGAATTGACGTCACCACGACTGACAAAATTGACAAAGTCGACCAACGAACGAATGACAAAGGACAATTTGATGATGACAATGACGGACGTGATGACGATGAGGCGAATCATGAAACTCGAATTCCTCAGAATTATTCCTCCATGAAGACTAATGTTACCGGAAGTGACAGACTTGACAATAATGGCGGAAAAAATGAGAAAAATGGAGACGATGATTTTCATGATTTCGATGATTTGAATGACTTTAGAAGAAACGTGACCGATAGTCCTGAAGACAAGGAAGAGAAAGACAATAAAAGACAAGAAGAACATGACGAGAAGTCGATGACTACGCTAATGACTTTGTTGAGTAAGAGTGACGATGATTTTAATGATTTTAATGATTTCAATAGAACCGTGACAACCGATACTAAGGACGAAGGAAGAATCACCGAACGACAAAGAGAAAGTCAAGACGAGGAATTGATGACTACACCGATGACTTTATTAAGTAAAAGTGACGACAGTGACAATGACGATGTCGATGACGGTGACATCTTTTCTGATCAACTGAGTGACAGACTTGGCAGTGTTGACAATAGAAGAGACGGACTTGACAGTCGCGACAGAAATACCAAAGAAAATGATGGAATCATGAATTTTAATGACTCCAAAGAAAAGACGACGTCTGGTGATGATTTTGAGAAGGAAACGAGTAGTAGAGAAAGACGAAGAGAACATCGTGATGAACATTTGAAGATGAAGCAGTTAATGATTTCCAATGACAATGTTGATGATGATGATGATGATTTGGCTTTAAAAACTTTCTCGAGTTTTCCAAAGAAAGACAGGTAAATCATTGAAGTTATTTTCCGTTTCGCATTTAGTTAGACATTATTTGTTTAACAAATGTTCTATTTGTTTTCAGGCGGTCCAGTCGTCAGGCAATTTCAAAATTGGCGCCTTTTTTGGAAATATCCAAGATGGCGTCGGATGAATTCACGAGTGCCAAGGAATTGCCGAGGCCCCTCAATTTACGGAGCCCTGGCTCCTAGGGTCGTTTAATGCTTTTGTTGCTTAATTTTTCAGCCCGTTAATCGATAATTAACGTAACCGTTAATTCATTAATAGTGCAATGCGCATTAATTCATTTACAATTGAGGCACAAGATGATGTTACGTTTTGTTTCCGTCCTTCATTACATACGATTTTATCATGTCGATAAACAGTGTCCGACACGTACCAACTCCAACTGTACATATAAAACTCATAAATTATTTTTTCTATTAACATTTATAAACCTTTTACATATTTTTCACCGCGCTCAATATAAAGTAACAAAAAAAAAATATTCATGGCTAGAATTTATATAATAAGCCAAAATATATTGTTTAAATAAAGTATTTTACATGCGATTTAGACGTTTACGTTAGAATAGAATTTATAAAACCCTTACTACTTACTCTGTAATATTAGTCTAGCATTTCGTTTGTTTGTTTAATTTATATGTTACTATATGGTGCAAATAAATGTACATTTAACAGTCTCTGTGTCTTTTTTTTCATTTATTAATTTATAACCGGGAAGAGAACGCTCTATGTATATTTTATATTTTTTCTATTATTTATGTAATTTTGTTCCTCCTATAGTTTCCCTCCGTGAAGGTTCAATGGTTTTAGTTTATTTTCGGAAATGGGACATGAAGTTTTACCCAGTTTTTATTCTAATTCGGCCCTTCGTGCGTCGCATCGATAAGTCATGATAGCGGTGCGCATGCGCGGAGCGACACTCGTGCGCAGACCGCTTGGCAACGCGAGGATCTCTTTCGAGAAAATTTAACGAGCGAGGCGAATCGCTCTTTTAATCTCGATGACTCCGTCTGGAAATGCAGATTGACTCGACGATTTGTTTAATTGGCTAATCTGTAACGAGCATTCGTTAGGAGGAAAACTCGAGGCGAGAGATTCGGAGAAAGGACGCCATCTTGATTATTGCGAACAGCGAAGAACGCAGCATTGCTTTTCGTTATATTTCCATGATACTAATCCATTAATTTTAATTAAACTAGTACGGGTATTTAATTAATCGCATTAGTTTGTGAGATTCTAAAAAGTATTGCACGCATGTTTATGAGAAATTCCAATGATAATTATGGCCGTGAATGGGATTAAATGAGAATTTCTTTAGGGGAAATATGACGAGCGAGGTGAATCGCTTTTAATCCCGATGCCCCCTCTTGAACGTGGAGATTAATGAGAACATTTGTCTACTTCTTCAATCCGTAACGAGTATTCGTTATGAGGAAAAATCCAGGTAGAGGATTATACGCTTCGCCGCCATTTTGTCAAGCTTGAAAAACCAGAAATTCAATTCCACTGTTTCCCTACTGGAAATTCTATACGGACGGGCTGTAAAACCTGAAATAATATGAAATATAGGATGATATCTTACACGTTCTCAAGAAATGTCACTACAGTAACTTTCCAACTCTAAAATCTCTTGAAATGAAATTAATAAACAAGGGATATTTGCAACGACATTTCTTTTAAAGAAATCAAGTGAAAAACTTCACTTGAAAAAGATACGGATTTTTCAAGATGGCGCCGATCACTTGGGCTGTCGGTGAGTTTAATCAATACCATATATAGGCAAACTCGCGCGTAAATTCTAAAATACCTTCGATGAATAAGAGTTTTTTCCTAATAAAATCAATATTCAGACTCCAATCAATCGAAAATTCCACTCCCGAGTGTTATAGTTCCGTTTAAAGACGATTTGAATATTTCCCGTTCCAAGATGGCGTCCGACAGGTGGCGCCCCTATCGGCGTCCCCCCACCCTGCCGCCACTCGGAGTCGGCGCGGCCGGCGCGAAGCGGGAGTCGACCAGTCCTCGTCAGTCGTTGGCGACGCGTCCGGGGCGCAGGTCGCTGCGATCGGTTCGTGCTCAAAATGGCGCCCGCAAGCCGCCCGAGCGTCCTGGGCCTGTTGGTGCCCTTGTCGGTGTGTCTGGTGCTGACGGCGCGGCCAATGGCGGGCCAGGAGAGTCTAACGGCTCGGATGCGCGTCATCAGCGAGGATCTGGACCGCCAGCTCAACGAGATCATGACCTCCCGGGCCGTGTCCTACTCCACGGTCAGGACCACGGGCCTCCCCTACAACGCGTCGACCAGGTTCAACCCGAAGGGCATGGGCAACCTCTACAACGTCACCAACGCCTTCATCGACTTCATCCAGAGCAAGCAGGCCTACCCCGAGGGTGAGTCTCCTCTCTCTTCGTTCTCGTCGACCATGGGGGGGGGGGGGGAGGGGAGCGCGCCAACATGGAAACTGGAAGCGTAAACAAGGACTCACCCCTGGGGGTCGATCTTGTATCCCTGGACTAGTGAAATTACTCCCGCGAGTTTCTTCACCGGACTGTGGTGGAAATGCGAAACGCTTCGTGTGATTTTATTCGTCTAGAGGGGATTTGTGAATGAGATGAGCTATTAATAAATAAACTACGTCTCCGTCGTACTCGAAATCCGGGATTTATCGAGCCTAAACCCAGTAAATCCGTATTTAAGTGGCTGTGGAATCTGCGGATTTATTAATACGATGGAGACGTGGTTAATGAGGTATAAATGGAAGACATTTATGACTTGTTCTTTTTATAAATGTTCATAATGACTGAGGTTTATTGGGGGTTTTTAAGTTTTGTAGATATGACTGTCTCCATCGTGATCCTAAATCCGGGATTTATCGAAACTAGGCGCAATAAAGGTCGATTACTCACGAGCAATCTGGCTCCGGTTTGTACAGGGATGATACGAATGTCTCCCAGTGTGGTATGACAATGTAAAAAGCAGATGTATGCATCTCCGTCACTGTACAAACCGGAGATGAATCGGAAACAGATCTAACGTGGGTGAATCGACCCTAAATCTTGGATTTAGGGTAGGATGTAGATGGACTGTATGTTAGTAAACTCATTAAAAGCGTAAATGAAGATTATGCAGGCATGCTTGAAATTTAATCGTAACGCATTTTCACAGAGTCGGATAGTCTCGTATATATTTTGCATCTCCATTGTAACGAAAGTATTAAAAATGAACTAATTCCCTTGATTATCGTACATTGCTTCGAGGTAAAAATGTGAAACGTCTCTTGAGGAAGTATTAAATCAAATATTCTTTGTCCGAGGAAGATTTGAGAGAGATAAAACACAGATAAGGTCAGATAGAAATGACAAATGCAGGATAATTTAAAACGGAAATGTTTTGTTATGGATATTAATAGTAGCTGCTTTAAAGTTTCACTGACGTTTGTACTTTCTATCAATTTTATTCTCTTATGCAGTAAGAACGATGTAATGATTCACGCCGATTCAAAACAAGCGATGCAGTCATCCTTGAAGTGTTGTTCTTCATACTTTCCACTCGATTACGCATTTTCACGGTTAAGATACAGAATCTGATAAGTAATCCGACGTAACGTGAAAGTTCTACGAGGGAGTAATTTCATTAATGTTACAAAATCAACCCCCAGCAGATGCGAGAAGAGTCCCTGAGGAAGAAGGAACGTATTTAAGGACTATATATATAATATATGCACAATTAATATCTATAGAAAGTAAAATTGTAACGTATGTATGATAAGATAAGGTTATGAAGAGGTTTGTTCCCTCCCCTTCCGCTAAACTAGCGGGTGGCGCTTTTAATCTTGAAAACAAATATCCCGTAAATATTTATATTCTTTATTAAACGCGGTTTTATGCCGTAAAATGTGGAAACTGTTAATTACCTTCAATGATGAGCTTTTAAAAGAAAGATGGCGGCGACCGCGTAACGGTAAACTCGCTCGTAAACACATCCGGCGGATTATTGTGGACAAATTTGACCTTTCTTCTAGTTAAACCCTGAATTGGGGATAATTATTCCTTAACCTGCCTCCCTAGGCCGTATAAAGTGAAAGAGAGGCGGGCGAAATAAATATTCTTTAATGATAAGAATTTTAATCTCAGATTATCTTAAGTTTCTGGCGATGGAACACGGTTTTACTAATCTCTGTTTAACAATCTCACACTTCACCATTTCGCTTAAAAATTTGTGCCGCGCCAGTTCATGTGAATGGTCTCGCATTTTCACCAGCAAAAACGTTCCGTAATAACGCGAGCTCCTCATGTTTCACATTTTCGTTCAGTTTGATTTATGTAATAGACTCTCTGGTAATATACCGAACTGAAATTTCTTACGAATTTTAATCTCAGATTATCTTAACTTTTTGGGGATGGAACATGGTTTTACTAATCTCTGCTTAACAATCTCACACTTCACAATTTCGCTTAAAAATTTGTGCCGCGCCAGTTCATGTGAATGGTCTCGCATTTTCACCAGCAAAAACGTTCCGTAATAACGCGAGCTCCTCATGTTTCACATTTTCGTTCAATTTGATTTACGTAATAGAGCCCCTGATAGTATACCCAACTGAAATTTCTTACGAATGATGACAAAGAACTCGTAAAATGACGCAAAAGTCACGGAAGTCTCAGCAGGATATAACGTAAGGATTACCGGTGTGTAGGGAAAGGGAAGTATATTCCCCGGAATGTGGGAAATGAAGCTCGCTTCCACACAATGGAAGGCATAAACCTCGGCGTGGATTATTCACGGGATTGTGGGGAAACGCAAATGGATCCTCCCGGAAGGATGGACGCAACGTTGGGAATTGCAGATCCTAAATCGCCATTTATTAGCGTAGACGAAGGATGTACGAAAAGACGTGGAAGCCTAAACGGCGTGTAACATTGAGGTTAGGTCGTAGCACAGAAAGAGGACATTCCAAGTGCACTGTTACAGAAGAAAAAGTTCATCAAATTGGAACACTTTTAGTACATAAGGTTGCGTTGAAATTATACATTTTATGTCTTAATGGTTAATTAATATACTGTTTAAAAAAAGTTCATAAATTAGCTCTTATGGTACGTGAGGTTACGGTGAAATTATAAATTCGATGTCTTAATAGCGAATCGGTTTTCATTTATTATGAAATTCTAGATAAATTTACAATTTTATAGTAAATGTATACCGATTCACCGTTAAGGCATGAAATTTATAATTTTGGTACAATCTTATGTACTATAAGTGCATGAAAATTGTGCGTTGCGAAGTATTCTTTCAAAATGAATGAAATCGTTGCAGTGTTACGAATTCAGATAATTTTTTATAAATGTTAGCGAACGTTATTCACTCATTGCATAAAAATATAAATTTGAAAATGCTCCGTAATGAACTATTCTTAAAAAAAAAAATAATGACACCGCAATGTTACGAATTTAGATCATTCTTCATAAATGTTGGCTAGTATTATTCACTCATTGCGTAGAAATATAAATTTGAAAATGGTCCGTAACGAACTATTCTTCAAAAAAGAATAATGACACCGCAATGTTGCGAATTGTAGGTCGTTTGCGGCTCCTAAATTGCAACGCCATTTATTGATTCGGACAAAAATAAACGTAAAGTGGCGCGCAAGAGATGGAGGTCTAAACGGGACGAAGCAAAACCGGTCAAATCTATCGGTGTAAACGAACGGAACGGATTCACGCGTTCGCGATCAACGGAACCGAGAAGTAAAAACACCGTAAACAGTGTAAACAACGGTTCGTTGAAAACAAAATGGCGGCGAGACGCTTCGCACAATTTCCTCTACTATTTTCCATAACTACAGTTTTATTGACCTTATATCTTATATTAACCTGGTAGTATAACCGATGCGAATTTGGGAGAATTCAATTCATATTTTTTTACATTCACGTTATTTACAATAATTTTAATCAGCTGTAAGTGAACACTTTAAATTGTATTTCGGAAGGTTTTAGCTGTTTAAACTTCCGGCGCCGGGATTTCTGCGATATTGGAAACGTAATATTGTTAAACAATTACGTAATCAAGCGGGGAATTAATTTAATATTTCTTACAAATAATTACGTGTTTACATGTGTGCTTAACGACGTTTATAACCTGACGGGTACATATATCGTATATTTGCTATATCCGCGATATTGAAAACGTGATTTACTAACTCCGGGCATCCGCCATATTGGAAAGGTAATATTGTAAACAATTTCGAACCCATTCTCTAAATTAATCTATTATTCCTTAAAATTATTTGCGTGTTTACACATGAGCTAAAAGATGTTCATAATCTAACAAATACATATATCGTATATATACTATATCCGCGATACTGAAAACGTGATTTACTAACTCCAGGCATCCGCCATATTGGAAAAGTAATATTGTAAACAATTTCGAACCCAATTTCCAAATTAATCTATTATTTCTTAAAATTATTTGCGTGTTTACACACGTGCTAAAAGACGTTTATAACCTAACGGGTACATATATCGTATATTTGCTATATCCGCCATATTGAAAACGTGATTTTCTACTTGCTTGGTTTACCTAATATACGTGAAAAATGTCGAAAAACGTCGAAAAACGCATAATTACCCAACCCTGATAGAACGTGCGGTGTTCGTCCGGTAGCTTGCCCGACTCGGAGGGGGGCAGGAAAAGGGGGAAACCTAACCTCTCTCGCGCAAGTGTAGGATGTACTTCCGGCGGAGCATGCGACCCAGGCTCTCTCGTGTAACCGCAATTGAAAGCCTAAACGCATTGTTACATGGACTTTCGTGACTCACGGGAGAGAAATTCTTTACGCCATTGTCCAGGTTGAACCGCTCGTGCGTGTTATGGTTTAAGTATATCGAGAGCTATTGAATTTTAAGAAGAAATAAATTCAACAATTACCTCCCCACTTTCGCACATCGCCACTTTAGGACAATGTATCGCTAATTTATTGCTATTTCATTTAAGAAAATAATCTTCTTTACTCTTATACTTTTTGAAAAAACGGTGGCGACGTCTGCTTCATATAAAGTTCGTAATATTGAATTGATATTAAATTGATAATGATATTGATATTAAAAACGTAATATTGTACCACTGTCACATTACAAAAGCCATAATTAAGTAAATAATCATCGTCGGATATATATTCCGGAATTTATTGCCAATTAATTGCTCGTGGGAGAATCGAATTTGGAATTTTTTCCACGACCCTTACGTAAAAGATACGTATATCCGAAAAGAGACGCGACCGCCGCCATCTTGGACTCCGCGCGAATTCCCGCGAGACGCGTTTCATTTTTTGAAATAGGAACTCCGAGGGTACGAGATCGGGTTTGGAAATATTTGTAGCCTCCTCGTGGAAGGTCCCGAGACACATTTCTCGAGGCGAAAGACTCGAACCTTGACTGGCAGAAGGGGATTAAATTCGTCTCGCGATATAAACGCGTGAATCATCGAGACGTCCATTGTTCGCCTCGGGACTCGTGCTCTCTTCGGGTCTCTCTTTTATATTCCTCTTGGCCACATCCAGGAAGATTGCTTTCCGCAATTCCAAGATACGAATCATCGTCCCTCTCCTCTCCTCTCTTCCGCGTCCCCTCTATCCTCGGCGAGCCGCGTTTTCGCCTATTTTTTTTTTCTCTCCTTTTCTTTTCCCTCTCGACGCCATTTTTCTTTTTTCGCGACCGAATCCCTGCGAGTGCTCAGACTCGAGTTCCGCTTTTCGTTAAGAATGACGCTCGTTAATTACGTTTTCGGGTCTCTAGATTGTCGGGAACGACCGTGCTGGCATGCAGGATTTTTTTTGTTTCAATTTTTTGTTGGGCTTGTTTGAAGTTTCATGCGGATAATATAGTCGACGCTGTTCGTCATTCGGAGTTACAAGATGGCGGCGGATAGAAGCTCTTGGAAAAATTATTAATCTTATTCTAACAAGAATACACATTAAAAAATTTCAAGCGAGGACATTTTATTCGTCGAATTTCATAATTATGAAAATTTATGGAATTTTTTTTCGTTTAGAGTTTCAAAATGGCGGCATAGAGAAGCTCTTAAAAAAATGTATGTCTTATTCTGACAAGATTACACATTACACAATTTCAAGCGAGGACATTTTATTCGTCGGATTTCATAATTAGGAAAATTCAAAGAATTTTTTTTTCAATTTCAAAATATTTAACGTTATTCTGGAATAACAAATTGCCGAATCTAAATATCGTGGATTCTTTTGTTATCCGAGCGTCGATTCGAGGTTATTGTCGCATAAAAAATCGTATAAAAATTCAAAATTTTTATTTATACCCTTGTAAGAAGAAATGTTTTTAAAATTCATAGTGATAGGAAATTCCTTTCGTATAAAAGATCCTATAAAAAAAAAAAAATTAGAAATCCGAGACAATTCACAAGTTTTTTTTTCGTACCCTTGTAAGACGAAATGTTTTTAAAATTCATAGTGATAGGAAATTCCTTTCGTATAAAAGATCCTATAAAAAAAAAAAAATTAGAAATCCGAGACAATTCACAAGTTTTTTTTTCGTACCCTTGTAAGACGAAATGTTTTTAAAAATAATCTTGATAGGCCATGAATGTTTTTATTGTAAATATACCGATTTGAAGTTCCTACCGTATAGGAAATCCTTAAAAAAAAAAGTGTCATTTCAAAATTTTTTTTTTCGTACCCGTGTAAGACGAAATGTTTTTTACAATTGATAGTGATAGGTCATGGATGTTTTTGTTGTCGTGTGTGTACCGATTCGAAATTCCTTTCGTATAAAAAATCCTATTAAAAAAAAAATTATAAATCCGAGACAATTCACAATTTTTTTTCTTTTCGTACCCTTGTGAGACGAAATGTTTTTAAAAATAATCTTGATAGGCCATGAATGTTTTTATTGTAAATATACCGATTTGAAGTTCCTACCGTATAGGAAATCCTTAAAAAAAAAAGTGTCATTTCAAAATTTTTTTTTTTCGTACCCGTGTAAGACGAAATGTTTTTTACAATTGATAGTGATAGGTCATGGATGTTTTTGTTGTGTGTGTACCGATTAGAAGTCTCCCTATCGTTCGTAGACCCGATGCGTTGAATATCATTAAATATTATCGCCGACAGACCAGATTTGGCGTATCTTTCCGGGTGAATCATCGAGAGCGTCTTTCCTTCTTTTCCCCTCGTTCCGTCTTTTTCTTTCTCCTTCTCTTTCCTTAAGAAAATTTCAATGAACCGAAGCTATCTCCTGTCTCGGAATAATTCGCCTCGGTGGCGTGTTTCGGTTTTTGAGTACACAATTAAATGCATACGCACTGATTCCTTATCGGACGACGTACAGTGGGGGGCATTAAAGTGAAGTGAATCGATGTACAATTATTGAAGGCTCTAATATGAGCATTTTCGAATTTTTTCTCGGCATTAACCCTTTGGCTAGAGCGCCGACGTTTGGTCCAATTTTGCCTGCACGGTCAGACGAATTTCGCCCATATGTCGAAATGGCTCCGCGTTCAAAGGGTTGAAAACAAATCGCCCTCGACGAGAGTATGCCCCGAACATAATGCAATTTTACGCTTCGCCGGTGCGTATTATGAAAAAATGCTTTGAACAAAACTTGTTCGGGATAATCCGCGTAACAACTTTCGTTTCGAGTGTTTTTCGATATCACGCCCGGTCGAAGCTGAAAATCGAATATCGGGACCCGGGAGCGCGTTTCTCGCGCGCGAACGCCGGGAGGGGCGAAAAAAATCCAAATTCGATTTGGGGGAAAAAAAGAAATATTTAAAAGAGTCTCTAATTGTTTTTCGAGGCAACGAGAGATGGATTGACGTCTGTCGAGTTTAAACCCTTTAGAAAGGGGCGGATTAGAAATGCATCGGGAAATCGAATTATCGGCGTCGCCTTCGAGAGTGGATTAAGGACTAATTCGATCCCATTAAAGGTCGTTTCCACCGATCGATTCTCGATATCTGTCCGTACGTCAAGTTCTCGATCGGATTTAAAGAAGAATTGCCACTCAATCGGCAGTGAAGTTAATGTCGATCTCGATTAAGATCTTCATTCGAGGTGGAGAACACTTTTCGAGAAGTGATCTCGAAGTTTACGAGAAAAATGTGAAAAATTTACTTTAATAATCCCGAGGATTAACAGAGGATTTTTTTAAATACAGAGGAAATTTCTTTTGTTAATCTTAATCTTCCTCGATAAAAAAATCTCATAATTAATTGGAATATATCTTGGTGGAAAAATTCCTGCATGAAAAAAATATCGTACAAAATTGGTCTCAAGTTAAAAAAATTATTTGATAACGCGATAAAATCGATTATACCAAGCATGGTTAAAAAAGAATACGAAAAAAGTGTCGCAAAATTATAATATCGTTGCTTTTACAATTTAAGCATTTTATAAAGTAATTCCGAAGTCTCGGAGAAAAATTTGATAAATTTACTTTCAAAGGAAATTTCTTTTGTTAATCTTAATCTTTCTCGATAAAGAAATCTCATTGTTAATTGGAATATTTCTTGGTGGAAAAATTCCTGCATAAAAAAATATCGTGACAAAATTGGTCTCAAGTATTAAGAATTGTTAATGATGATTATAATCACATTTTGTATACGATGTATCGAACTCGAACAACTTATAATTATTATTTGATAACGCGATAAAATCGATTGTACCGAACTTGAGTAAAAAGGAAATTGGAAAAAAGTCTCGCAAAATTGGAATATTTCTTGGTGGAAAAATTTCTGCATGAAAATAATCTGTAGAAAATTGATCTCAAGTATTAGCCCCTTGAACACGGAGCCATTTCGACATATGGGCGAAATTCGTCTGACCGTGCAGGCAATACTGGACCAAACGTCGCGCGCCTTTAGGCGCTCTTAGTAGCCAAAGGGTTAAGAATTGTCAGTGAAGATTATAATCACATTTTGTATACGATGTATCGAACTGGAACAACTTGTAAATATTATCTGATAACGCGATAAAATCGATTGTACCAAGCATGGATAAAAAAGCATCTTAAAATTATAATATCGTTGCTTTAACAGTTTAGACATTTTATAATCTAATTTCGACGACCCGAGATAACATTGTTCGCGATAAGAATCTCAAGGCGTTAATCAGGTCGTGTGAGATTTCTTGAAAGTTCCGAAGGAAGTCGAGAGCTCGTCTTCAATCGGCGTTGTAAATGCATTTTTTTGTATCCTTCGCGATAATCGGACGACTTGACAGGAAGCGAGCGATAAGATAACGCCGATTCATTTTAAATTAATCCATTTTTTGCAAGGCTCGACTGGACTGATATCAGTTAACAGAGGACACGCGTATGATAGCGACCGAATTTTTCTTTTTCACCACCTTGGTTCCAGTCCATGATAAATAAATACATTTTTGTGTAAAAAATGAAAAACGATTTCACTTCTCAGATATATATCCGATAACGTTTTATATACATATATGCACACACACACAATGTTAAAAAATTTTTATACAACATTTCTTCAAACTGGGTGCACTGATTCATTTAAAACATTAACACGTGATTGTGGAGGCCCTAAGGAAAAACGCGGTACTAATAAAATTTCATTTTTTATATAAAAAAAAATGTATTTATCCTAGAGTAGAATCAAGAATAATTCGTTTCTTTTTATGAAACTTCATGAGCACCACGCTGAAATTTCCAACGATTCGGTGCATCTAATTTGGGGAAAAGTTTTATAAATATATTTTGACGTTTTATATACATAGAATGACTTTCGTATCCCACCTTAAAATACGAGAATTTTTTATGAAAAATGAACGATTTTGTATTCCCTCATCCGTGGGATTTTCATTATTCGATGTAATTGTTCATATGCGACGTTTTTGCAAATACTCGATTCTGACCCTTTCATATCACCTTAAAATACGAGAATTCATATGAAAAATGAACAATTTTGTATTCCTTCATCCGTGGGATTTTCATTATTCGATGTAATTGTTCATATGCGACGTTTTTGCAAATACTCGATTCTGACCCTTTCATATCACCTTAAAATATGAGAATTCATATGAAGAAAATTGAACGATTTCGTATTCCTTCATCGGTGAGATTTTTATTATTCGATACAATTGTTCATATGCAGGGTTTTTGCCAATACGAGATTTCATATGAAAAATGAACAACACCGTCCTCCTTCATCAATGAGATTTTTATTATTCGGTAGAATTGTTTATATACGAAGTGTTATGTAAATTGTCGATTCTCCAACTTTTAGTTTCATCGTTAGAGGGTGAAAGATTTGATCGGAAGACTGGTAAATAATGATTTATTGTCCGTTTTTCAGGGATCATCTCCGCACAAAGTGGCCAGCTTATTTACGCCGATCCTGCCAAGGAGTGGAGGATCATCCTGACGCATTATGCAGGACTGACGGGGCTGGCCGTTGCGGGACTTCTGGTGGCCGCCATCTTGCCGTGTGCAGGACTCTTCTTCTGCTGCTGCAGGTGCACGGGACGATGTGGAGTCAGAAGCGAACCGTTCGATAAGAAGCACGACCACTGCAGGAAAGTCATGCTGAGTGTCGTCCTCATCGGGGTCGCCACGGTTATTCTGTGAGTCGGTTTTCATTCCTTTAGAGATACGAAAAGCGCTGAGAGATTTAATCAAGGTTTAACCCGTGATTAAACTTAATCGCCCGGTTAGAGATGTTTCAATTTTAATCTCGGATCATCTTAACTCTGGCGATGGAACACGGTTTTACTAATCTCCGTTGAAAAATCTCACACTAGTCGTGGTTAACTTTTATTAATCTCGAGTCGCTGAAAAGGTTAGGGAGTCGATTATGTATTTCTGGTGAGAGTGCTCATCTCTCGCAACCGTCATGTAACGGGAATTTCTTTACCTGATTCTATTATCTGCCGAATGAAAATGTGAGATTTCGTCGGCTAGTCTCACGCGAAGTTTCTCACATTTTCATCACAGGGAGAGGTACGGAATCGCAGGAAGTGCTCACTTTTTAGTATTTTCGTTAGATTCGAGTTTTGGAATAGACTCTTAGGTTATGTCGTGGCTTCTCTGATCATCGGAAGGTTTGCAAATTCTCGAAATGGAAGTTTAAAGAGCGGAAATCTTGAGAAGTACAATTGCAATTTTCACGCGACATTATGGTTTGTCAAAATTATTGGCAATAACTCGAATGTCGTTGAGAAAAATTCAATTCTCGTGAGTTCTTGTAGGTATCTAGGTTCTGAAACTCCCCATTTTCGATTCTAAGCTTCCAAGTAGCGTAAAACATCGAAAACGTGTCTAGGCCCCGCCATGTTGGTTCTAGTCCATGGTAAATAAATTAATTCTCCATAAAAAATGAAATTTCCTGAGTCTCAGGACCTATCTTAGGGCCTCCATATTCCTGCGGGGAAATTTCAAACTAATGGAACGAATGCTAATTTGTTGTCGTTACCTCTTTTTATTTTCTCAAGGTTCGGGGTCGTCTGCGCTTTCGTCACCAACGAGAATATGCAAGATGGGACGAGAGAATTGCCGGGAAACGCGAAGATTAGTTTGAAGGACCTACAGTTGTATCTGACGACGACGAAAAAGGAGATCGACAACCTTCTGCAGACCAACTACAACGAGCTGGAAGCCACTTTGAACAATATTCTTCAGTCCAGCGGGAAAATCGTGACGGAACAGCTGTCGGAATACTCGCATGCGGTCTCGCTGACCAACCTTAACAACATAGTGATGGGTTTAGACGCCATCAGGCACGATCTTAGGATGATGAACAAGATCACTCAAGAACTGAGAGCCAACGCTAGCTCTTTAGACATCGGTGGGTTTCACCGAAATAGAATTTACACTTTATTTTTATTATATTAGTAAGAAAGAATCGGGATACTCGGCAGAGGTTCGCGCCAAATGCATTCATCACTGCATTTAACCACTTTTGTTTCAAATTAGCAACAGAATTTTTATCTGATTAATTTACTTTATCTAAATGACGTGAAAATTATTAAATGTAATTTTTTCATTGGATTTCAAGTGGTGCGAGGCGTGAAGAAGGATTTGCTGCACACTCTGGCTGCTTGCACGACGCATTACTGCAAGCAGGTCCTGCAGGAGTACAAGGTCAATCAGATGTCGGTTCAGGTTGACTTCGACCGAGTGAGTATCAGCTACTAAAAAGAAGAACAGAGTTAATTGACCCGCTCTGTGTACGCAAACGGCCTCGGAGAGTCTCCGGACGAGCGCAGACCGATTCTCGGGAAGAAACCGAAGGGAAAAGTTCAAAACGACATTTTCAGGAAAGCCATAGTTTTCGAGTTATTAAGATTTTAAGATGTCCAATCGGAGAGAGGAGGCGGAGCCACTCGGAGCGTGGCCCCGCCCACCCCGATTGGCCGAACTTCGATCGCCTGTAAATCGAGAACCGTCGATCCCTCGACGTTCGCGCAAAGGACTTTTCTACTCGGTTTTTCCTGGAGAATCCGATAATTGGTCTCCGGCGACTCTGCGACTCCTCGTTCACGCTTAAGACAAGTTTAATTAACCCTCCCCATGAATAAATGTATGCTTTCGCTTTTCCATGCAGTACCTGGATCGATACTTCCCGAAGGTAAAGAGACCCTCCAATCAGTGACTCCGCACTAACCGTAACGTAATCTACATTCGAGTGCCAGAAAGAAGGGCTTGGGTGGAACGTAGATATCTGTAGAATCGTAGTGCTACAGTTTTGTTTCCCGAGCCACGATTGCTCGCCTCGATGCTTATGTATACATAGTATACACTCGTGTATATATATATATATATATATATATACTACAGTACAGTAATTCGGTAAATTACATCTACTATCCGCAGCTTTGCAGATGCCAGATTTTGTGCAGCCTTTCGCTGCGTTTCGAAATTTACTGCCGAAGAATATGGAAAAAAAGAAAAATTATTAAAGTATACTATTTACATATTTCGAATACCTTGGAATTTATTTTCCTCCTGTGAAGGTATTAAAAACATTTTTAATAATTATTTGGATCTTAAATTCTTGTAATGTGGATTAATTGCTAATTTGTACGATAAATGAGATGAATTTGTTGTTAAACGGGAAAATAGCGAAATGGAGAAGAATACTCTTAAAATTCATATAAAGTATATTTTTACAATAATTTTGGCCGTAAATTTCGAAATGCCTGCAACGCTAGTAGACAGTAATTAACAACCGTAAACATTCGCGAGTTGCAATAAACATTGTCGATACATTACATTGAGACATTTTTTGCAATCTACAAGAATAATATTTCCTCGCTAAATTATTACTGACAATGTCAAATATTCTGTATATTTATATAGATTACTTACAAATGATCATAATTTTATTCACGAATTTTCACTAAATGAAATAAAAAAAAAAAGAATAGGATGTCAAGTTTATTTACGATTTTGAAGATTTATAATTCTTTCAGCGAATGTTTACGGTGATTAAAGTGATATGAAAGTATCATGTATGCATATCTAAAAATCAAAATTATGAAATTTTTTCTCCAAATTGGATGCACCGAATAATTTCAATATTTAACACGTGATTAAGGAGGTCTTAATGAAGGTTTTGAAACTCACAAAATTTCATGTTTCGCAAAAAAAAAATTATTTATCCCGGACAAGAACCAAAAGGATGAATTTTTTGTTGAAAAAGGAAATTTCGTGAGTTTCAAGACCTTCATTAGGACCTCCATAATCACGTGTTAATTTTTCAGATTATGCAGTGTATCCAGTTTAAAGAAATTTTATCAATATTTTCATGTTTATATATATATATATTTTTTTTATAATGATGCTTTCATATCACCTTAATGGTCAGGATGTAGAGGACGCGTCGCTATTGGTAGGAAATGAAAATTTAAAGAGCCATTTTTTTAATTATTCTTTTTTTTTCTCTCCTTTTTGTTAAGGATGCGCCGGCGTCGCATTATCGAAATTATTGTATTGAATTTTGTTTGATTCCATGCTCGCCAAAAATAGCTTCATTCTGTAAGTCGTAAGCAATAGCATGAACCTTTCTTCCGTGTTTCATTGATTTCGTTGATTGACGTGGTTCATACTTTCTGAATTGTCGAAATCATCCTTAACAACATTTCTTCGATTTCATCTCCCGGCTTGTCCTTGTACCTTTGTGTTGTAAAAAGAAAATCGTAGTGGCATGAAGGAGGCATTTTCACGGATATATTTTGGGTAATCATCGCATCTCGTCGATTTTTGGTGGACTGTGCAAATTTCAAAATGGCAGAAAATGAAATTCAAAATTGCCTGATGGTGTTTCCCAAATTGTGAGGAAAAAAATATAGGAATTTTTATTTACACGCGATTATGAAGGTCCTAATGAAATTCGCGATACTTCATTTATCCGGGACAAGAATAAAAAAAATGTCTTTTCGAAAAATTAAATTTTGAGAATTTCAAGACCTTTATTAGGACCTCCGTAATCACCTTTTAAAGTTTGAAATTATTCGAAGGCATTTTCACGGATATATTTTGGGTAATCATCGCATCTCGTCGATTTTTGGTGGACTGTGCAAATTTCAAAATGGCAGAAAATGAAAATCAAAATGGCCTAATTGTGTTTCCCAAATTGTGAGGAAAAAAAATATGGGAATTTTTATTTACACGCGATTATGAAGGTCCTAATTAAACTCGCGATACTTCATTTATCCGGGGCAGGAATCAAAAAAATGTCTTTTTTCGAAAAATGAAATTTTGAGAATTTCAAGACCTTTATTAGGACCTCCGTAATTACGTTTTAAAGTTTGAAATTATTCAAAGGCATTTTCACGAATATATTTTGGATAATTATTGCTTCCCGTCGATTTTTGGTGGATTGTCTAAAATTCAAAATGGCAGAGAAGAAAAATCAAAATGGCCTGAATGTTTTGTTTAATAAAATTCTGCGACGCCAATTCCTTTCCCTCGACTGTGACCCCGAAGAAGAGAATGCAAAGTTTTGGAAATTTTTGGGGATATCATAAATATCATAAGCAATATCATCTGAAATTTTTGGAAACTTCGGGGAGAAAATTCGAAAATGTTTAGGAATTCTATCACGCATGTTTTTTAATGTATTTGGTGCGAACCTCTACCGAATGCAATTGTTCAGGATTCTCGTTCACTTTATTTCGAATTTCTTCCTCGAAAGTGCAATATCACGTTTTGTAATCAATTCTAATTAGACTGTAATTAAAGCGTCTTGTTTTACTAGTTCTCCATTTTTAAAGAGAATCGGGATTAATGATTAATTAAATTGGACTCGGAAATGAATATTTTTTGTTTACACGGCAAGGATTATTATTCCATAAATGTACTCGAGCAGTTTTTTAGAATCTTTTTTGGAATTTGGCATGTCCTTTTTTTTTTGCAAGACGCTTTAAGTATACGTCGAAAGATTTGTAATAACATTATCGTTGCACTTTTCATATTGCATCTGCACTTATTAATCCAATATTCTCCAGAGTGAAGTTTCTCCCTAATGCAACTTCAGTCTATAAAATCACAATTTTTTCATATTAATTTCGAATTCTGTCAGAATTATTGGTCACGTGTTCTGGAGTGATTGATATAATTCTATTTGAATAATTTCCAGTAAATTTTAATGCATTAATTCAAACAGTTATTAGGGAGAATCTTCAGACAATGATAATAGAATTAAGATGACGCGATGAAAACAGGTGCTGCCATTTATGATAACTAATTAATTAGAGACTAACGCGTCTCCTTAATGAGAAACTGATAAACGCTATTTTTTATCAGCAGCGAAAAAGAAACGCCTGAGTATAAAAAAAAAAGCTTCTTTCGGTGCTATTATGTAAAGCTTTCATAATTTTCATTTTTCTTTCAAATTATTGCATTTTTTTCTTTTATTCAATGTGCGATTTTCAGTCGGATAATTAAATTCATCTTCATAATAAAATATATGTTCTCCTAGCAGCACTCGATATTTTGTTAGTATTTAAAGGAATTTTCGAAAATCTGATAAGAAATAAAAAGTAAAATGTTCCAGCTTATCATAAATAAATAAATAAATATATATACATTCTTCAAACAGCACCCGATTTTTCGCGACTGTTTACAAAAATTTTCGAAAGCCTGTATAAAAAGTGAAGTTTATTGTTAGAAAAATATGTATATACAATGGCGGACATGAATGCCTCCCCTGCAGATGCGGCATCGCCTGTGCAGGATGGGAGGGCATTGATGTCTCCCAGGGTACATTCTGCAGGCAGCACCCGATTTCTCGCGACTGTTTAGATGAATTTTGTAAAAAGTTGGAAAAAGTTGGGAAAAGTAAGAAATTAAATGGAAAGAGAACGAGGAGTGTAGCCTATCAGTCTTTTTCAGCTGCCCGATGTGACTCTTGCGCTGCGGAACATCACGGTGCTGATGGAGAGCAACATCGTGTCCGACGTCAGCCAAGGAAGGGAATCTTTCCTGAAGATCCAGAACGATATCCAGCAGTCGGTGAACCAGACGATCCCCGTAGTGAGTGCCAGCATCCGTCGAGCCGGAGATTCGCTCATCACCTTCAAGAACAGCATGACCTACATCATCGACAGGATGAACATGGAGATCGAGAGGATGTACATCCCTCGCATCGACCAAGCTCAGACGCACATCGATCAGTATTCCCCTTATCGGTGAGAAAATTTATCAACTGGACCTTAGCACGATTGTACAGCTGATGAGAAATCTGGGCAATCCGAGCTGGGCAGATTTAAGACGGTATGAAAGTGTAATATATACGCTGGGAGACATCAATGCCCTCCTATCCTGCACAGGCGATGTCGTATCTGCAGGGGAGACATCGATGCTCTCCCATCCTGCAGATTTAAGACGATATAAAAATGTAATATATACACTGGGAGACATCAATGCTCTCCCATCCTGCAGATTTAAGATGATATAAAAATGTAATATATACACTGAGAGACATCAATGCCCTCCCATCCTGCACAGGCGATGTCGTGTCTGCAGGGGAGACATCAATGCTCTCCCTTCCTGCAGATTTAAGAAGATATAAAAATGTAATATACGCTGGGAGACATCAATGCCCTCCCATCCTGCACAGGCGATGTCGTGTCTGCAGGAGAGACATCGATGCTCTCCCATCCTGCAGATTTAAGACGATATAAAAATGTAATATATACACTGGGAGACATCAATGCCCTCCCATCTTGCACAGGCGATGCCGTATCTGCAGGGGAGGCATTCATGTCCGCCATTGTGCATAAGAAAAAGTGAAAATATTTATAAAACTTGAAACCTCAAAGCCCTTAAGCCCGTCGGGCGCTCTTAGCCAAAGAGTTAAATTAACGGTGTAATTAATTATTGTTTATTTGCAGATACTACCTCGGCCTCGGCGTTTCCGGGATTCTGTTGACGGTGTTGATGTGTCTAACCTTCGGACTTTTTTGCGGAATTTGCGGAAAGCGACCGGACGGTTATGGGGACGATTGTTGCAACAAAGGGTCTGGTGCTCGATTCTTGATGATGTAAGGATCCTCTCGTTCTTGTTCCTCCTTTAAACAATGGGGAATATCTTCTCTGCGGATGTGGTGTCGTCACGCCAATGTACACTGGGAGACATCAATGCCCTTCCATCCTGCACAGGCGATGCCGTATCTGCAGGGGAGGCATTCATGTCCGCCATTGTACATCCTACTTGTCTCTCCTAATTTCCTTTTTTTTTTTTGGCACGCCAATGTACACTGGGAGACATCAATGCCCTCCCATCCTGCACAGGCGATGCCGTATCTGCAGGGGAGGCATTCATGTCCGCCATTGTACATCCTACTTGTGCTCTCTTAATTTCTTTTTTTGTTGCACGTATTCTATGCATCACAATCAGGGTTGAGATGATTTAAACAACATTAATTTTATTTCTGAATATCTGCTTGTACTCTTTTAATTTTTTTACTTTATTGTATTGCGTTAATCAGGATTGATGCGATTTAAATAATTTGATCATTTTTTAAAACTTGCTTGTATACTGAGAAAGAAATATTCATCGAACAGAGAAATATTTTATTAATTCAAAGAATTTGACAAATAAATTTTGATTCCATTTTAATTAGAGTTTGAGGCAATTGTTCTTCGAATTAAGAAAATATTTCTTTGGTACGATGGTGGTTTTTATCTCGGTGTGATGTGAATTCTGCAAGCGATAACACATTCTTCCTTCGTGTAATTGGGTTAATACCGATAGAAATAATTGATGTCAATTGCAGGGCAGTCTGGATCATCTTCCTCCTTACAAGTGTGTTAATAATTGTGACGGTGGCTCACATGGTGTCAGGTGTTCTCACTCAACGTGCGATTTGCGAACCGTTGAAGAATCCAAAAGACAATAGAATGTTCGAGCTGGTCGATGAGTTGGTGCAGATCAAGCGATTGCTTTATCCAAGGATTCCAGATGCCAATATATCGCTGAGTTACATCGTCAGGTATCCATTGTTTATTATTAAAAATATATTCCCTGACCCTGGTCATGGTTTTGAAATTTATAAATAAATAACAATGTCAGAGTGAAGTAACAGTCGAAAAAATTCATCGTTAGGTGTGCATTGTTTATTGTTAAAAATATATTCCCCGGCCCTGGTCATGGTTTTGGATTTTATAAATAAATAACAATGTCAGGGTGAAGTGATAGTCGAAAAAATTCATCATCAGATGTGCATTGTTTATTGTTAAAAATATATTCCTTGACCCTGGTCATGGTTTTGGAATTTATAAATAAATAACAATGTCAGGGTGATGTGATAGTCAAGAAATTTCATCGTCAGATGTGCATTGTTTATTGTTAAAAATATATTCCTTGACCCTGGTCATGGTTTTGAAATTTATAAATAAATAACAATGTCAGAGTGAAGTAACAGTCGAAAAAATTCATCGTTAGGTGTGCATNCTCCTTAGGGCCTTCATATTTATGAAGTGAAATTTTAAATAATAAAAGTTTTATAAATGAGACCTTTTTGATCCCACTTTCACGTCACTTTAAGAATTGTTCTTTAAAAGGATGCTTTCGTTTTTCAGCTGGCAACCAGATTCGGAGAAGCCTTCCTGTCCCAAGTCGACGAGTACTTGGAGCACGTAATCAGCAGTGCGAAGAAGACCGTAGGAAAATGTGGACCTGTTTCCAACGCCTATAACGCCACTCTCGTTGCTGGGTGCAACAAGATCCTCGATCCCTTTGTAAGTTTTCAGTTAACGGTTAAACTATTATATTAACTTCTATGATTTAAAGGCCCGATGGAAGCAATTCGGTATTGAAGTAAAAATGTTTCCTTTCTTCGGGATTTCTTTACTGAATCGGCTAACTTGGCAGTGAAATATAGGGTTATGTTTACTTGGAAACGAGATCCTACGCTACTTTGTGGTGTTGAAAATGTAACGTCATCATAATGCGATTCTTTCTTTCTCGATAGAATGGTTTCTGGGTGAGCGTTGGTTGGTGTCTGGTGCTTTTCATTCCTACAATTGTCCTCTGCGTCAAGCTGAGTGTGCTCTACAAGAAGTCCGACCCTTATCCAGGACCACTCGTTGAAGCGTGAGTATTAACCTCAATTAAGGCTAACGCTAAAGTCTGTTTTTTCGTTCATTGTGTTATATCTTAGCTGTGAAAACGCGAGAAGTTAATCGAGGCCAGTGATACTTGATTATTTCCCCTCTCCAAAGTCTTTTGATGTTAAGTGGACTGTCGTCCCATAAACTAACCTCATTGACGGACCCATGTTTGCAAACGACACTCAACGTAATGTGCCAAATTAAAGCTTTAAGGAAAATTTAGTCTTACATTAAACCGATAGTTGATTATGAGGCTTTAGAACAATAAATAATAACAAAGTCAAGAAACCGGGTATTAAATGTCCGGGACAAATAACGTATGACAATTCTAATTATTTTCTTCTGAATACATTTTGTTTTTCACACTCCGATGTAAATATTTTTCAATATTTTAATATCGAATCTAGAAGTTCATAGCAAAAACTTTCTTTCTGTCATAAATAGGATCGGGACTGTTAATTTAGCGTGATTACGTTGTGGTTGCTTCTCTATGTGGGTTCGTACTGTATTCGATCCCCATTTACTTATTCTTTCTATTGTATCCCAATTGATCGCAGTTGATCATTCTCCTCTGAATGGCATTCGACGTAACATCATTTACAAATTGATTCGGTTCCCACGTTCTCTGTGACCGATTTTTCATACAAAATGTCATCAAAGTTGTTACGAAACGCAATGAGTCTTATTTCTTGAGTTCGTTTTTACTCACAATTTTTTTGGCAGCTAAATTATTCTGAACCTTTTTTTACGTGATTTTTATAAATAGAAAGTATTAGGAATAAGATAGTTTGAGGTTAGGCACTCGTGGAATGAGAAGTTACATTTTTCTTCCTTTTCTTACCACTGATATTTGTAAATTAAACGGGATCCTTTCGTTTGTTTTTCGTCTCGAAAAGAAAAGAAAACACACACAACACGTTCCAGCTTCGTGGTTGTTTCCTCGTGGCAAGCAGACATTTGTTTTGGTTGTTCGCACTGTCCTTATAAATAAATGTTACCATTCTTTCGCCTCTTTTGTCGGTCGTTCCATTCTAATACGTTTTTCGTTTCTGTTCACGAATATGCATTAGCTTAAGACTGGCGATTCGCTTTCTATGACACGAGGAATGTTTGTTCGAGTACTCTAACTCACACTTCGTTTTGAATATTTTCATTAAGAAATCCAATATAAGGATTCTCACACACTAAACCCAATGCTAAATGGCAGCTTATACTACGAAAGGTTCTCCATTACACTTTGTATAAGTGAAATCTGACATAAAGATCAATCCTCCGCTGCGCCATAACCTAACATTACTGTGTACTTTTGTTTTCGTAACAAGTGACAAGGGCAGAAAAGGGGTCTTGGAGATATTACGTTTTATTTTCATGCGATTCAATGTGTATTAGTTCAAGTGACGATGTCAGTTAGCTTAGTATTGACCGAGGAATGTTCGTTTGGATTTTTCTAACCGCTAACACGCTCCGTTACAGCGAATATTTGTATGACGCGTATGCCGACAGGGATAACATACCCCTTGCTCAGTAAGTATTCGAAGAAGAGAAGAAAGAAGGAAGAAATAAGTGGCAATAGTTACGCTAGGCATGCCTGGATCGTGCATGGCTCTACGATTTGTCTGCCTTGTTTGTCGCAGCTGTTTTTGTTTGCACGTCCTGGAGGAAACATAACGAACACGAAGTACAGAATATTAGTGAAAGTGCAAGAAAAATGTGAGGTTATTCTCGGTTCCACCAATCTCGGTTATTTCATTGATTACCTAATCTTAGGTTAATGATAACATCCAAGTTAATTAAGGGTTAAAAACGTAAATGTTCCACCACATTTATTTAGAACACGATTAACTAATCATATACACCATTCGAAGTGAGTTGAATTCTCGATGACGCTAACCTCAGAAAGTGAAGTTCTTTAGTTAAGAATTAACATAAAATATTTTCAAGCGTACTTCGATCATTAAGAAATTGTAAATAAAATCAAAAACGTCTTCATTGGTTTCGTCATAAGAAGATGTTAATACACACTCGATATAATCCATGTTTTCCTCCCGTTTGGGCAGTTTTTAGGTTAAAGTTCGATTAACCAAAGCTAAACGATTGAATTTGACGGGTTAATCTAAACGGCGGTTAATGGAGATTAATCCGCCGTTAAAATGTGGTGGAACGGGCAACTCGTAACCGAGGGTTAGCGTTTTGACCGAGGTTTATGGAACCGGACATTAGACGTTAACTTTAACCTACGGTTAGGTAATCGATGATTTAACCGGGCGTTAGTCACGTAGTGCCAGCGAGTAGATGCACATGATGTAGACCTTAGCAAAAAATGAAACAAGGAACAATTTGTCTATTTACAAGTCTAAGTGCACCGCAAGGTTAGGAAAGCCTAGTTTGCTTAATGGGATTTCACCCCAGCGTAGAAGTTTGTACGGGTTAATTATTTAGTCTGTAATTTTTCCTCTCATCGTCATCGAAGACAGCAAATAACTCTAATCAGGGAAATCAATTGTTCGAAAGGACTCATCGATGTAACTTGCATCCGAGCACTTGAGAAATGGGCTTAACCGTAGAATATAATGCTTCGAAGTGGAATTTTTCCAAAAATTGTTAATAAAATTACAACACTTCTGCTCGAAGACAGCGAATAACTCTAATCAGGGAAATCAATTGTTCGAAAGGACTCATTGATGTAACTTGCATCCGAGCACTTGAGAAATGGGCTTACGTTGAAACCACCGTAGAATATAATGCTTCGAAGTGGAATTTTTCCAAAAATTGTTAATAAAATTACAACACTTCTGCTCGAAGACAGAGAATAACTCTAATTAGGGAAATTAATTGTTCGAAAGGACTCATCGATGTAACTTGCATCCGAGCACTTGAGAAATGGGCTTATGTTGAAACCACCATAGAATATAATGCTTCGAAGTGGAATTTTTCCAAAAATTGTTAATAAAATTACAACACTTTTGCAACATGTACGTAACCAAACGAGTTTTTCGGATGTACTTGGTGCGAAACTCTATCGCGTAGCTTCACAATGAAATTCTTTTTTTTTTTCGCCTCCTAGGAACATATAGTATTATTATAGTTCAGGGAAAGGCACACGCTCGTCTAACTCGCATGTTTAAATTATTTCTCGAGGTTATCTCAAGTATGGAATGATAAGAGGTTAATTTTTCTTTCAGCGTCCATGATAAGAAGTATCGGTGCCATGGGAAACATCATCCAGCTGCTTATGTGGAAAGCTATGATGGACCTGCAGGCGGATATGCAGAGAGAGAGAGAATCGCTGATGCTCATCAAGGATCGTCTCATCACGATCCACGATATTCCGATTTGGCGCCCAAGTGAGTCTCTTTGTTAAACATTAATATGCCATTCTGAAAGCCTAATCAATTCTATATGATGATACGACGACAATAGTCGCATACTAAGGTACACTATTGCCTTGCAGTGTACGATGGTTAAGGCATTAATCTCCGCCACTGTACACCGTGGTATAACTGAGAGACTGAGCCTTCGAATTCTTCTATACTCGCGGGAATTGTCATTTTCTAACCGAACGACGCGTTGTAGCGGGAAATGGTTTATGTAAATGTTGTTCGGTACAATTTGCGCGACAACTTTTGTCTGAAACGTTTTTTTATACCATGCTCCGGTTGAGCTGAAAATCCATAATTAGGCGGGAAGGTGGAACGCGGGGTTACGAATTAAATGACGTATTTCTGTTTTTAGGGATTATTTTTAATGAAAAGTCGCGGGAGAAAGAAAAAACCTAATACGTGGTTTTTCTTGTAGGAATTCGTTGGAAGAAAATTTAAAATATAATTGGTTTAATCCGTGTTGGGAGTATAAAAAAATAATTATTCTTTTTCGTATGCATTCTCGGTCTCGCGAGTACAATTCTCACTTTTCTTTGTCCTCCTCGTCACCTGTCTTTGATTTCATTTTCAGTTTAGCCCTACCGGGGCAACGCCACAAGCGCGTCGCTTCCGAAACCGGGAAAATGTATACAATTTCGCAGAATGCACAGTAAGTCGTGGCCAAAAAGAGAATAAAAAACGACTAGCCCGGTTGATCCATCCACGTGGAGACGGTTTATCAAAATTTTGTGCGTAATTTTGCGAATTAACGATAACCGATTACAGTATCGTATTCTAGAGGAGAAATCTAATCGAAAAGGTGCTATGTAAAAATGTCGTGGGATCGATAGTTTACGAGTTATCGAGTGATATCTTCGACCAATCGCAGAAGGCGTTCAGTCACCGCTTCAGTGTCCACGCCCACCGCTTCATTTAGCTCCGCCCACTCGTCGCTGAACGCGCCACACGATTGGTCGACTTTAACGCTCGATATCTCGGAAACCAACAATCGTACGAAATTTTACATAGAAACTTTTCGGCTCGGTTTCTGTCACAGAAGGTGTTGGGAAGGGAATTATTCGGAATACATCGAGTTTTTAAATAAATTTCGGTGATGCATCAACCTGTCGAGCTTTTGACGTGCGACTCGAGTGCTTCGGACGCAAAATGCTGACTTTTGTTTCACCACGTTGGCAAGCCGCCTTATTTCCGTTTCGTTTCGCTTTCAGTTTACATGACAAGAGCAAGGTTTGTTTCATGTGTTGAGTGGAGATTGAAAATGATTTCCGGTCGATCTGTAATAGTTTGCCACCTTGAAAAAAAAAAGGGATCGATTGAGGATGACAATGTCACCACAACATTTATAATATCTAATTCGCTGTCTTTGATGACACCGAAGTAGCTTAAACCTTCGACAATGACCTTTATAATGGAAATTTTGAATCAGTGGAAAAATTGAGGGAAACTGTCATTCGACCGGACTGCGAAAGCTTGAATTCAAAATTCTACAGGGTGTCTCATAAACGTACAATAAAGCCGTTCTTCGTGGAAGGCAGAGTCTATAACATGAGGCATTGTTTATACCATAAAATAAGATTAATTAATACACTCGCCCCCGCGTTCTCCGTGGAAAAACGAAGAGAATGTTTCCTTACAGAAATTTCGCCAAATGAGTGGTTCTCGAGATATTCAATAATCATGTCGACCAATCAGAGGCAGGGGGCGGAGCCAGTGGACTGCGCGCGAGCCTCCTGATTGGCCGGACTTCGTCGTCGGATATCTCGCGAACTATAAGTCCTACGAAGTTCCTGCAAAGGAACTTTTCGGTCAAGTATGTCCCGAAGAACGCATAGGAACGGAACGGAGACCCTTTACCCTGCAGATTTTTCGAAAATCCGTCCAAACGTCCGCAATCCGCATGGCACTTTCCGAGCAGGGTTCCCACTCATCGGTCAGGTCAAGCCGATCTTATTTTGGCGTTCGAAAATTCTGCTTCCAAGGCGCCCCCCCTCCCCCAAATTATGCAATCGTGATTCCCATTGGTCACACTGTTTCTCCCGGTTATTTCCAGGTGAGTGGGAACCTTGCGGGGGGGCAACTTCTCGCGTCTCTCGATTCGCCTCTGCCACGTAAGTCGTAAAGGCTCATTCTTAACTCTGTTTCTGCCTGTCTAATCGTCTCTCAACTCTCTGTCGATCTGTTGTCGTGTCTTTTGTATTATATACTTTTCCCTCCCACGTCGCGTCGTCCGCCAGAAGTGTCACGAACGATTGACCTCTCGAATGTCACTTTCACATTCCCTTAATTCCAAGAGATCTTCTTTTCCGAAAGTTCTTACTCTACATCCTGATCTCCTCACTTTTTGTATCATCCACGTTTCCACCGCTACATTTAGCTTTTCTTAAACCCTTTCTGTGTGTTACGATCGGTCCACGCGACAAAACTTGTCCAGAGAAAATTCCCCTAAAAAAAAAAATGACAAACGAACTCAAGGAGATCGATCGTACATTGCATCTTGCATCTCGGGGTAGATTCTGTAACTTTGACGAGAGGGCTCACTTCTCGCCCTGTCATCTCACGTGAATTGATTCGCCCGATTCTCCAAGTGAAAATGTGAGATCCCTAGGCCGAAAGAACTCGGAGTTTCTGGTCGAGTAATCTCACGGGGATTCTCACATTTTTACCATTGTGAAAGTTACGGAATCACGGGAGATGCTCACTTTCTGAATTCACTATGGTAAAAATGTGAGATAATTCGCGTGATACTACTCCCCCAGAATCTCGAGATTTCACATTTTCACTTGGAGAATCAGAAAACGGTGAAAATGCTAAAAGTGAACACCTACGATTTCGTAATTTTCACTATGGTAAAAATATGAGATAATTCGCGTGAGGCTACTCCCCCCAGAATCTCGAGATTTCACATTTTCACTCGGAGAATCGGAAAACGGTGAAAATTCTAAAAGTGAACACCTACGATTTCGTAATTTTCACTATGGTAAAAATATGAGATAATTCGCGTGAGGCTACTCCCCCCAGAATCTCGAGATTTCACATTTTCACTCGGAGAATCGGAAAACGGTGAAAATTCTAAAAGTGAACACCTACGATTTCGTAATTTTCACTATGGTAAAAATGTGAAATAATTCATGTGAGACTACTCGCCCAGAAACTAGAGATTTCACATTTTCACTTGGAGAATCGGGTGGATAGACTCCCGTGAGACGACAGGGCGAGAAGTGAGCACTTTCGCCGAAGTTACAGAATCGACCCCGTTGCCCTTACTGTACGTAGTCCGTTCCCGAGCGAAAATTCATCTTCATTTGGATTCGTCGTATGCAATGTTCGCACAGACGTTGGCATCGATCGAACTGCCACGAATGTGGAACTAACTCGGAGTGATTTATTTATTTTCAGGAACTGGGCAGAGTACACCAATCTGGACCCGCCCAGCTATCAGCCCGCAGCGGCTCCGCTCAGCGCAGAGTACGAAAGACCCCCACCGTATTACTTCCCGGGGCCTGGGTATGTATCCCATGACCATCTGCATTAAGGTGATATGAAACCTTATGCCTACCTGTATACGGGGTTTGTTCAAAAAGTACTGTCAATGTCAGTGATTCAATCGTGAAGCGACTACCCGTATGTTTCCGCTTAACGGCGTTCACCACCAAGTGGGGACGATGACTTCCACCGCTAGATGGCATTAGCATCGAATTCGGTGGGAGGTAACCAAAACGTACTTTCTCGCTCGGATGAGGGAGACGCGACGCATAATGGGCAGTGTTTAGCAACGGGCGAAAAATGTGTGCGTATTTTGCACGTATACAACTCACACAACGGCTAGACGCCTCTGGACTAGGCGCCGAAACGTGTGTGACCCTCGGCCGCACGCACACGCAAGTTGGACGCTCCGCCTAGAGTCGGCAACGGTTGCCAAGGAATGCCCAAATTCCTCGCGAGAAACTTGAAAATCCTGAAAAAGGTGCTCCACGGGGACAACGATTTTGAGCGTATTTCTCAACCGATCGAGCTCAACGAGTGCTCGTTTTAAAGATAAAATGTTGACGTGTGTTTATATGGGAGCGATTTTCGATCGAGCACCTCCTTCCTAGGTAAAAGGGCATTGAAGTTACGTCGTTGCACTTTTTTATATGATAATGACCACTTATCGAAAATCGCTCCCATATAAACACAGGTCAACGTTTCGTCTTCTATATGAGCACTCGTTAAGCTCGATCGGTTTAGAAATACGTTCGGAATCGTTGTCCCCGTGAGGCCCTGCAAAATCGCTGGAGTGGTGAGCGCCCTTAAGTATCCAATATCCAAAATGGCGTTACCATGAAAGAGGGTATAGATGATTTCCACTTTATCGACGTCGATATACGTAGACGAGATGCGATGTTACCTTCTTGGTTTATTCGTTCACAGGGATAGGAATTAGGATTCGAGTTCCGTGGCATGCACGAAGGCGGCGCTGAGCAGCGCGGCCACTCACAGTCTCACTCGCAGTTACAAGAGGACGCTGAGGAAGAAGCGGAAGAGGAAGAGGACCGTCAACCGACGGGATTACGTCTGACTGGCGCTAATCCCCGGGCATGCCGCGGACCATCGATATTCCCCACAATTAACCGCAGAAGACGCCTAGAGTCGTCCCTTCCGCCATCTTGAATCGTCCTCGAACGGGATTGGTCCCTTTCAAGATGGACGAGCCAAAATACGCAATCATGGCTGCCGGGATTTACTAATGGGATTAAGTCGCCGAAATACGCAGCAGCGAATATGATTAACGATTTAGGGAAGAATTCCTGTTGCGATTAAAGATAATTACGAAGATTCGAGGCGTTTACAGTGAGGAAGATTGAAAACACGTAATCCATCTTGGCAGCCGGGATTTACTAATCGGATTAAGTCGCCGATATACCCAACAGTGAAGACTAGGATTAACAATTAGTAAAGAATTCCTATTGCGAGTTAAATTAACGACGAAGGTTCGAAGCGTTTACAGTGAGGAAGATTGAAAACACGAAATTCATCTTGGCAGCCGGGATTTACTAATCGGATTAAGTCGCCGAAATACGCAACAGCGATTACGATTATCGATTTAGGGAAGAATTCTTGATGTAATTAACGATAACGACGAAGATTCGAAGTGGTTTAAAGTGAGGAAGATTGAAAACACGAAATTCATCTTGGCAGCCAGGATTTACTAATCGGATTAAGTCGCCGAAATACCCAACAGTGAAGACTAGGATTAACAATTAGTGAAGAATTCCTGTTACGATTAAAATTAACGACGAAGACTCGAAGCGTTTACAGTGAGGAAGATTGAAAACACGAAATCCATCATGGCTGCCGGGATTTACTAATCGGATTAAGTCGCCGAAGTGCGCAACAGTGAAGACTATGATTAACAATTTAATGAAGAATTCTAGTTGCAATAGTGGAGAACGATGGAATTAAGATATTCCTGGACAGAAGCGGCGTTTTCATCGCTAACCGGGTTTAGTGGATTATAAAGAGAAGAAACTCGCCATCGGTCGATCCACATTCACATCCCATCATGGCTGCCAGGATTTAGTAACGACTTTAACTCGCCGAATCCCACAACGGCGAAGTTCACAATCCCGAGATTACAATTAACGATTTAATGAAGAATTCTAGTTGCAATCAAGTTGAGATATTCGTGTTAAGTGCAGAGGATTGGATTTACAAATGTCACGGACAACGTATCGAGCTGAGGCGAGTAAATGAAGCTGGATCCGCCATATTGGAAAACCGCCGAGCGGGATTGGCCAATTCCGATGTAGCCGGCGCGCCATTGGCCGGTCCAACGGAAACGGACACCAGGAGGCGCCAGGTAGCCAAAACTAGCAGCCATAAATCTAGCGTTCAAATGTTCTAGGGAAATAGTTGGGTCGATTTACTGTTAACTGTTCGCGACTGTTTTTCTCGATTAACCGTCTCTGTGTGATTTCTAGTGATTTCCGATTGCTCCTGGAAATGGTCAATCAAAGCGACGCCATCTTAAGCTACGATTTATAAATCTGGTTTACACCGATAATTTGGTACGCGTACTCAAGGCATGGATTTATTAAACTGTCGGTGTAAAATATCGTATATTGACTTGGGACGATTCGTTCGTAAAGTGCTAATCGTCCTTGATACACCATTGTTTACACTGGGAGGTTAGTAAAACTACCTGTAGTACGCGTATCAAAGGCATGGATTAATCAAACCAGCAGTGTAAACGATCGTAAATCGACTTGGTACGGCGTTTACAATTAACGAACTATATATATATATATAGTGATTGGACCGGTTTACAATTAACGATTCTTCTCAAGACACGCCGAGTCGTCGATTTTTCTTATCTCGACGATGGATTAAAATAAAAAAAATGGAGATGGATACGACGGTTAGAAAAATCGCGAACGAAATTAAGAGAGAGAAACAGAACGAGACGAGAGATTCATTTTTTCCTCTCGTTTTATTCCTCCATGATGGAAGATAACACGTGGAAACGATATATCCAAAATCCACGATATTGCCGCAACTATTGACTATAGTCGACAACTGGATTTTTATATATATATATATATGTTACCGTGAATGACCGAAATTGGAGAATGTCGACTTTCACCGGTGAAAGTCGACATTCTTCAGATTTCGGTGTTTCATTGTAACATATATATACTCAGATTGTTCATTTTTTATCTTCATTTGCCATCTCTCGGTTCAGATTGAGTTCCTAACCTATAAAAGCGTGCTATCGACTGCATTTATTAGTATAAAGCGAACCGTCAATTTTGCACGACCGCACAATGCGTAATTTCTTTTAATGAGTCCCGCCGACAAAACGGAAATTAATTTATAGTATGAAATTTCACTTTCTCCTTTAAATCTTCTTTTCGCAAAAGAATCAGTATTACGATCATCGCTGATTTCTACATCACGAATGTCATGAAACGGTTAAAATGTAATTACCCGGGAATTATTGCATTTCTCTTCGGAGTTTTCGAAAGCTCGTTTACACCGCTCGAGGCGGGAGATTTGAATTTCCGGAATTTTGCGCTCAAACTGGGAGGAAATAAAAAAGATAATAGAAAGAGAATTATGAACGAAGGACGAAGTCAAAGGAACAAAAGTATTGCGAAAAATGATCCGACGCTGAATAACCTCTATTTAAAGAGTCGAGCTTTTGGCGCCATTTTTGAATTTCGAAGCGCCATCTGGGATCTCGAATTGAACTTACCGGCTTCGCGAGATGTACAAAAATGAACGAAAGGAAGGGAAAGGGTTTGAAATCCAGCGGGATTTCGAGATTCCCTGCCGGATGGGAAGACTTAGCCGCCATTTTGAAGATATTTCTCAACCTCGGCGCGTTTATACGGCCGGGTTTATCTATTAGAGTTAATCTGCGAGTCTGTGCGTGTGCGTGCGCCTGTGATATGTGTTTTGTTTTTCTCTACGTATAAAGAAGCGACGACGATGGAGGAAGTAAATACGAAAGAATTAAAACACGACTGCCAAATTGTGCGAAACTCGAGCCGAGGCGATCGCGGGGTCTCTTCTTTGCTCAATCCGCGCCATCTTGGATTTTCCTGCGCCCTGATTGGCTGCGCGCGATCCAACATGGCGGCGGCCGCATCGCTGCTCGCCTCCGATGTTTACACGCTGAATTTATTGAGATTAGGGCCGGAAATTCGGAAAAATCAGATCCATTGTGAGGTTAGACAATGAGGAAGTTAGAAAATTCACGCGAAGGAAAGGAAAAACGGGGGTAAAACGGCGAAAAGTGCTTTCCTTTTCTCACCTGCCTTATATCTATAGTCGAACTGAAAGTAAAAGACGTTCTACATTTTACATCGTTGTCCCCGTGATATTTTTTGCAATCGTTGAACTATCTCTCTTTGTTTAAACATTTTAATATTGAATATATTCGCCCCATAACCTCAAAACATTACGAAATGTTGAATTTACTGCATTGAAACGTTAAAAATTGGTTGCCGGGTTTAGAGGAGCACAGAATTACGTGCCAATTTGTTTAAACAACCAGTACAAATACGAACAAATTGCAGAAATTTACCCCCGGCTTTCCTCGAAATACAACAATCGAGGATATCCTTGAATAGTGATAATAATTAACGTAAAATAAACGCGGCTGATATTTTCTAACAATTTTTGGCCAAACCTGGGAATTGTTTAAATTCGAGCCGAGTCGTCGCAAATTAACAATTTTTGCACTTGCTGAATTTCTCCCGAGTTTGCGAAATTGTACATATTCAAGCCATGTAAACAATTAACAACGCAGGTATTAATTAATCGGCCCGATTTAATTAAACCTGCAACGGTTAAATAATTTTCTTTAATTACCGACGCAAATGGTCTGATTAATAGTTCAGTTTTCTCGGTAATTGCAATCCGTTTAAACGAAGCTTCGTATCGAAAACTTGTTTAAACAAAAGTTGTCCCTTTTGTAATTGCAAGTGACTTTTGTACGGACAGTTTTTGCAGAGGTTCAATTGTTAACGAGATAGCGTATATTTGTAGTCGTTTAATTAGCGCAATTACTTGACGATTGAACGCCATTCCAATTTGCAATTGCAATCGGACAATGCTCAAACTGATTACGATTGTACTTCGCAATTGCGGCTCGTAATGGTTATCATAATCGCAGGATATCCTAGAGTGTTTAATTAATTAATTAATTAATTAATTAGTTATACTCGAGGTAGATGAAAAGTGCGTCTTAGCATCGACGAAATTCGGTTCAAAAGAATTCATTGTTTTTTTAAGGTGAAGTGAAACACGTCGAGGAACTTGATCGACGTCGGTAAAGGAAATGTTTATAAATACCTACGTTGCCGACGTTCGTATTTATATCGACAGCCGTGTCGAATTATATTGATTATTGGACTACATGACTATATACGTCGTTTTCGTATAATAATTATAAAGAAATTCAAGTAAAACTCGAGAAATCCTCTAAATTCATGCTTTCCGAGGCCCTAATTGACTGCAAAGGACCCCCTGCGCCATCTGTGATTTCCGTGTGAACTAAATTTTCCCTCCGAGACCTCGTATTCCCATCGTCTTAGCCTAGCAGCGCATAAGATACTTTTTTTTGCCTTTATCCCGTTAAAATGCGAGTTTATCGATTACCAGAGTGTTCTAAATTGTCGTAAAATTCTCCTGACCCTTTCGATTCTCATATCAGAGCCTTCGATAATAGTATATCGATCAAAATATGAGAGCTCGACGCCATTTTGGTTCTGGTCTGGGCTAAGTTAAAAAATTTTGTTGAAAAATCCAAATTTTCAATGTGTCAGGATAATTCTTAGATGATCATGAACCATGTATCAAAGTTTCGGACAGTTTGGTCCAATACCCTTAAAAAAAAAGTGTCTTATTCGAGGAGGGGTTTCACTTAACCTTAAATTCGTAAAATTCTCATTTCAAGCCAATGAGAAATAACGCAATTTCGTCGAAGCCTAGACCTCGTTTCCCACATGACTCGGAGAGAATTCTAGCCTAGTTGTACAGAATTTTATTAACGTAATCTAACGGTAACGATTAAAAGAAAAAAAAACAAAAAATCATGAAAACGGTAGTAGTGATAAGCCGCCCATGCTGTCGCGTTTCGAGGCAGCAGATTGCCAAAAAAAAAAAAAGTAACGAAGGATTGACTTTTTCGCAATATACATGTATACATAGACACACAGGTACTATATACACACTATACATAATTATACATACGAATAAATATATATATATATTATATATATTCTCTACAAATCTTTCTCCGCGTGCGAGAAATTCAGATCGAATGCGGACGGAGATGGGGGAGCGTGTGAGTGCGAGTGAGAGAGACGTAGCCGAATCGTGCGAGTGCGACTGAGAGAGAGCGAGAGAACGTCAGAGGAAGAAGTGAAAACGAATACGCATTTTCTCCGTATTTCATTGTAACTGCATTTACTCTCTATGACTAGTTGGCGAGAAAAATGTATAGGTGGGTGTGCACGTAACGATAAATCGTTGCGATAAATCTGTACAAATAGATTTGTTTACAGTTAACTGCGCTTATTAGAATTTGTTAAGGCAAATCTGTTCAGATTTAACAGCGTAGATTATAAGTCGTTGCGATGAATCTGTATAAACGGATTTGTTCAGATTTAGCTGCGCAGATTAGTAGTTGCGATGAATCTGTATAAACGGATTTGTTCAGATTTAACAACGCAGATTAAACCGTTGAGATAAATCTGTTCAGATTTAACAGCGCGTATTAATCTGTTCAGATTTAATGGCGCGTTTTAAATCGTTGAGATAAATCTGTTCAGATTTAACGCCGCGTATTAATCTGTTCAGATTTAACGGCGCATATTAAATCGTTGAGATAAATCTATTCAGATTTAACGGCGCGTATTAATCTGTTCAGGTTTAACGGCGCGTTTTAAATCGTTAAGATAAATCTGTTCAGATTTAACAGCGCATATTAAATCGTTGAGATAAATCTGTTCAGATTTAACGGCGGGTATTAAATCGTTGAGATAAATCTATTCAGATTTAACGGCGCGTATTAATCTGTACAGGTTTAACGGCGCCTTTTAAATCGTTAAGATAAATCTGTTCAGATTTAACAGCGCATATTAAATCGTTGAGATAAATCTGTTCAGATTTAACGGCGCGTATTAATCTGTTCAGATTTAACGGCGCATATTAAATCGTTGAGATAAATCTATTCAGATTTAACGGCGCGTATTAATCTGTTCAGGTTTAACGGCGCGTTTTAAATCGTTAAGATAAATCTGTTCAGATTTAACAGCGCATATTAAATCGTTGAGATAAATCTGTTCAGATTTAACAGCGCGTATTAAATCGTTGAGATAAATCTGTTCAGATTTAACGGCGCGTCTTAATTCGTAGAGATAAATTTCTTCAGATTTAAGTGCGCAGATTACAAGTCGCAACAATTTATCACTACGTGCGTAAATAAAGGAAAGAAGAGGCACTCGATTTTTGTAAAATATCGGCGAAACGCGCCTTCTTGTACACGAGGCGCCATTTTGAATTTGCCGCTTCTCCGTCTTTTAACTTCTTTATATTTTCCTTTTGTTTTGGGAGTGGTTTTCGCGCGGGGGAGAATTTTCAAAATGGCGCCTCGTCCGAGCGTCGGAGACGAATGAATGCCGGAAGAAATGGACAAAATGAATTTTCGGGGTGAAATGAAAAAGCAAAATATTTAATTCCCCTTCAATTAAGTAACTTGATGGTTTCTCATAAACAAATGAAATCTTTCACATGATATAATTGATGAATTCACATGATATAATTCACATGATATCATTCACATGATATAATTCACATAATATAATTCACATGATATCATTCACATGATATAATTCACATGATATAATTCACATGATATCATTCACATGATTTAATTCACATGATATAAATCACATTATATAAATCACATTATATAGTACCCTGTAAATCATAGGTTCATGCTCGTATCTCTTTTAGCGTTAAAAGACATCTTTTTTTGTTTACACTAAAAGTGAGGTACGAGGACGAATTTTATATTAATAAAAAAAAGAGAACCAAAGGAGTACTAAAATTCAGGGTTGCGTTAAAATCTCATATTTCACATTTTGTCCTTCTTTCCGGTTGGAAAATGTCAGCGATTCGGGAATTTCAGAAATTTTGGAAATTCCAGAGCTCGAGGGAAACTCGAAAATTCTTTGAAAGCTTAACAGGGGTTAAGCAGAAATTGTCTGGTGCTATTTTTATAATGTCCTTGATGGTCGTCTAGAAAGAATTGCCGATTTTTCAAAATTCCTTTCTCCCCGACGCTCGCTTCATTTTTTGAATTTTTTTTTTTTCAGATCGAACGATTTTTTCGTTTCGAACGAACAATGAATTTTTGAAGAACAACGTGAAAACTTTCCGTCTTTTTGTGTTCACTCGAGTTTCCGGTCGACGATTTATAAAAAAAAAAGATTTTTCCAATTTGACGTTTTTTGCAAATTCCGAAATTTGGGGAATTTTGAAAAAACGACCGGAAATTCGAGAATCATTCTATGAAGAATGACGAGCGAGCGTGTTAAATAAATAATTCGCCGTGGATTAGTGTCTCGGATATTTCACATATTGTCTTTGTTAAAAATTAATTGACGATTATTCATTAACGTGGAAATGAGTGTGTATCACAGTTTAAATATATATCTATTTTATATTAAACCTAACCTCACTCTCCAGTCTTCTATTTTTCAACATTTATCAACTTTTACCATTTTCCCCAATTATCTCCCTTGAAATGTTTAAATAAATGCGAGGTTAACAAATAATTTGCAGCTTGCAAATATCGTGAAAAATATAAAACAAGTGAATGTTGTTATAATAAAAAACGAGACTCGAGAAATGTTTAAAGTTGAGCTCGTTTCTTATTCCTCGATAACGTTAAGTTTCCTTGAATGTTATAAATTAGTAACAATATTTATGGTATTTTTATGATCGATTAACGATAATAATGCAATTAGTTTGAATATGGACGGATTTAGTAAACGATGTTAATTAATTAATTCCTCGTTGGACGGTTAGGTCCGATATTGTCGAATATCTTCTTTACAAATAATCATTCTTAAGTAATAATTATTAACAATTCACTCTGTTGTCTTTCCCCCACTTGCGCATAACTCGAATAATTTGTTCGACTTGAGAATTTGAAGTATTCCGTAAAAGCTGGATGACTTCCGGCAACAGTTCCCTGAAAACGATTTTTCATTAATTTCTTGTAAACAAATAGTTATAACAACGAATTAATCATTCGAAAGATTACTTTGTGTTTTTTAACAACAATTTCAGGAAATAAATATGCCGGCGCTTTGAGCAAAAAATGGAAGATATATTTTTAAGAAGAATTTCAGGAAATAAAAATGGCGGCGCTCTAAGTAAAAAATGGGAAATATATATTGGCTGTTCTTCAGCAAGGAATTAATCATACAAAGGATTACTTTGCGACTTTTAACAACAATTTTAGGAAATAAAAATGGCGGCACTTTGAGTAAAAAACGGAAAATATACTTTGGCCGTAATTAAAGAATGGAAAATATACTTTGGCTGTTCTTCAGCTACGAATTAATTATTCGAAAGATTACTTTGCGACTTTTAACAACAATTTCAGGAAATAAAAATGGCGGCGCTGTAAGTAAAATATGGAAAATATACATTGGCCGTTCATCAGCGAGGAATTAATCATACGAAAGATTACTTTGCGACTTTTAACAACAATTTCAGGAAATAAAAATGGCGGCGCTGTAAGTAAAATATGGAAAATATACTTTGACTGTTTCTCAGCAACGAATGAATCATTCGAAAGATTACTTTGGGACTTTTAACAACTATATCAGGAGATAAAAATGCCGGCGCTTTGAGTAAAAAAATGGAAGATATACTTTGGCTGTTTTTCAGCAACAATGTACTGAAAGGTTCCGCAACATGCCCCTCGTTTCCCCTCCCAATTTTCAGGGGTAGGATCCATCCTCTCCAGCATATCAAAAGCTTTCGCAGCATACCAAAATTCACCAAGTTTGTAAGAACTATTAGCAATAAGTTGCAATAAGCTGAACGACTCCGCGGAAGTGTCCATCTTGAGATACAACTCCCAAGCGAGCTGAGCCTTCTTGTTCATCACGTCTGAAAAATGAAATCCTGAATGACCGAACGATCCATGACAAAGACGACTACTTCAACTTGACTTACAACAATAAGCCAAGAGACTGATGTACACGTAATCGTTCTTCAATTTCTCGTTTCGGATCATCAAGAAAGCTTCTTCCGCTTCCTTGAAGTATCCCGCGGCGGTCTGCGCCTGCGCGTAGTTGAAGTTGAAGCAGTCCTCGTTAGAGAAATAAGTCTTTATGGAGTTCATGTAAACCAGGACCTCTTCGAACTGTCGATAAAGGAAGAAACAAGAGGCCATGCATTGTCTTCCGGGTATTGTGTCGCATTCCGATGCCGAAGAGCCGACCAGATGGAAATATTGCTGCGCCGTCTTGACGTTCTCTCTCTGGAAATTAATTTATTAAATTAATATTTATCAAATTATGTCTGCGTGTTTATTCGTTAACCAATCTTTGATATCCTAGGGTGAAATAAAAATTCACCTACGCACGTTTCGAGGTAGGTAATGTTATAAACAAATTTCTTAAAATTTCAAATTTCATGAGTGTCAGTATCATTAGTCTCCGAATTGACATTATGAAGTTTCAAACGATTTTCTTATCACTTTAAGGTGATATGAAAGTCTGACGTATACATACCAAATAGTGAAAATATTTATAAAACTTTTTTTCCAAACTGGATGCGTCAAATTATTTAAAACTTTAATACGTGATTATGGAGGCGACAAGGAAGAACGCGCTGCCCGTGAAATTTCATTTTTCGTGTAAAAATTAAATTTCATGATAATTTTAACCTTTCTTATGGCCTCCACATTAACGCGGACAAATTACAAACGATTTTATACATCAAGCTCGAATGAAAAAAATTGTTATAAAGGATTGATTCCCAAGATACCACTTTCATATCACTTTAACAAAGCTACTTATTAAGATTGCAATGTTTCACTATTATTTTTTCATGCTTCAAGGAAGAAAGTGGCAAGAAAACTAACGGAGCCCGTTTCTTGACCCATGGCTGCGTAAACGACGCCTTTCAGAATGTATTCCTGTGGAACTGCAGGTTCCAAGTCTTTTATTAATTCAAAGGCTTCCCCGATCTCGTCTTGTTTCAGGTAGTAAATCACCAGGTTCAACCTGGCCTCCGGTATCACGTCCACCAGACTCGGCAGGACCTGAAGAGCTCCTTCTCCGCCCCGGAAAACCTGAAAATGTAGAATAATTCATTATTTCAAGTGCAAATTTATGTTCACAAATTTTCTCATCACGATACGAGATTTTTCGCGTTTTCATTAGTAGGTGAGACATTTCGCACTTTCATTAATACATGAGATATCTCGCATTTTCATTAGAATGCGATATTTTTCACGTTTCCACTAGAATGTGAGATGTCTCGTATTTCTATTAATACGTGAGATATCTCGCGTTTTCGTTAGAATGCGATATTTTTCACGTTTTCACTAGAATGTGAGATGTCTCGCATTTTCATCAATACGTGAGATATCTCGCGTTTTCATTAGAATGCGATATTTTTCACGTTTCCACTAGAATGTGAGATGTCTCGCATTTTCATTAATATGTGAGATATCTCTCGTTTTCGTTAGAATGCGAAATTTTTCACGTTTTCACTAGAATGTGAGATGTCTCGCATTTTCATCAATACGTGAGATATCTCGCGTTTTCATTAAAATGCAAGATAAAATTTAAAACTATAGAATAATTAATAATATTAACTGCAAGTTTATATTCACAAATGTTTTTATTACAATGCGAGATATTTCACGTTCTCGCGTATTCACTTATATGTGAGATATCTCTCGTTTTCACTGGAACGCGAGAAATATCTCGGGTTTTCATTGATATGTGAGATATCTCGCGTTTTCACTAGAACGCAAAATTTTTCGCGTTTTCATTAATATGTGAAATATCTCGCGTTTTCACTAGAACGCGAGATTTTTCGCGTTTTCCTTAATATGTGAAATATCTCGCATTTTCATTCAAATGCGAGATTTCGCACGTTTTCATTAAAATTCGAGATGAAACCTGAAAATATAGAATAGTAAATAATTTAAACCGCAAGTTTACGTTCACAATTGTGTTCATTACAATGCGAGATATGAATGTGTCTTCTATAAATTACAAACTAATAATACAAACCACAATATTGTGACGAATCAAGTCATGGCCAAAGCTGAAGGAGTTAGAGATCTTATCGACGAGCTGCTTCATTTCCGCCTGAGCCGCACTTCCGTTGTAAAGCCGGAAATGGTTGCAAGCCTTCAGATTGGTCGCAATAGCACTGTCTGGATATTTTTGCAGATAAACTTGAAGAACTTCCTGAGCGACGTCGTAATAATCGAGCTTGTAGTAGCACAAAGCCACGTAAACGTTTAGCGCCAAATAATCCCTGAAAAAAAAATTATTAAAAATTAATTCCGACTTCGATCTGGAAATTCCCCCATACAAGCCATTTCCTTTTTTCCTCGTGGATTGGTGTACGTTCTTCCCTTTAGAGAGATAAAGGGATCCGAAAAGGAAAACGGGGAAAAGATGTACCTGGGCTGCTTCATTTGGGTGAGGAACTGGATTTCGGATTTCATGACTTTCGATGGAGCTTCCATTACTTTCTTTCCCTCTCTACCGAGAAAAGGGGAATTTGAAATTATCTTTTGCACCCCAAAAATACAAAAAAAAAAGTGTCGTATTCCAATCGACTGACTTGAGGAGGGTTTCACTTCACCTTAAGTAAGACGAAGAGATATATTATAATCGTGTTTTGATTTTAAGTAGAAAAATTAAATGGAAGGACTCCCTCACCTGCTTTCCAGGAGAACCTTTTTGTAAACGTCGATGGCTTCCTGGTAATGCGACTGGAGATAATGAATAGAAGCCAAGCTGAGCTGGTCCTCGATATCATCTTGCAGCATCCGATGACACTCCATTAATCTCGCCTCGTCCGCCATTTTGTGCGCCAAATGAAACACCAGTCGAGTCTTCAGACGACTTTCCGGGGCTTCGTTTAAAAGATTTCCCGCCTCAGGATACATTCCCAGGTAAAAAAAGCAGCACGCCAGATTAGTCGCCACGTCTGGCGGCCCCTCGTCTTCTTTTTTCAAGTTCTCGTAGAGTTTTGCCGCCTTCCTGGAGAAAACGACAAGGTAAATCAAGAGATCTGCGGGAGACAAAATTTCAAAATGGCGGACACGTCTCACAGCTCGCTTGTATAATATTCAACTTTGCCAAGATTGGGCACAATCGTGTAATTCGATGCGAACGAGTGATAAACTTACTTTTTTTAATCGACCGCACAGTTTAAAATGTCTATGTTATAAGTTAAGCGACGCGGAGTAAAAATTCAAAATGGCGGCGCCGAGCTTCTGTTGCGACGCACAATTTTGCAGGATATTTTCTCGGTTTCCTTGAGATTTCACACAATTACATGGATTGATTCGAACAAAAAATAGTAGAATTACCTTTTATTCACCCATGCAGTCGAAAATGTCAATGTTATAAGTTAAGCGACGCGGAGTAAAAATTCAAAATGGCGGCGCGAGCTTCCGTCGCGACGCACAATTTTGCAAAATATTCACTTGATTTCCTTGGAATTTAGTTTCATGTTTCCATTGATACGTTTTCACTGATACAATACAGAAAACAATAAGATTACGTATTGTTCACTTACACGGTTAGAAAATCCAGTGTAAGTAAAAAAAATCTGCAAAAGCGACGCGGAGTAAAATTTCAAAATGGCGGCCGCTCGCCGGCACAGTTTTATATGTAATATAACCGAGAACGAGGATAATAAATGAAGTAACGAGTAAATAAATAAAGTTGATTTGACAAAGAGGAGTAAACTGCAATTCCTCGGTCCATAAAACAGTCCCCTGGATAGTTTTCGGTTTATCGCGAATGAATTTCCAAAAACTTGCACGCTTATCTCACCTGTAATCTCCGGCATGAAAAGCGCAGTAAGCCATCCACAAGTCTGTGTCGACGGTCTTTTTAATACTGCCGTTAAATTCCAAAAGAGTCAACGCGCCCGTGTAATCTCTTTTTTGCAAAAACTCTTCCAGGGAAGGAACTTCCTTTCTCGCCGTCGCTTTTTTCCCGCCAATCGAAGACGCAGGCTTCGACCTCGACAGAATCTGCAGACGAAACCGAAGAAGTGAAGAAAAGTCGGAAATTCAACACAAGAAGTAACTTTCGAGACAAGAATTACCATTTTTAAGGAGAGAAGAGGAAATACGCCGCTTTGTTTCTCCGCTATGCGTTGACATTAGTTAGGTTAGGTTGTGTAGAGTTAAAGACTGTATTGATCGGTTTCGTGACTCACGAACCGTGACTATGTTCTCCACTGTATAATCCTGTACAAAGAACAAAATAAAAATTAATACATGAAGAAGTAAATGTTGAAAAGCCCTAAACATATTTCCACAGTTTTAATCCGTTGGTTTTAATTATATAAAGAAGAAAATAAAAATTAATACATGAAGGAGTAAATGTTGAAAAGCTCTAAACATATCTCCACACTTTTAATCCGTTGGTTTTAATTATATAAAGAAGGAAATAAAAATTAATACATGAAGGAGTAAATATTGAGAAGCCCTAAACAAATCTCCACACTTTTAAATACGTTGTTTTTAACAACGGAAGAGTAACATATTAGAAAATGAACAATTCTAAAGATAATCAATAATCATGTTAGAAAATTAGAAAATAAAAATCGGTTAAAAGTCGCTCTATTTCCGAATCTTAGCAGAGCTTCCAAGAAATTCGATAGTTTTTAAGAAATTCAATAGAATTTCGCGCCTAGGTGACTACGTCTCCACCGAACTTCTAAATCCGGGATTTATCGAGTCTTCAGTAAATCCCATGCCTCCATCGCATTAATAAATCCGGGATTTATCGAGTCTAGATTCAGTAAATCCCATGCCTCCACTGTACATACCCTTAAATCCGGGATTTATCGAGTCTGGATTCAGTAAATCCCATGTCTCCGCATTAATAAATGCGCATATTCCCTCCTGAGCGTCTCTATCGACACTTAAATTCGGATATACTAGATTTAAACTCGAATCCTGAATTTCGTGTACGATGGAGACGTAATCATCTTATATCTGTGACATCCGCCATATTGGAATGATAAATCACGAGTTTTTATCGATTTTATACTCTAAACTACTGGGTTTACGTAATATACATGGAAAATCTCAAAAAAATACTCTAGGTAATTTACATAGTTTTTTTTACAGTAAATTACTAGACATTTTACTTTACAAATTTCATACGCGATGGTAACTTACATGATTGCGGACTTTATGTTTCTGCGGTGTTAAAAGACGTTTACGTCGCATATCATGCACCTGCGGCATCCGCCATATTGAAAACGTAATTTACTAATTTTCTCACGATTTTATACGGTAAACTATTTGATTTACGTTACGTAATATAAGGGAAAATTATCCAACTCTGAGGCACCCTAGGTAAGTCGATTTTCCCGTCGCGATCGTCCCAGCGCCCGACTTGGAATTTGAGGTTAGGGTCCCATCTAAGGGACGCGATAATTCACGCCCGAGCGATAACCTTGCTTCGGCAGTGGATGGCCAGTGGCACCGCACACACTTCACCATCTGTTCGCTGCCAATTTCCAAGTTCACCGTCTATTTTCGGCGATCGCGAACCAGAATTAAGGCGCACCACCAGGAAGAGAGATTCGCCGCCGAGGTAAACTTTTCCGAGCGCGAGTCGACTGACAGCACATTTTAATCCGTAATAAACCGTTGCCTTCGCCCTATCTACACTCTTGACTTACCATTACTTTTAACATCTCCATTTGACAAATCTTAACGTTCAGGAAAAGGACACAGGAAGGAAGTCGCAAGTCTTCGTCGCTGCTTCTGCGGTGCAGAACTCGGAGGAACTCTTGGAGAGAGGAAGCGATTCGACTCGCTGTGTAGTCTCTCGACGACGCTGCTTCGATTCACAGTCAGTTTCTGAAAAATGGTTTATTTTTATTCCACTTCATGGGGATTTATTTTTAATTCCGTGACCAATATTCGTAGAATTTGGTATCGACGGACTGTGGATTCGGAGGATCTAGAAATTAAACCGAGTGACGCCGATTTGGGAAGCATCGGAAGAACGAGGTCGTTGGTGCTGTTACTTTGGTATGTAATTCGGAGGAAGGAAGCGAGTCGCTTTGCGGTCTCTATTTCCAGTAATTACTGCCGATCGAGTCTGTTCGAAACTTTGAATTGAAATGCCGAAGGATAAGGACTTATCTGGATTTTTGTTAGTATTTAATTTGGTTTTTATACCACTGCTATTTCTCCCTCTTTCGATCGATTGAATGAAAGTTTTAAAAAGCTTTTTGCTTGAAATAATGACAGTTAAAAAGGTATTCGAAGTTTCCTACATTGTACAAAGTAATGCAATGCTTCTCGCAAGGATGCGTATCCATGATTATTAAAGGTAACGATAATGCTGCGATCTTAAGCAAGGAACTCGCTTTATCTTCCAGAGTCGAGGGTGAGATTTTATCAAGGTTGGACGTCCATATTGACCAAAAGTGGGTTGACCCGTGAGATTAATTCTCAAACTCCGAGCAGTCCGTGCTAAAATAAAGGAGAAACTTCCTGACCAAGAAGCTTAATCGTTGAGTTAGAAAATAAATACTCCCATTACTTGTGCATCAACGATGTCGAAGAACAACGATAGCCAGAACAACTGCAATGCTTGCGTGGTGTGCTACAAGAACGTCGAGATTTATAGCATCGGGATGTGCGAACATCCGGTGTGCTACGAGTGCAGCACCAGGATGCGAGTCCTCTGCCAGCAGAACGAGTGTCCGATCTGTCGACAAGACCTGCCGAAGGTAGTCTTCACCAGAGAGGTGAAGCCCTTCCGGCATCTCAAGAAAGGAGACCTTCTCGACACCAGATACAACATCTACTTCGACAGCGAAGACATCAGGGAGAAGTTCATGCAATTGCTGGCCAACAAGTGTAGGTTCTGTGGAGACGCAGAACACTTTGAAAACTTCTACAGCCTAAAGGACCACATGAGACGGAAGCATGAACTCCACTACTGCGATCTCTGCGTAGAAAATCTGAAGGTACCGTGAAATAGTAATTAATCATTTCTTAGATATTTCGCTAATCAATGCCATGAAATGCAATATTTTTTATGGTATGCCTCGGAAGAAGTAACTCACGACGCAATGTCGTTCACAATACGTTGTGGACGAAATGTTTCACATTCTCACAAGTGTTTTCATTAAATGAGAGATATTTCGTGTTCTCGCGTTTTCATTAAATACGAGATATCTCGCAATTTCACGTATTCATTAAATGCGAGATATCTCACAATTTCGAGTTTTCATTAAATGAGAGATATCTCGCAATTTCACATATTCATTAAATGCGAGATATTTCACGTTCTCACGTTTTTATTTAAATGTTAAAAAGGAGGTAAAACCTGAAAATATAGAATAACAAATAATTTAAAGTGCAAGTTTCATGTCACCTTAAATCATGAAAATGATATAGAAATATATATATTTGCAACGTAATTGCAGATCTTCTCCCATGAAAGGCGCTGCTACACCAGACCGGACCTGGCTCTGCATCGCAGGAAAGGCGACGTGGACGACAAGAGCCACAAGGGTCACCCTCTCTGCGAGTTTTGTGACCAACGGTACATGGACAACGACGAGCTGTACCGCCACCTTCGCAGGGACCATCTCTACTGTCACTTCTGCGACGCGGATGGCCTCCACCAGTACTACAGCTCCTATGATTACCTCAGGGAGCACTTCAGGCACGAACACTTCCTCTGCGAGGAGGGACCTTGTGCCGAGGAGAAGTTCACCAGTGTCTTCAGGACCGACATCGACCTAAGGGCCCACAAAGCAGGTACTAAACTAGTTTCAAATTTTACCACGGGAATATGGAGGCCCTAATATAGGTCCTGAAACTCACGAAATTTTATTTTTCATTAAAAATTTATTTATTCATCATGGACTAGAGCCAACATGGCATGATCTGGACACGTTTTCGATGTTTTATGCTTCTCGAAGGCTTAGAATTGAAAGCGAAGGGTTTCAGGATGTAACTAGGACAATATAAAATACTATAAAAATGTTAAACCGAATGTCACCACTTGAGTATCCAAAATGACGTTACCACCGTGAAGGGTATAAATGAATTATCTTTTCTCTGCACCTTTCGTATCACCTTAACCTCACTTCTAACCTCCACAGGTATCCACGGGAAGCAATTAGGTAAAGCCGCGGCGAAGCAAGCGCGAACATTGGAGCTGGAGTTCACGTTAGCTCCTAGAGGAGAAGGTCGAGGTCCGCGACGAGGAGGGCAGGGTCCCTCCGGGTCAAGGGGTCCTCGAGAGTATAACAACAACAGCCACGCACCCGGGACCAACCACCAGGAAACAGGTGCGACAGGTGGCTGCCCAGCGTTTCCCTCGCAGCCGGAGGAGGAGCAGAGCCTCCCCAAGCAGCAGCCTTCGGTGGACGTCCTGAGCACGGAGGAGTTCCCAACGCTTGGCAACGCCGTGCCCATTGTGCCACAGCTAGGCTCCTCCAAGGGGACCAGGGGCAACGTGACGATCCGCAGCACGCTGAGACCCCAGCCCCTGGCGGTCACCGATGAGAACTTCCCTGCTCTGGGGCCCGAGTCGACTCCAGGTAAGGATAGATGTGTACCGGGTATCGAAGGATAAGTATGTTGATGCAACAGCATCGGGTTTTATACATTGGAACGTAACGACAATTTATTTGATAGGATTTAGAGAATTTAAGTTTCATCGAAGGGAAAGGTATCGATACATGGTTGACGTAGAAAGACGAGTATCGATACATAGAATGGAAATATACATACTTTACTTATTATCCCTCGCAGCTAGGGATGGATCGACAGGAAGTATCGATGAAACGGTATCTTGATACGAGTGCATTGACTTTTAGTCGTTAAAATATATTTCACCTAGAGTAATGTCGAAATGCAAATGTCGAGAGAATTGTTAAATTTACCGGTATCCGTTTCTCCTCAGGCGGCATCTCCAAGGTGAACCTGAGCGTGTCCAGCTCGAACAAGCTGGCGGCAGGTCGCGCGCCACGCGCTCCTGGGAACGTCTCCATCCGCGTGGACCACAAGGCCAACGGGACGGTGACGACGACGAGGGTGTCGGGCCCGAACATCCGGATCAGGCCGGCACTCTCGATGGACGCCGACTTCCCGGCCCTGGGCCCGGGGACGACTGCCGCCTCGGCCCAGTGGACGAGGGTCACGTGCACGAGGCCGGCCGCCGCCGCGCAGGCACGCCCAAAGAAATCGGTGGCGCCCTCTGGAGAAGACTTCCCGAGTCTCTTGGACCCTGCTCGCGCGAAGCGACAACCCGCTATGGCGGCAACGGCCTGGACCGGCGACGACAACACCAAGGCCAAGACCAAGAAGAAAAAGCCGAAGAACGGCGGGAACTCTGGGAATGAATCAGGTAATCGGAGTTTAGAACGAATCAAGTAATCGAAGTTTAAAACGAGTTGGGTAATCGAAGCTTGGAACGAATCAGGTAATCGGAGTTTAGACCGAATCAAGTAATCGAAGTTTAAAACGAGTTAGGTAATCGGAGTTTAGAACGAGTTGGGTAATCGGAGTTTAGAATGAATCAAGTAATCGAAGTTTAAAACGAGTTGGGTAATCGGAGTTTAGAACGAATCAAGTAATCGAAGTTTAAAACGAGTTGGGTAATCGGAGTTTAGAACGAATCAAGTAATCGAAGTTTAAAACGAGTTGGGTAATCGGAGTTTAGAACGAATCAAGTAATCGAAGTTTAAAACGAGTTAGGTAATCAGAGTTTAGAACGAGTTGGAATCAAGTAATCGAAGTTTAAAACGAGTTGGGTAATCGGAGTTTAGAACGAATCAAGTAATCGAAGTTTAAAACGAGTTAGGTAATCAGAGTTTAGAACGAGTTGGGTAATCGAAGCTTAGAACGAGTCAGGTAATCAGAGTTTAGAACGAATCAAGTAATCGGAGCTTAGAACGAGTCAGATAATCGAAGTTTAGAACGAGTTAGGTAATCAGAGTTTATAACGAATCATGTAATAGGAGGTTAGAGCAAGTCAGATAATCGAAGTTTAGAACGAGTCAGATAATTGAAACTTAGAACGAGTCAAGTAATCAAAGTTTATAACGAATCAAGTAATAGGAGCTTAGAACGAGTCAGATAATCGAAGTTTAGAACGAGTCAGGTAATCCGAGCTTAGAACGACAACACCAAGGAACGTAGTCAGGTAATCGGAGTTTAGATCGTTCAAGAGGATGTGAAAGTGACATCTGAGGGATCAATTGTTTATGAAACTTCTCTCCAAACTGGATGTATTGAATTGTTTCAATATTTACCTTTTAATCGGCAATTTTAAATTCCTTAAAGGAAATAATAATTTCTATGAACCCTGCAGGTAACAACTCGAAGGTCGGAGGAGCCAACAAGACTCCGAAGAAGGAGCAGGACGGTCCCAGTAGGAACAAAGAGACCGAGAAGGCAAAGGAGAGCACAAAAAGCACGGAAGAGGAAAAAAGAAAGCCAAAAAGCGAGGACCCCGAAGAGGAACCTGAAAGTATCAACAAAGATATCGACACCTTGCCAAGAAAAAGATCGGAGCTGAAGATCGAAAGCCCCAACTCGACATCGAGTCCTGAAGTTCGCCTCGAAGAGTTCCCAGCCCTCGGTGGAGGTTCTTCGGGGCCACCAGGTTTTTCAAACCCTCCTCCAGGGTTCAACGCAGCCCCACCACCTCCACCTGGGTTCTTCGTCAAGTTGAACAGTGTCCAAAGATTGCCAGGAGACAACGGATTGACCTTTACCAACAGTTCCGGAGAGACCTACTCGATTCTGCCAGACCGTGAGAAAAGGGTCGGAGGGTTTCCCTATCTCCTTCCTCCGGACTTCCAGAAGAGGAACAAGAGTCTGGAAGCCAGGGTGAAGGATGTCCTCGGGGAGCCGGAAGCCCTAGACGAGTTCCGCAGGGCCAGTGGTCGATTCAGACAGGGAATTTGCAGCCCCGAAGAGTACTACGAACACTGCCGGAGAGCTATGGGTGTTGTTAACTTCGAGACTGTGTTTAATGAATTGTTGGTACTTTTGCCGGATGTTGAGAAGCAGAAGGAGCTCTACAGGGTCCACCGGAAGGTGAATCAAGGAAAGACGAAAGGTTTGGAGGCTTGTGCGAATTGTGGACAGGTGCTGAAGAGTGGAACAGATTTTAGGTCTCATGTTGCGGACCACACTATGGAGAATCATTTCCCAGCGTTGGGGAAGGCATGGGTTAGGAAGTGAAAGAGATTCAATGGCTCTTCGGGGTTGTGGAACGATGGAATTGTGGTGACTGCGTCGTGATGGTGTGGCTCCGGTGTTGGGAATTCTGGAGACGGTGAGGAGTTAATAGGTTATGTACTGCCAAAACTTGAAAGTGGAGGGTTCAAGATGTGGAGGCTCTTTAGGGTTGGAACTTGAATATCCAATTTGTGATCTGAAGACGCTGGATAAATTGAACTTGTTATCGTTTGACATCTTTTAACTGGATATCAGCATCCGAGATGAATGTACGATGCCGAAAAGTCTTCAACCACAAGGAGTTACTTCATGATGTGCCGTCGGACAACAACGAGGAGTTACTTTACGATGTGCTGCCAAAACTTAAAAGTGGATGGTGCGACGGATGGTTTCAATATGCGAAGACTCGTCAAGATTGTAGAATGAATATCCAATTTGATATCCCTGTCTGTCAACTAAAGACGCTGGATAAATTGACCATGTTATCGTTTGACATCTTTTAACTGGATATCAGTAATTGAAGGTGACGTACGATGCCGAAGAGTCTTCAACGAGAAGTTACTTTGTTATATCCTGACAAAACTTGAGAATTGGTTCAAAATGAGGAGGCTCCTCAAGAATAGGACGTGAATCTCCTTTTTGATCCTGATCGTCATTTGGAGGCGCTGGATAAATTGGCATCGTCAGTGTTTGAAATTCTGTGACTGGATATCACCGTCGTAAATTTTGTAAACCGCGTAAATTCTGTCGTAACGTCTAAAGAAACCCAAATTTTTTAACTCCGTGGACATTGTGGCAATTTCTGTACCCGTCCCTTCTAAATTGACGTAAGCATTGTTTCTAAACTCTTCAAATACATTATTTTAACTTCTAAGAGCTACATAACCTCCAGAAATAATTTTTCAAGAGCATAAGAAAAATAATGTTAACGTTAAATATGTACAAAAACATTCAATGCCACTAAAATATTGTAAATATATTTAACATAAAAAGCCATTTTGCCATATTCTAAAAAAAAGGCATTTCCCTAAATTTATTAAATCTTTTATTAGCATTAAATGAATACGTAATAAGTTATGAATCGTCCAGAAATTTCCTGTCCACGGTCTTAAAAGAGTTTGGAACTATGTGTATAATTATTAATAGAGATCGGAAGGGCGTCAATTATTGTTTTTTGTTTTTTGTTTAGCGCGTCCTAGAATAAATATGTTAATTATGTTAAGTCGGGAACTATTTAACATCCGTCTTGTGGACTGCGAAATCTTCACGGTCGGCCAGATGTATATCGGATATTTTTCTATTTCGAAAAGCTGCCGAATAATCCTAGGGGATAAAAAAAGGGATGTACAGGAGGTTTAGATTTTTCGAAATCTTTTCGACAAATCGGCCGACCCTCGGAAAGCACCGTGACGGACATTGTTATTAATAATCCGAGAGCGTTACCGCGCCAGGTAGCATGTAATTGCGCTTTTCCGGATTAAGCAAGCGAGGTATGAAAAAAATGGTTCCTATAAAACTTGTTCAGTACACTATTCTGAACGATTTTTATTTGAAACTTTTTTCGATACGATGTGGAAGTGAGATAGGAAATCCGAAATAAAGAGCTTACCTAAATTAACACGAGGGGTAAGGAGATTTAATTTAACTTTTCGGTGTTAAGCGCGCAAAATATTGGGAAAATGTTTCTCACGAAACCTTTCGGAAATAGGATACTGAACAATTGTTATTAGAAACATTTTTCGAAATGATGCACAACTGAGACGGAAAACCCCAAAAACGTAACAGCTTTTTTTATATCAACATCAGACGCGAGGAGATTCAGTCGAATTTTTCGACGTTAAAAACGCAAGATACGGAAAAATGTTCCATACAGTTCTTGTTCAAAACAGAATACCGAACAACTTTGATTTGAAACCTTTTTCGATACGTCGCCGAATAAAGACAGGAAGACGAAAAACGTGCAAGCTTTTCCAAATCAGCCCGAGATGGGAAGGTATCCAGTTGAGCTTTTCGACATTAAGCACGCGAGATATCGCAAAAAGTTTCATTCAAAACTTCTTCACAATGAAATACCAAACAACTTTTATCCGAAACTTTTTTTGATACGACGCGACACAGACAGTCCATCTGAATTCACCTTAAAATGTAAATAAAGTCAATGGTGGATTGCTTCTAAATCGACCGTTTTGTCTTCGAGTAAGTGTATAATAAAACCTCTCGTACATCCCGAATTGCGAGCGCCCCCTATGTACATATTACGCGTGTACATATTATACTATATATGTAAACTACGAACCATCCGTTCTTCACATTGTGTCGTTTCTTGCGGATCACTCTTTCGAGGGTGACGAAATTTCGATCCTCGACGAGGGAGTCGATTCTGTAACTTTGGTGAGAGCGCTCACGTGAGTTTATTCACCCGGTTCTCCAAATGAAAATGTGAGATCTTCAGACTGAAGGAACTTGGTCCGGGATCTCGGAGTTTCTGGTCGAGCAGTCTCACGCGAAATTTCTCACATTTTTACCATAGTGACAGTTACGAAATCCCGGGAGATGATCACTTTTAGAATATTCACCAGATTCGAGTTACGGAATCGACTCCCAGGTCGCTCGAGATACATCGAAAATATGTCAGCGTAACGCCAGCTGTACTGTTTTTGTACAAAGGTAATAAAGTCATACGCGTAGGGGCTAATTTTCTAAACGAGCTTCCGCTTAGTTTCCCCATTTCCATGCTAATGAATTTCCCTCGAGACGGAAGGAAGTCAAATATGGCGGCGCTTCGGGACCGGAAATAATTTTTTAACGGGATCTGAAATAATATTTACGTGGTTTTGGGGTTAAAATATTGATTTTGGTTACGTGGAGCCCATAAAACTAAAGATTCCTTAAATATTCTTCTTAAGACTGCGAAAAGCAAAGAAAAACTTCTTGAGTTAAGGTACGACGCTCGCCGCCATTTTGAATTTCCCGGTACTTGAACAATTTTTTTTAACGCTTATGCAGCCACGAGGTAAACAATGTACTTTAGATATACGGAGCCCGAAAAGCCAATAATTCCTGTGATATTCTTGCAAAAGCGACAAACAAAAGATGGGTCATTTTTTAAAAGTGAAACTCACGAGTTGAAAAGAACGCTCGCCGCCATTTTGAATTTCCCGGGCCGAAAGTGAAACCTCCGAATTGTTCGCCCTTGGCACCAGATATAACGAATAATGCAATCATACCATTTTCACACAAATTCACGATATTCTTTTTCAATTACTCCGATTTTATTTATCTTTCTCATGCGATCTTTAGTTTATGAGCGTTTCTTAAGAGTACCTTTTATGAGAAAACGAATTTCAAGGTAACTACATTTAGTGCAAGGTTTTTCAAAACACCAAAGGTGTCGATTTTTGAAGGGTATACATACCTCCGTGTTTCCTCGTACAATAAAACGAAAAAAAAAAACGTCCTTCGAGGCACTGGTCAAAGTCGTTCTTAATATTTATTATCCGTCGAAGGTAGTACAAAGGGTAACCGGTGAAAATTCACCACCTGAGCCGCTTAAGTGTACATTAGTGAAAGCAAGAGACCGTAGAGTTAACAAACGACACAGACGCGTCGATTCGATCCTGGGGGTCGATTCTGTAACTCGAATCTAGTGAAAATTCTAAAAGTGAATGCCTCCCGCGGTTCCATATTCCCTATGGTAAAAATGTGAGATACCTCGCGTGAGACTACTCGCCCAAAAACTGCGAGATTACCTTCGCTCTAGAGAACTCACATTTTCACTTGGAGAATTGGAAAACAGTGAAAATTCTGAAAGTGAACACCTATGGTAAAAATGTGAGATAATTCGCGTGAGACTACCTTCGCTCTAGAGAACTCACATTATCACTTGGAGAATTGGAAAACAGTGAAAACTCTAAGTGAACACCTGAGATTCCGTAATATTCCCTATGGTAAAAATGTGAGATAATTCGCGTGACATTACTCGCCCAGAAACTCCGAAATCTCGAACCGAGTTTCTTCAGGCTTTCGATTTCACATTTTCACTTGGAGAACCGGACGAATAAATTCACGTGAGATGACAACGCGAGAAGTGAGCACTGTAGTCAAAGTTACAGAATCGACTTCCTGAGCGTCTCGATCGACGTTTAAATTCGGATTTACTGGATTTGAACCCGATAAATCCTGGATTTCGAAGTAAGATGGATACGTAGTCAATTTTGATACTGGGCTCGAACTCAGCCGAAATCCAACACTAAGGTGGAAGTGGAACCTCACGATTAGTACATTTACACATCCTGCCTTCCCCCGGTTTTATAATTACCAATCAGTTTACACATGCAATTTTTCACCGGTTTTATATCTGCAGCTTTAGGTAACACATGTAAATGTACTCAATTAATACATTTACACGTCCAATCTTATACTGGTTTTATACCTATCGATGTTACAATTACTGCCATTAAGTGTATAAACGTATTTTTAATCCGATTTTACCGGGACCATCGCATAAAACGGCGTTTATACCGCGTTTAACACGGATAGTCATAAAACCAGTGTAAGCCATCGTGTGTAAACGTACTCAATGTCCAGCCGATTTCTTGGAACATCCCGGAGACCATAAACAAACGAGACCCATGAGAAGGAGCTTTCTCCGTAAACCTTTTCGAGGAAGGCGGCCAACTTAAGTTACACTATGATATCTGACTCGAACGCGATAAGGGCCATCAAAGTTTGATTGGCCGCAGCCAATGAGAGGTCTTTCCTTCGGAGCGACACATCATACAATCCATGGTATACATCTACACTGGAGTGCATTGCATTTTGACTTTTATACATCGAAAGATTTTTATCCATAACCTAGACAATCGTCAAACAAGACCCATGAGGAGCTTTCTCCGTAAACCTTTTCGAGGAAAGCGGCCATCTTAAGTTACGCTGTGATATCTGGCCGATAAAGTGGGAACTGAATAGCTTCGATTTACAAGAAATACAAAGATAACTAATTATCGAAAATGTTACATTGTGCATCGTGACTGAAACAACTGGAGCTCTCAATACGTAACCGGCAGTGAAATGTTATCAAATATCTAGGAATTTAGAGTCACCACTTCCCGCTAAATCCATAGATCGAGCACGAGGAGACCGAAGAATAATCACTCTCACAAAAGGAGGATCAAGTTCCGAAGTAGACCGATTAGAACATATTCCTAATTTCCAGTATTCAAAAGCTTTCACGCTATCTCTCTCCGTACTGAAATAAAACTTTTGTAAACCGAAGCAAGTTCCAATCCCACGCAGAAATTACCACCGAAACTCTTTGCAACACCCAACACCGTGACAAGAGACCGCGCTAGAATACACCACAAGCACCGTATCACTTTCCTGAAGACATGATTGAAGCTGCACCCTCCCAATGTAGATATCCTTGATAGGTCGTTCCTTAAGGCCAGACTCGCTTCCCTCCCCGAAGAAGGTCTTCCACGCAGTGTACAGTCTTCCAGCAGTGGAAGCGTAGCCGAAGCTCGAAGCTCTATCACTTCTTGGCGAGCTCGTTGCTGAGCCATTCGAGGCCCTCGTAGAGACCGTGACCCTGGGTGGCGCAGGTGCTCTGAATGTACCAATGTCGACCTCGTAACGAGTTCAGGCCCAGTTTGTCAGTCAGCTCCGCAGCTGACATGGCGTTAGGTAGATCTTGTTTGTTGGCGAACACTAATAGTACAGCGTCCCGCAGCTCATCCTCCTTCAGCATGTTAGAGAGCTCTCTTTCGGCCTCTGCGATTCTCTCCCGGTCGTTGCTGTCAACCACGTAGATGAGACCCTGAGTGTTCTGGAAGTAATGCCTCCAGAGTGGCCGGATCTTGTCCTGGCCACCGACGTCCCAGACCGTGAAGCAGATGTTTTTGTATTCGACTGTCTCCACATTGAAGCCGATCGTGGGGATGGTTGTCACTATCTCTCCGAGCTTCAGCTTGTACAGGATCGTGGTTTTCCCTGCTGCGTCGAGCCCCACCATAAGAATTCTCATCTGCTTCTTGCCGAAGAGACGGGTCAGCAGACTGCTGATCGTCAAACCCATGGCTGTGAGAAATTTATAGGACTTCCGAGTCCTTCCTCTTAAAGACAAGGAAAGGAGCCTTGCTCGACTTGTAGGCTTTCAAAAATTCCTGAAAATAGAACGATGACATATTTGTGTACTTGTTAATGACAAATAGCAAATAGTAATTGAACATTCGATTCACATTTTACCGTAACGATCTTTTAAATAAAATCTTATTCGAATTATTTTTTATTCGCATTATTCAATATCCACAATTTATTCTTCATTCTTGTCTTCTAAAGAACATAAATAAATCCTCCTTTATCTTGCAAATAATGTATGGAGAATATTTACTAACATTTTCATTCCCACATAAAAGTCTTGTAATAATACTTTACTCTTGTAACATAAACTAATAGAACGTTAAATCCATCACACCCAACCATCGATAAATATCTTTATAAACATGAAATTTCCTCCCGAGACATGTAAATAGAAAGTGTGAGCTTATAAGCTTCGTTCCTTACTTCCAGGAACTAAACAAATCTACATATACAAGTTAAAAATCAAAAGTTAAGGTCCTAACCTGCAATTTCTCCTCCGCCTTCAAAAGACCAATCCCCTCGCACCTCACCCACTGCCGACGTATCGATGCACTTTCCTCCAAAAGATGATGAAGTCACTTTGAAACTGATGTAATACTCATTTACAAAACCAAGATGCCTGCAACACGTACAAAACCTGAAATATTTGCAAACCGTGGTCCAAAATCCCAAGCTCCGGTTTCCCCTCACCGAGACGCAGAGAAATCGACTCGCAGCACCGTCAACCTGTCGATCTGCCTCGGTCCAAGAAAACAGAGTCACCTTGAACCGATTCGGCACTTCGCCACCGAAGCAGAGGAACGTTCCAGACTTCCTGCAACGCGACGGAAAAAGAATTAGAAACTTAAACGTGATCTGTAGAAGCAAAGGTGGAAATCCTAACCTGCAAAGAGCGGGCCTTTTCGGCCTTTTGCGCGGCGATCTCGGCTTCCAAAAGGGTTTCGGGAGGCGTCGGAGCTCCTCGCCGTGACGAAGTCGAGAAACGTCAGCCGGGGCCGAGCCCAGTGCCGGAAGCAGTTGGCAGAATCGAAGACGAATTCGTTGGAGGTCCGCCACGCGACGCCGGACGGGTTCTCGAGGACAAACTTGATGATCTTCTCGTCCCAGGCACTCCGCACTCCGTCCGCTTGCGGAAAACTCGCGGAAATCCGAGGAGGGTACCTTACCTGGTCGTTAAGGGCGCACGCCGCCGCGTAAATCCCGTCGACTGTACATACGCGCTCTCTGTATATGCGGCTACGAACGCCAACGCGTAGTCACGCGCGCCGCCATCTTGGATCTTCAAGTGCGCGCGAAATTTGAAAGATTGTCGCTTCTCGTGTACGTAGTAACGCAAAAGGAAGTGGTTTAAAATTAAGGACAGTGGTATTTAATAGGAAAGAATAACTCTCTACATTTTTTAATTGAATATATCCAACAGTTTCGATCGCGCGTCGCCATCTTGGATCTTCCGCGTAAGCGGGAGATTCCAATGAGATTTGCTTCTCACGTATATTGTAACGCAAAAAGGAATAGTTTATAATTTATAAAGGTGATAACGAATGTCTGAGAACCCATTTCTTAAGTTTTAAATGTAAAATACGAGCGTAATGAAGAATTACATTTATCGTAATTGATACATACCGCGCGCAGGGAAAGACGCCATCTTTGTCCGCCATTTTTCCACTGACCTCGTCGGATATCATTATCTGCCAGTATCCTTGTCACGTCTGCACTTCTACGTAGTGATTGGTGTGGTGCATAGTTCATGACGTACCGATTAACGCCGGGACGTCGCACGTCCGGTTTTGCGAATATTCGCGATGACTTCCTCTAAAAGTACGGAAAAATTGGCCGAAGTTCTTCAGTTGTTCTTGCTTCCCGGGTACAACGTCGTCAGCCCGACTTACCTCGACCTCCTCCTAACGCACGTCACGAAGCGCTCCGAAGGTGAGGTTAGAGGTCGAACGGGCTCCTAAAGCTTTATGCATGAATCTTTTAAATTTCCATAAATTCCTGCCATTCTTACTACCTAAATTATTCAAAGAATTCCATACGCGATCGCGGGATTGACATTCGACGATTTTAAGGATGAAAAAGTATTTATATCTTTGTAAAACGCTCTGAACAAACGGCGGCTGTTTTGCTCTTCTACGCCGCCATCTTGGAGAACAGTGCGCGGGTCATTTGAATTTTTTTTTTTAGCAGTTTTACACGAAATAAAGGTATTTCTTGCATTCCTTATTGCTCTCATAATTAAAGAAATAAAAGCGTAAATCGTGAGATGGATATTAACAGTTTTTAATGGGAATAAATAATACATTCTGAGGTAGAAGGGCAAGAGGTTGTTTCTTCTACGCGCGCCGCCATCTTGAAAAATGGCGGCGACTGTTATGAAATAATTGCGCGTATTTAAAATAAGGGTATTTTAGAAATTAACAATCCGTGGAATCTGTCGTTTCCTCGATGGTCATATATTATATATCTAAAATTGTTTAAAGTGCAAATTGATGTACGCAGGTAAATAATTTTGATAATGAACAGGAACACAAAATCCACAATGTGTTCGCTCGCTCCATTAACACAATATATTTAAGAGAATCTTTAATGATTTATCGGAAAGTTTCTTGGGAGTTAATAACTGCTGCAATGCTTTTATTTATATTATATATGCTTTTATGTATACTGTATTATATTGTCAATCTTTTAAACAGTGTCGACTATGCCAAAGAAGTCACTCGTCATGTTTAACGAGTTCATTCATAATTTATCAAAAATTATATTCTTCTCGCTAATAGAGCTATATATACATGCTCTAGATTCTCCCATATAAGAAATTGCTTTCGATTGAATTATTATACCTAATATATTGGTATAGCCAAGTCAATGAGGTCTTTTCCAAAGTATCTGAAGACGTGGGTAAGCATATTAAATTTCACTCCGCCAAGAGAAACAGAACACAAGTCGTTCGGTCTTGCATAGACACAAATTGTGTATAAAGACATTTCAAGTTCCGGTGACGTTCCCACCAGTATCGTTGCATTTTGCCTGATTAAATTGTCCATTTGGAAGTTCAACTTCACCAGCGATGCTTTCTGAAATTACAAACAATATTTCCTTACTAAAATAGTGCTAAGGTTCTTCTGACAAAAATTATTATACCATTGTTACAATAAACATGATTTGTTTATCATGGAAATAAATAATAAGTGTGATTAAATAACGTAAATAAATGAATTATAATGGTTTTGTATAGGTCCAGAGTCATCGTTGATAAATATTATGGATTTTTCCTGGCTTTGATCAAGGCTTCGATGAGAATATGACCATCGCTGTAGTAAATGTTACTGAGACGATTCTCAAAAAAAGGTTTGCATTGAAAGGAAAGAGAATTTAATTGACTCACAGTTCCGAGGTCCACCTTGTCGACATATCCCATGTAGTTGATACGATTCAAAGACTCCAGATAATCGAAGTAAATCCAATCCTGGACTCCGAGGATATCCTTTTTGTCATACAGTTCTGACAAAAACGTTCGCTCGAAGCCTGAAGAAGATCCTTCGAATTGGGTGAACCAGATTCTCTTCAAAGTGTCTTTCCTTTCGAAGTCATCTGGCTCGATGAAGTTTTGGTTCGAAAGCCAGTTCATTGTGTCCTGCATAACATTTGTACCCAAAAACATGTCGAGCAACAAATTTTCCTTCTTTCGTCTCTCTGGAGAGAGGGTCTCTTTTATGTGGGATTCGAATTTGTATTCCTCATACAAAGACCGAATTGTTTGTACGGTCGGAATGGAATACGCTTCTGTGTCAACCGTAAACAATCTGAAATCGTAAATTATTATACCGTTATAAAATGCGGATTTTTATTAACAAACGAAAAGGAAAAATTAATCAGAAAGCTATGCATTTTTTTTTATATTAAACTTTTATTACATTCTTTTCTAAATTAACGATGAGAACTTGGGTGACCATTCATCACGCTTTGCATGTTTACATAGTGAAGAATAAAAAAGTGAAGAGTGAAGAATAAAAAATAAATAGTGAAGTGTAATAAATGAAGAACGAAGGAAAGAAAATAGTGAAGAATAATAAATGAAGAATGCAGAACGAAGAGAGAAAAATAAAGGGAAAAAATATGAAGAACTTACTTCTCATTAGCCTCATCGGTGGCGTTTTTTTCATCCACCTTCTTCTGCAAATTCAACCTGATGTACTTCATGGCATTATACTCGTCATTCTGGAAGAGGCCCTCGGTCAGCTTCCACAACTCCTCGTTCGAGATTCTATACTGCAGACCAAGATACGAATTAACCGCAGGAGAAACACCAGAACTAGTATTTGGTGCCGCAATGGTCGAGGACACAGGATTGCTGTTGATGGCTTGACTTGGACCTGCTCCAGGAACGTTGGGCTGCACTCCACCCTGACCTGTTTGTAGAAAAAGAGTATTAGAATGCATCTCGACTTTCCAAGACATTATACGAGCAACTTTAAGTTGCAAGCCGAACTGTTTTGCTGGCACAGAAGGATCATTGGGTTACGTCGACATGCATAGGTCGGGAACCATCTTGATTATGCGCTATCAGCTGATTACGCACCTCAAACAACCCTAATAGTACCCAATGATCATTGGGCTGCACAACAACCTGTTTCTGGTGCCACACTAGGATCATAAAAGCTTAACTGAACCTGATTTGGTGTCTGGCCAGGAACATGAACATTATTTAACTCATGGTAAACCCAGGAATTGTTGGGGTGCACTCTGCTATCGATACCACAACAGTGAACTACACCTCGACATTACCTGGCACTACACCAGGAACACCCTGCTGTATTCCAGCTTGACCTGCTACCCCAGGTTGAGCAGGAACTTCAGGCTGTGCTGCTTGAATAGGACCTCCAGGCTGCACTGCTTGCATAGGACCTCCAGGTTGCGCTACTCCGCTAGGACCTCCAGGCTGCACCGCTTGAATAGGACCTCCAGGTTGCGCACCTCCCACAGGAACTCCAGGTTGCCCCATGTCCTGACCAGGTACAGTCCCATTAACTCCAGGTAACCCGTTAAAGTACTGATTGTTGTACGTGATGTGGGTGGAGGTGCTGGACACGGAGCTGGAGGTTTCACTAGGCTGAACCGAAGGCCTCGAAGACTCATAACTATAATGATGGTGTGGCGGGTTCACGATCCTGTTTACGGCAGCGTTAACCCCGGAATAAATTAAGGCCTCCTTGAAAACATCCCCTAGGCCTCTTTGCTGGGTCTGGCCGGAGACGAGAACAACATTTGGTGTGGGGGCGTATGCAGGAGCTGGAGCATAAGCGCTCTGGAAAGCCGGCTGCGCCATGGGTGAGGGGCCCATGTGACCATAGGATCCTGGGGACCCATAGGATCCCTGGAACCCATGGTAGCTATACCCCTGGGGAGCTTGAACACCCTGATGGGCTCCTGGGTACATTGGACTAGGATAGTGAGGAGAGTTCATGGTGTTTGGGTACGATGATGGATGGCTGCCTCCATATGAGGGATGGTATGGGGTTCCCATGGATGGGTGGCTCACTGCACTCTGGATATGGGGGGATTGGCCGGATCCTCCTGGCAAAACGTGGTCGCTGAAGCCGTAATTCCTTGATGGTTCTCCTTGAGAACTTGTACGTGGATAGGGACTGTTCACCCCATGGTTTGTTTGTGGGGTTATGGGGTTATGGATGGGGTATGGTGGGTTTCCTGACTGGTGAAGACCTGGTTGACTTGGGTTCATGGGACTGTTTACTCCATGGCTTGTTTGAGCAGTTATGGGGTTATGGATGGGATATGGTGGGTTTCCTGATTGGTGGAGACCTGGTTGACTTGGGTTCATGGGACTGTTTACTCCATGGCTTGTTTGAGCGGTTATGGGGTTATGGATGGGGTATGGTGGGTTTCCTGGCTGATTTGGATGTATGGGGTTCCGGAAACCATAGGATCCACTTGGGTTTGGGTTGATCCCTCCAACTGGAGCGGAGTGTACTGGTGCGACTCCTTGGTTTCGATTGAACACCGATGAACCTAGAATTAATCATCAATTTTTAATGGTACCCATGTCTAATTTGTGCCACTCTTTTTCTAATTAATTTTTTTTATTTCGGATGAGATTTCATATCATCTTAAAATATGTACAAACATACCTGGTGCTGGGGGAGCGGAAGGTACAAATTGTGAGGCTTGTTGTCTTTTGTCCGTCTCGAAACCGATGTGTCCTGGTGAATTGATTGGTTTAGTGGATAAAAACAAAGTACTCTTATTGAGAGTTAATAATATTAATAGTAATAGAGTCACAATTATTAATAAAAACTGACGGTCAGCGAAGTGTGGACGTTAAATTTCTAATTGGAAAGTATTGCACGCTCATTCTCGGCTTGACCGCGAAAGCAGATTTTAATTCGATTTTTACCGAAATTTTGCTTAATACCATTTTTTTATTCTTTATCTAGTTATAAGATTATTAATGATTTTAAATTCTATCATTTTCAACAAACCAGGAGCTGGTGGAGCAGATGGTACATGAGATCCATATGGCTTAGTGTCCGTTCCAACTCCAACATTCTTCGGTGGAGTTGCTGTAACAAAGTCCAAAAAGAATGAAAATTCTCATTCTTTTCATCACATTTGCACAATTTCTCTTAATAGTACTTGATTCATTTTGCGTATAAATAAAAACTTACTCCAAGAAAACAGTGTTTTCATGTTTGAACCCTTTTGCGTTAACTACTGTGTGTATTGTAATCACAAACACATGGATACTGACCACTATACTACCGAGGATACAACCATTGCACCTAAGCCCTTTTGCGTTAACCACTGTGTGTTTTATAATCACAAACCCATGGATACTGACCACTATACTACCGAGGATAAAATCATTGCACCTAAATCCTTTTGCGTTAACCACTGTGTGTTTTATAATCACAACACGTGGATACTGACCACTATACTACCGAGGATAAAATCATTGCACCTAAATCCTTTTGCGTTAATCACTGTGTGTTTTATAATCACAAACACATGGATACTGACCATTATACTACCGAGGATAAAACCATTACACCTAAAAATATTTAAATTAAAAATCATTACGTTTAAAACCCACCTGGATTTCCGGGACTCCTAGATTCGGCTTTCAAGAAATTAGATGTCTCGGTTTTCGAGTGATGAACTGAACTGCTTGACCCACCTTAATTAATAATTAATAATTCAGTAAATTTTTATCTAACTTTTTACAACGTCGTGTGAAATTTAAACTTACTAGTTCGAATTTGAGTCGGTGGTTTGTTCACTGGAGACGAGTGTGATGGTTTTGCGACTTGTTTTGTGATAGAAGATGACGATGATTTCGATGACGATGAAGAAAAAATCGATCCCCATATTCCTCCAGAAGATCCACCTCTAGAGGAACCACTTCTAGAAGATCCTCCTCTAGATCTTCCTCCACCTCCAGATCTTCCACCACCGCCAGAAATTCTCAGTGCTGCGCCATTTTCTAAAAGTGATATTTAAAATAGGAACTTTTCAACGCTATTCAATTTATACAATGTATAAAATCGTATTTTTTCAAACTCATCATCGTTTTCGATTTTGTAATTTTTTTTTAAGCAAACTAAGTAAAGGATAATTCTCGAAGCAAATATTGACGGCGCTGAAAGATTCTCATAAAAAGAAATTTCCACTTTCAGCAAAGAATAACATTGCTGATTGCTGCAGAAATAATTGCACCGAGAGCAGAAATGTTGTGCGGTGCTAGATTTTCCTCAGTTATTGACATTTTAAACATTTCATGTTGGGAATGATTTTCAAAGTAAACGCGATGACGCTAAACATTGTTTAAAAGTGAAAAACTTAAATGAAAGTTGTAAACAAATACAAAACCGACACCTTTTTGAAAGTCGTTTCTCCATTATTTATACATTAAAACCTCCTAAAAACATGTAACGATATATAATTATACAATGAAACCTCACTAAGCATTCATCTCATGAATACAATTACATTGCAGTGCTCTCAATGTAGATGAGCACTTTTGTCGAGCCATTTCACTTCATCGTGTCCCTCACGACATGATTTATTAAATAATTGAACACATCCCTCGTTCCAGACAATAAAACTATCACTATAATAACCGGATCACTCTAAAACATCACTATACATGGCTATATATTAAACACAAAATCTTTTACGTGTATAAAATGTGAATTCTACTATTTCCCACTGTTAAAAATATTCATAAAATTCATACACTTCCAGTACATAAAGTTACAATAGAATTATAAATTTAATGCTGCTACCTGTTTATTAGAAATTTCTAAACAAACTTATAATTCCACATGTTATAATTTTCTGAAATCACGTGGGAAAATAAATACACGCAAGAAATTTATAACACATTTAATAAATTTGTTGCGAATAATTTGTAAAATTAGTAAACCCTGTCCGAATAAAACTTGTTATGAAATGTTATGAAACGTTATAAAACGTTATAAAATCTCAAAATTGTATAAAATCTTATAAAAAGTATTAACAGTACGCGTTAATTAGTTATATTATCCTACCGGTGATCAATCCTATTATGAGAAATAGAAATAGAAATGAAACTTTAAGATCCATCGCTTGCGAGTGTTTCACAAGGAAGAACGCGCGTAACTGACGCTTCCAGAAGAACTCGGCCGATGATTTCATCGCAGTTGATATATCTTTATCAAGAGCCTTTATTTCTCTTTTCTTTCCTTTTCGGACAAACAGACCGCATTTGCATCTCGAAGACCTTTGGCGATGGCGACCCCCGATAATACTTAGAGAGCTAAAAGCTCGTCGTTTATGCCCATAGAGGGTTTCCTCCATTTTCCGCGAAACATTAAGGCCGTTGAATAGCTTCCTTTCAGCTAAATCAACTCTGCCATGTGAAGTGGCTCTTATCGTGTATCCTTCGATCTGAAACTCGAAATCCTCGTACTAATAATTATTATTACAAGCAAACGTTACTTTCTTAAGGTGATATTAAAGTATCATATGTACCAGAACGTAAAAATAATTATAAAACTTTTCTCCAAACTGGGTGCGCCGATTAATTTGAAACTTTAATAAATAATCGTGGAGGTTATAACGAAGGTCTCAAAGCTTGCGAAATTTTATTTTTTTTTTGTTTATATATATAAATAATTATGGAAATGTCTGGAAAGAAATTTTCTTTAATTGGTTATTACTTAAATTAATTGATATTTCATGTCAGGACCTTCCTTATATACTTTAGGATATTTAACATGATAATGAATAAATTTAAATAATGAGAAATTACTATTTATGACGTTAGAAATAATTCGTAATTATGTTTAACTTAAATTATTGTACGTGACGGATGTAATCGTCATCGATGAATCGGATATAAATTATTATGTAACTAATCGTAGAATAGTTCGTAATGTTGATAACAATAAGAGATGTATATTTCGAGATTTCCAATCGTACTGGAAATTATCAATCTCGACATATTTCGCGTAATCATTACATTTTAAAAACTTCGGCGTAGCGAGTAAAGGTCACCAGATTTAATAATCGCGAATTTCCGGGAAATTATTAAATCTGGATAAAAGACACTTTAACCCATGTACAGTGACGGATATAAATACCCTCCGTATTGATATGGTGTCATCAATATATAATGTAAATGCATTTATGTCCGCCAGTGTACATTGTACTAGAACGATGTACAGTGGTGGATATAAATGCAATTTTTTCAAACTATCAGCTCTATGTCCTCAAGAAAAACATTCATATCCACTACTGTACTGTTAGACTGATGCTCAAATATTAATAATTTTTTATACGTGGCTGTTATTTAAAGATTATTTTTACACCTAATAGAATGATGTACAGTGGCGGATATAAATGAGATTTTATCAAACTATCGGCTCTATATTCACAGAAAAAACATTCATGTCCACTACTATACTAAGAATTATGTACAGTGGCGGATATAAATGCCTTATTGTAACCTAGCGACGCCATGTTGGCAAGGAAGGCACTATACATTTAGCAGTTTATACAGCATTAGATAATTGATTTTAACAAATATTTAAATTAATTTCAGATGCAAAGGCCGATTCAGAGCGCTTGGAGGTTTTGCGAAAATGGGTACAAGAAGCTCTCGAAGCCTGGACCAACATTGGTGGGCCTTGCCAAGCAGTTTCGATGTTCACCGTGAAATTAGTTGGAATTATAGCCCGGGATGAAAGTCACTTCAAAGAATGGAACAGCCAGAAGATATTCGACCGCCTTTGTGCGGTTCTGCGCCTGCGCGAACAACCTTTGTCGGCCTCAGTCAAGATGGCGTACACTTGCATGCTTTCTGACGTCATAACGCATCACAGTGGACGCCAATGGGTCATCGAGTCTGGTTAGAAAATAGTATATTGTATATTCACCTTAAGGTGAAGTGAAAGTGACGTCAGAAGTCTCGTTTATGAAACTTTTCTCTCGAAATCGAGTCTGGTTAAAAAATAGTATATTGTATATTCACCTTAAGGTGATGTGAAAGTGACGTCAGAAGTCTCGTTTATGAAACTTTTCTCTCGAAATCGAAAAAATAGTATATTGTATATTCACCTTAAGGTGATGTGAAAGTGACGTCAGAAGTCTCGTTTATGAAACTTTTCTCTCGAAATCGAGTCTCGTTAAAAAAAATAGTATATTGTATATTCACCTTAAGGTGATATGAAAGTGACGTCAGAAGTCTCGTTTATGAAACTTTTCTCTCGAAATCGAGTCTGGTTAAAAAATGGTATATTGTATATTCACCTTAAGGTGATATGAAAGTGACGTCAGAAGTCTTATTTATGAAACTTTTCTCTCGAAATCGAGTCTCGTTAAAAAAATAGTATATTGTATATTCACCTTAAGGTGATGCGAAGCACGTATCCATGGAATTTCTGGAGTTTTGCTTCGATTTTACAATAATTGTACAGAAACGGGATATGGAGTACTCCATTTAGTACAATACCCAATATAATTCGACCTAGCTGTCGATATAGATACCAACGTCGGTAACGTAGGTATTTAGAAGAATCTCGTTTACCGACTTCGATGAAATTTTTCGACGTATTTCACATCTCCTTTACGATTTTAACGATTTTAACGATTCCAGGTACGTGGAGAGACGTCGTCAAGTTCTGCCAGGCGAACCAGACGATGTACGTCACCCGGGAGAGCCAAAAGTTCCTGTGGAGTCTTCTTCTAAGCGAATGTCGAAACGAGAAATTCTGCCGAGAAGTCATCCTGGAGGTGACGTCGCCAATCATCAGCAACCAATTCGACACGGAGGTCCACGAAGGTCTTCAAGAGAACTATCTGGACAGGAACACGCTCCTCTGCGCCACCATCGACCTGCTGACCAACATCCTGGAGAACACCCTCTTCGTGGACCTGGACAGCCCGATCCCGGCATTGTTGGAGGAGTTGACAAACCTTGAAGTGCGCGTCAAGGCCCTCTTCGAGGCCTGCATCAACACGAGGTTCCTCCAGAGGGTCCACAAGCTGGTGCTCCTGTTGCTCTTCCTGAGACTCAAGCAGGGCATCCTGAGGGAGACCAAGACCGTCGACGAGGTCGCCTGGTCCAAGTTCCTCCGCGGCTTGACCTACGTCTACATGATGCTCATCCCCAAGAAGCACGTCATCGAGCTCGTGAAGACCGCCAAGCTCGCCCTCATCTACTGGAAGAAGACCAAACTGCTCTGCGATTTCACTCCACCCGGGCAGTACAAATTCGAGCACCAGGCCATTGCCTTGATGGTGAGGAGGACGGTTCATTTCTAAACCTTAAGGGGATGGGAAAGTGGCGTCAGTCTCGTTAATGAAACTCTTCTCGAAATTGAATCTACTGAATTCTTCCGGACACAGGTGTTACCTCTCTGCGTGTGCATCAAGAAGACTTGCTTAGGGTACGACCTCTTCGAGATGTTCCTCAACAAGATCTTCGAGGTCACGTGCCCGGCCACCTTAAGGCTGGCTTATACCATAAGAGACGTCATCATGAAGGGGGACTTGCCTCTGGAGCATATTTGCAAGGTGTCTATCGGGATGCTCCTCGAGATCATGGACATCATGGATAGGGTGAGAGCAGAGAAAATTAAATGTTTTAACAATAGGGAAAATATTCCTACGCCTATTCAATCGATGCACTTGTATCGTTCCACCTGATCGATGCACTTGTATCGTTCCAAACGATCGATGCAAAATTTTCACCTTTTATTAATCACATCGTTGCACTGGTATTACTTTTCTACGAAGAGACAAATGTATATGAAAATTATACACCGAAGAGTGGAATGGTTTCAAGGTTGCGTTCCAATATTATTCTTCAGTGATAGATAATCACATCGGATCAATTTTGGGCATTTTTTCAGGATGTAGCGGTGATCACGTTTCAAACGTTTTGCCACGTGCTGAAGAATTTCGCCCAAGAAACGACAGCTACACCTCCACCCGATAACGTGGTGACCGAACCCAGAAGAACAGTGTACAAGTCAATTCTGGAAGGCGATCCCATTGTTGAAAACACGGTTTTATTGTCGGCGCTTTTGGATGGGCTCGCCGCTATGACTGAAAAATTCAAATTAAAGTGGCAAGAATGCGTGGAGACGATTTGCGTCCTGGCTATTGGCCAGGAGATCTTGAACCATTCCGGTACACTGCCCAAGGTAGGGCTAGATCTCCACGTCATTTAATGAACTTCATTAAATACCTTTAAGTATTAATCGCTCTAAGAGTGACGAATGAATAATTAATTGCAGTGCTTCATCGACTAAAATAATATTCGGTTAGCTAATAAGTCCTACGACACTTTATATATTCAAAATTGTATTTTTAATGTCGCAAAACTTTAGAGAACCGAATAATTATTAAGTCATCTCAAGTAATACTGTATTTTATGAGTCAAAATAAGAAAATGATTCAATATTTGATTTAAAATGTCTTTCTGGACTTTTACGAGGACTTTTAAATTCTTTGTACAATGCATGCCCTAGAAGTTTGATGACCGACAAGGTTTAATCTCCTTAAAGAGTAACTGAATATTTAAAGTTATAGTTCTGTAATGATTAAATAATTATAATTCCATTCTGGCAGCTGTGCGTCCAAGCGTTGAAGATCTGCAAGCTAGCGATCCAAAACTTCATGCCTCCAAACTTGGCGTTACTGGTTGATTCGGAAAGCCACATGGATGGAATTGGCTCGACACTCTTTAAAAGACTCCACGATACCAACTGGGAAGTCAGAGACAGCGTATTAGAAGTATTGAACACAATTGCCACCATCTCCGAAGACAGTGAGTTTCCTGTCAAATTTTAGGTTAAGTCAGGTTAAATTACGAACCACCTTTGCCATGTTAACTGCTGCATCAACAGTCATGAATTAATGGCACTAATGTGATAGTCAATTTATTAATTAGTTTAAGATGCCAATGATTTAAAAGCCATATCATCGTTTGGCTTGCTTGCTTTTTTTTTTTATTTTTTCAGAAGAGTGAAAAGATTTGCCTCGTTCACATCGACTCACTAGTTGTATATTTTGAAGGAAAAACTGTGACGTGACAAAGTTTAACACATTGTACTTCTTTATTTCAGAGTATCCAGCCTTTCAGGATTTCCTTCTGGTCAATCGGTTCCTCCAGCTGGCAATCGAGGTGGCAACGAATGACACCGAAAGTTATGTGCGAGCTTCTGCGCTGACATTTATTTCCACCACTGTACGAATTAACAAGCTTTGGGATGCCGAATTGTGCCAGCTTGATTTGCTGGTAAGTCGAAGATCAGTCTGAGATTTTTTTAATTAATGTGAACAGCAGATCGGAGACATTATCTAATTTTTTAGGGCACTGCTGCGCAACTTTTAGAAAATGAAAGTGAAGCAGTGGTGCGGAGAGAAGCTGTGATACTGATCAAAGAGCTTTACGTATACAGGAAATGGCCGTAAGTAAGATAAAATATACTCACTAGTTTTAACCTGTAAACATAATAAATGAGTTTAACCTATAATATACTTAGACCATATATCATTTTAACCTATAACAATTTTAACCGCAAACACACAGTACAGACTGATAGATATTCAGCACGAAACTCCAGCAAGTCTTGTGTTAAAAATATTTCTCAAATTTAATACAATGTTACATGAAAATGGAAAAAAGAAATAGTTGCGAGAAGGATAACGCAGAGTGACATTTCTCTTCGGAAGGAATTCTCGACTAGCTTAACCTCAAATACACACATTTTGTACGAATATACACGCGATGAGAATATCTCATTAATTTAGTACAATTTAATATGAAACTTACAGGAAATCAAAAATCGAAGTCATGTCCCACATGATGGCCACGTCAGCTGTTCTGGACTTGCATTGGGAAGTTAAGACAAACGCCCTCGAATTCTGGAAACATTTTATCAAATCTCATTTAACCGACCAGGGAATGCTGGATGGCTCTTTCCCCAACGTGACGTTCTCTAAAGAGCACCGTAAAATCGTCACTCTGAATGAAACCGAAATCAAACGGAGACTCAACAAAGCTCTCGATGAGTTAGCGAAGCAGCGTTGCCTCGGAGTAAGAATTTTTCAATTTCTCGATACTTGTTCTGAGTATTAATTGGTTTACAATTTTTTTAGTCATTGATAAAGATGAAACAAATCTTGTAACACTTAACTTATCTACTACAACATTGTTAACAACAATTGATTAAGTATTTGCAAAATATTCAGACAGACCGCTGAAATTAAAATTTGTATCATATTTCATAATAAGGAATACTACTGTATATCAATTTATATTTAACAAATTATGATTTATTGAAGTACTATTAACCATTTTACATTGAGGCGCTAAGTTTCAATAATGCGCAAGCTCTACACAGTCTATTTTTATTTGTCGATGAACACAATTTAAGTGAACGTAGCCCAATTTAGTAATTTAAATGATATGTAAATGAGTTTTAAATTTATATAAAATTAATAAATAATTCTTTTATCACAAGGTGCTCCTGGCGACCCTGGAAGACGACTGCGACTTCGAAGTGTCTAGAATTTCAGCCAGTATTGTGAATAAGCTGAAATGGTTCCTTCTGAAATACAAAATCAATGAGCCGCTGCCAACTTTGCCTCTGCCGAAAGACAGTGCTACGATGGACACCCCCTACATAAAGCAGACAACTAATATTACATCCCAGGGTTATCTACACCCTCCGGAGCACTCATACAGCGTTATCAACGAGATCGTCGACGCGACCGATGCAAATTTGCTGGCTTCAATGTATAAAACTTCCATGAAAATGGACAGCCCAGTTGACAAAAGTGATCAAGAAACGCTCAGGCTCGTCTCCGAAGTCACCAGGGAAAAGTTTCTGAGGGCTACGTTGGATGCAGACATCGATGCATACATCCAGGAAAGGAGTCGCTGGCTCAAAACCTACACCGACAGCTTCGACTCCATCCTGGATGACATCGTCACCACCTACCAGAATAAAGGTGTCAACACGATGGACTGTTATTAAAGAAGAACGTGATAGTGCAGATTAAAGTGCATAAACTTAGCTGTAAAATGATTTACATGGTTATTTCGATGAAGTGTCTGAGAGAAATTGTGGAAAATGAAACGTCACCACTTAACGGAAGAAAGATGTCAACAGGATGAACTGTTGTTACAGTAGAACGTGATAGTGCAGAATAAATTGCATAAACTTAGTTGTAAGATTATTCATACATTTATTTCGTTAAGGAATTCTCGGAGAGAAAAATGGGAAATGAAACTTTGGCCTGTAGTCTTCTCTGTCCAAATAGTCCGCCGTGAAATGGCGCCAAAGTGGGGAAATTATAAATAATCGAGGCTGTATCGTGACAGAATTACTAGGATTTATTTTTGTAATACTCGTTAAGTTTATTTTGAAAGAAATGTGGATTAAAAAAAATGTTTATTCGATTTATCAGACATCGGAAACATTTACCTGATTTAGCGAACACTTCGCTACCACTTTGGTTCAGTTAAATATTTATACAGAGAAGTGAAATTCGCTAAAATGCTTTTTGCTTACTAATTTCTGTCCATTTCCTTAAAAACGATGTATAAAAGAATTTAGAAAACCAAAGAGTCGCAAAATTCCACATTTAAATCCAACTTTCGCAATTTTTCTCTTATATACATTCCCAACATTTTGCACGAACGATTGTAGAAAAAGAAGTTGTACGTTTATAAAAATGAATAAAGGTTAAAACGTTCAGTTTTAATTGCATTTGTTGTTTATTTATTATTTCAATTTGTGAAATGTATTGAGATATAAGGTGATAAAAAGTTTTAATTGTAATGGTTTTGACTAGCGAAGTTTTTGGAGGTTAACTGACTTCGGTGGTGGGTTACCGGAAGCGGTGGGATTTTCAATTGTTCCGAAGTTGCCGGTAAACCCATTGTCTTGTCTTTGGTTACAATTTGCAAAGTTTGATCAGGAAAGGATTATTTTAGATTTCGAAGAGTCATAGTGGACGGAAATCGAAGATGTTCGATCTTTTTTCGCCGGTTCGTGATTTGCTGATTACGAATGACATCGTCAGAATCGACAACGTCGTTTTCAAGTTGCATTGTCGTGTAACCGTTTTATTACTGACAGTGTGCGCAATTCTGGTAACTGCGAAACAATATTTTGGCGAGCCAATCTCCTGCATGGCGGATGAGTCTATAGGTTTGTTTATTTCGATTCCCCTAAACCGATTTTTTAAGAAACTGTCATCGACACTTAACAGAAATTTCTGAGGCCTTCGATACTTAACAAAGAGATCTTTGAGGTCCATTTAATAATTACAAAGTTTTTTAAGATTCCTTCGATGCTTAGTAAAGAATTCTTTGAAACTTCTGCGATACTTGTAAGAATTTATGGGACTTCTTTAATACTCGACGTAGAAGTTTCCGAGAGTCCTTCGATACTTAACAAAGAGATCTTTGAGGTCCCTTTGATAATTACAAAGTTTTTTTAAAATTCCTTCGATGCTTAACCAAAAAATTTGCCGACATTTCTTCGATACTTTATAAAGAACTCTTTGAAACTTCTGCGATACTTGTAAGAATTTATGGCACTTCTTTAATACCCGACGTAGAAGTTCCGAGAGTCCTTCGATACTTAACAGAGATCTTTAAGGTTCCTTTGATAATTAAAAAGTTTTTTGAGATTCCTTCAATATTTTATGAAGAAATCTTTGAAACTTCTTCTATATTTATTATGATAATTCCTTGATATAAGAATTCCTTGATTAAAATAAAAGACTAAAATATCTCCAGGAATTACTTGCAAATTAATAAACGTCAGAATTCCTGAATTTTCTATGATTGGATTTAATGATCACCTATGGGAGGCAGGAATCGTTTGTAAAGCAATTATTCATCATCATCGGAAAGATTTAAATACTTATCAGTGATTAAGAAACCTTTTAAAATATTAAACTAACGAAAAATATCTGCTTTTAAAACGTCATTAACAGCTAAGGAACCGATTAACGCTTATTGCTGGATATACAGTACCTTCACCGTGTCTCGCCACCTAAAAGGAATTCCTGGACGTTCAGTAGCGAGTCCCGGAGTTGGCCAAGCTTTGGAGAACGATGAGATTCATTATCATCGATACTACCAGTGGGTCGGTCTAAACATGAATAAATATTAAAAATAAGATGATGAGTCAATGTTACTAATAATCATAATAAAAGTTATATCAATGCAGGGACTAACCTAAAACTGAAAATCCCTTTTTCAGGTCTGCTTTGTTCTGGGGATTCAAGCTGTGGTTTTTTACATCCCTCGAGCTTTATGGGGCATGTGGGAAGGCGGCTTAGTCGCAATGCTGTCGATTGACCTCTCCTCTCCATTTTTGGGGACCGCGTGGACTCCTGAACGCAAAACGCAGCTTGTAGATTACTTAACCAAAACAAATTTGCATACTCATAACCTCTACGCTATTCGCTATTTCTTCTGCGAGCTGATGAACCTAATCAACACGGTGAGAAATTAAAATAAAAAGATACGTGTTTGGTTATTTGTTTTAATGAGTCTTATTAATTGAGATATTGATCTCTTGGTCTGTAATAATCCAAAGAAAATATTAACAAGATCTATTCGATGAATAATCAGACACGTATTTTTTTTATTTCAACTATGGATCAACCTCCACTAATTGAAAAAATGTCTTCTATGCAATGTCCCCTAATAAAACCTGGTTTATGCTTCGATCCTAACCTAAACTTATTTTTCTGGGACCATTAATGCATGTCCTAATTCTTACTCGAGCTTAATTCTAATCAATAAAGCTGCGTACTGCATCACTTTGCAACTTATTCTGTACATTTCAGTGTCCAGTATCTTTTGACGCCTCATAATATAACCAACAAACTATTCCAAATTGAAGATGGTTATGAACAAGACGAAAGCATAAGCCAAGCTTAAATTTCCCTGATTTAGGGGATTTACTTTATACGTAAATTTTATAAAACGTGCAAAACCAATAAAGCATCGCTCCGCAGCCCATGCTATACATTTCGTCCGATATCTTTCGACAACTCATAACATAACCTTCAAACTGCTCCAAATTAAAAATTAAATTAAGAACAAGACAGAAGCACGAGCCAAGCTTATTTCCCTGCCTTAGGATTCACGTTGTACTTAAATTTGCTAAAATTGCTCCAAAGCATGCAAAAGAATTCCTTCACGTAAAAAATCACTCGTTAAACAAATGTACTCGTTGTGAAACTCAGTCCACATTTTTCTTCCAGGTTGGACAGATCTACCTGTTGAACGAGTTCCTAGAAGGACAATTCACGAATTATGGATCTGCTGTGACCGGGTTCGCCATGGAAACGAGACCATACCAGAGAGTGGACCCGATGGCTCGTTTGTTCCCAAAAGTGACCAAATGCACAATACACACCTTTGGCGCGGGAGGATCTGCGCAAACGCACGACGCACTTTGTATTCTGTCACTCAATGTCGTCAATGAAAAGGTCTTTGTCCTCATCTGGTTTTGGTTCATATTCCTGGCAGGTGTCGGAGCATTGGCGGTGCTCTACAGGTATTCATTAAAATATATATTAATATTTATTTAGTGCTTTACAGGGTTTCGATAAGATATACATAAATATTTTTTAGAGCGCTCTACAGGTTTCGATGAGATATATCAGGACATTTTTTGATGCTCTTTAAATATTCGACAAAATATATGAAAACATTTTTTTTTATGCTCTAATAATGATGATATCTTAAAGTAATTCCTTATTTTTTTACAGGATAATCGTCTTCTCTCAGCCATGGACCAGAATATATTTGTTGCGAGCAAATGCAAGATCAATAAAAGGAGTGAAAGTATCCAGAGTCGTACGAGAATTGCATTTCGGAGATTGGTTTTTGCTTCAGCAGTTGGCTCGTAACGTGAATCCCATTGTCTTCGGAGAATTAATCGAAGAACTGGACACATTCTTTACCTCCAAAAAGCCCGATGAGCTAACAACGTAAAACTTGGCTTTTACTGGAAAGATTAAGGTGATACGAAAGGGTCATTCTATATATATAAATCGTCAAAGTATTTATAAAACTTCTCCAAACTGGATTCACTGAATCAATTGAAATTTCAGCACGTAATTATGGAGGCCCTAAAAAAGATCGTGGTGTTCATGAAATTTCCTTATTGATATTACATTTTCATTATTTATCCCAGACTAAAACATTTTTTTTTTTATGATATTTCACCAGCATCGTGTACTTCTTTAGAGCTTTCATAATCTCATGAAGTTTCAAATAATTTGGTGCACCCAGGTTTGAAAAAAGTTTCATAAACATTACGCTTTATGCATATATATAGAATGACAATTTCATAAAACCTTACAGTTCGATACGTAGCACTTTCTGTGATCGGAGAGAAATTCTCTCAAAAAAAGTTCCTTCGAAGCTATTTTACTATTATAACTCTTAAGTACTGCTTAAGACAATACACTAACATTACTTTTTGCATATTTTATATATTCAATGTTTTTTATTCAAATATTATCACATCGATGATGTCTAAGCATAGGTTAAGAAAGGTACAAACTGTGGTTCGCTTTCCAAAAATGTTTAAATAAACATACTTATATATTTCTTTATGTTGACAAACATTGTAGCTGATAAGTAGAGATTTCAGAAATTCTCTATGAACAATGTTTCGAATGATGAGAATGGAAATGAAAGCGATACAAAATGTGAACCAGTGTTTTCGATGTTCAACTATATGTTAAACATATTTTATGCCGAGAAAGTTAATTATTACCAAAAAGAAAAAATTTAGTTGGTAGACAAATGAAACTGCGCAAATTGTTTAAATTGTCTTTAATTTTATTTTTATAAAAATACAAATGTTCACTTTTTAAAGATTAAGTACACACACACACATATATATATTTCTTTATGTTAATAAACATCGTAATTGTTAAGTAGACATTTTAAAAATTCTCTACGAACAATGTCTCAAACGATAAGAATGGAAATGAAAGCGATACAAAATATGAACCAGTGTTTTCGATGTTCAACTATATGTTAAATATATTTTATGCCGATAAAATTAATTATTAGTTGATTTAGTTAGTTTAAGGTTAATTATTAGTAAAGTTAGTTATCAGTTAATCTAAGTTTAAGTGATTTAAAGCAGGTTAAACAGGGTGTAAACCAATTGTACTGGTTTACACATGGTTTAAACCTGCTGTAAATCGCTTAAACTCCCATTAAGGTTCGGTTTTATAGCTAGGGTTAACCGAAGTTTAATTGGTTTACAACAGATTTAAACCCCGTGTAAACCAGTTACACTTCGGTTAACTAGAGTTGTGGAACCAGGCTTAATCATTGATTATATTCTGGGAGTTTATAACGTAAATTGAGCGAAAACGTGAAAAATGAGTAGCTTACGGTATTACGGAATGTTTTTCGTGGTGAAAATGCGAGACCATTCATATAGCGAATACGTAATTCTGTGAATAAACCCACGTGAGATGAAAGTACGAAAAGTGAGCGCTCTCGTAAAAAATACGTAATAACAGAGGTAATAAACGCCCTGGTTCTCGATCATGTTATCACGGTAATATAGCTCAAAAAAATTCTAGTTACATCTTTACAATGTTGGCGGTAAAGTCATTTTTATACCACGACGTTGGTAACACTAGTTCCAACGAATCTTTTATCCGTTTCACGTGTTTCCCCGAGATTCTTCAACGTGCTTCAACGATCGTCTCTCTGTTTCAAAAGTAAGTTTCTTTATTTAATTTTAGGTAAGTGAAGGAAAGGTCAGTCTTCGTTTTAACCCTTTCTTTGTTTTAAATCTAACTTCAGATACATATATACGCAAGCTGAAAGAAGTAGAAACTAATAATGGACTCTTTCAAGATCAACGAATTAATCGGCGACGCAAAATGTGAGACACAGTTGTTTATCCATACTTGTAATATAAACAATTTCAGTCTGATATTCTGTTCGATGAAGGCAACAGAGTATGTGATTACTCCGACAGAGAATAAAAAATTAAAATGGCAAGTGCTTCTGGACTATGATGATACTAAAGAGGCTATTGCTGTGAATGCAAAATCATTTGGCTCGAAGAGATGCAGTAAACACGCTCAGGGTTCCTATTGCTATGAGACCATTTCAGCATGCAAGAATTGCAATACGCCTGGATTTATATATTATACTTTCACGTTTTCATACCGTAGCCTTGACGGCAAATTAGAGTGGACAAAGACCATCGATTCGAAAAACTGGTTGAAATTCGGTGAAGAGTTTCGTATGACTTTGCCCAATGTTCAACTAATGCCAACGAAAATAGACAGCAGTTCTGATGTACTTACAGTGACGTCTAAATTCTATGTAGTTGAAGAGGTAAACTTTACTTGTCAAAATAGAGAAGATTTGTTTCCAGCACCTATTCAGCACGTCAGTACCGTTTCTAAGTACCTTTGGGAAAGCCAGAAACTGAGCGACGTGATACTGATAGTTTCGGAGAAGAAATTTCATGCGCACAAGGCTATACTTGCTGCGAGCAGTCTAGTATTCCAACGAATGTTTGATAGCGAGATGCGAGAAGGAATCCAAAATACAGTAGAAATAACAGAAGTGGAACACACGTTAGTTGATTTAATGCTTCAATTTCTTTACCTTGGACCCATTGAAAACGTGCAGAAAAATGCTTACCAGTTAGTGTATCTGGCGGACAAGTACGACATAGAACCTATGAAGGAAATGTGCCAAAATGTTTTGTACAGAGATTTGATTGTGGAAAACTGCGTAAATACTTTAATCCTTGCTGATACACACAATTTACAGTTACTAAAATCTTCAACCATTTGCTATATTGCCAAGAATATTGAACTCATTATAAATAGATCAGAATATGAAAAACTGATGGGTTACCCTATTTTACTCAGCGAGATTTTACGTGAAAACTCCAAAGTAATCGACAATAAAAATGGCATGAAAAGCGAAAGTACATAAATCGAAGATTCTATTATACACAACTATTAACGTGTGGACGACTCAAGATAATGGTCAAAATTTCATAGTTGCTGCACAATGCGGTTAGTTTCTGCAGATGATTTTAAATGCTTTCTTTCAACAATGGTTTCTTAAATCATTTCGATTATTTCTTAAATAATCCTGCCGATAGTTGTATACCTTGCGTTTAGCAATTTTAAGTTTATACGTTGTATGCTTTTCAACATTATGGTTATATTTTTGTTTATTTTCTAATGCAAGTTCTGTTTCTTTGAATTTTAATAGATTTTAAGGTTATGCTCCGACCGACGGGTTTCTAGATATCAGATTTATATCTTCAGTCCAAGTTCAGTGATAATTTTTAAGTTCCAAGATTTCACATTCCAGCTTATATTGGAAGGAAGATGAAATCTGGAAGCTGTTTCGGTATTCCAAATAAAAAAAAAAAGAGGTTTCGATTGATTTTATCTATATCTGAGCAGTGCATGTTTAGAATGTAAGAATTTCTATTCACGTGATAAATGAATAGTTTTCAATTAAAGTTTTATACTGTTTCATGTTCGTTAAAATGATGTATAATGGACGATACATAAATATATATTTTGTACATTTTTAGACCTATCGTGTGTTACCGTCAATATTATTTAGCTATTATTCTATGTCGATCAATTCTGCAATTAGCACAAATGAATGCGTTTAATTAAATTATTGTGCACCGAAGGTGTTCGGTGCTCGACCTTAATTCGGTAACTGATACTTGTCTTATTAATCTCTAGATGTGCAAAAAGTTAGGTTACTGGTTAGGTTAGTCGATTAACTGTAGTTTGTTCAATTTTTGGACATTCAGAAATTCCGATATTGGAAGTATAAAAAATTTAAATCTTTAGTAACATAATTAAATATTCCGCGTGGCATAAACAGAATTTAAAAAACGCGCTCTTTTTGCTTTTCATTAATGGCGCACGGGGAATCCTGCTTGACGCAACTTGTTCCGTTGTAAACAGTCGGCTATCTAGATTCAACGAGACTCTATGGCCGGGCCGGGAGGTTGAAGTGCCAAGGAATTCGCACTGGCTTAGAATTCGATTTTGGAGATGCTGGAAAGTGTCAAGCACATCTTTTTGGTCCTGTCGGGTAAGGGCGGCGTCGGAAAGTCGACGGTTAGCACGCAACTTGCCCTGGCGCTGAAGGAGGCCGGTTTTAAGGTTAGTCGCGCCCGCCGAGAGGTTATGTCGATGCTGACCGTGTAAATGTCAGGATAATTTCAGGTAGGAATACTGGACGTCGATCTTTGTGGGCCCAGCGTTCCGTTTTTACTAAACCTTGAAGGGAAAGATGTTCACCAGTCTTCGGAAGGGTACGTTCCATCTTCGCATTCGGAACTTTCTTATAAGAAAATTATATCGATTTGAAAGCACTCGTACTTCACTTTCAGGGTTCAAAGAAGTCTTATCTGTAAGCTGGTCACTTAGTCATAACCTTTTAGTATTAAAAGATATCATTTAGCCGTTTAGAGATTACAGATAAGACGTTTTTTAATTCTGAAAATCAGACTTGAGAATTTATTATTTAATTATGAAGCACTACAATAAGATGGTAGTTTTAAACAACCTTTACGTCGACTCAACAAACTGAAGAAAAGGATATTAAAAAAAATAACTTATTTTTAAATATCTTTGATGTTTACATGTAAGCAATATTTTTTAGATGGGTGCCGGTATATACCGACACGGAGCAGAAGTTGGCGGTCATGTCCATTGGCTTTCTCCTGAAGAGTCGGAACGACGGAGTTATTTGGCGAGGCCCCAAGAAGACTAGCATGATCAAACAATTCTTAACGGACGTCGTATGGCAGGACATTGACTATTTAATTATCGATACCCCTCCGGGCACATCGGACGAACACATTACAGTAATGGAGAATTTACGGTGAGATTTTCATATACAATGGGATCGGTGCTTGCTTTTAGCGATTCGTTTGTGATTGTTTGCATGACTATCGAGATTTAACTTTCTGTAACTTTTTCTCAAGCCAGAAGAAAACAGATATGATGTAAAATTTACAAATGTTAATCTTCCGATATTAGTTGTGTCTATAAATTTGCAATCTATAAACAAATATCCTAGTTAGGTTACGAACAATGATAAGGTGTTATGTTAAGTTTTGTCAGTAAAATTGGATAAAACTGATACGTGATTTAAAAGTTTCATAGCGTTATAGCCTGTTAATATTGTCCGGTAAAAAATGGGTGGTCTCGTCCAGATATGCAAACAAACAATTGCTCTTGCTTTCCCTCGATACACAATACGTTGAAAGTTTCCTGACATTCTTTTCTTACTCTGGTCTCTTTGTTCTTCTAGTACCGTTAAGTGCGACGGAGCGATTATAGTAACTACTCCACAGGCAGTAGCTGTGGACGATGTGCTCCGAGAAGTGACATTCTGCAGGAAAACCGGAATTCCTATTATTGGAATAGTCGAGAACATGAGTGGCTTCGTCTGTCCAACGTGTGCGGTGAGTTTGAAATTGTTCGCTCATAATTATATAATTCCTATCACAGTTTACACGATACAGAATAATATTTACGTCGCAGTTTAACTAAACTATTAAAAAGATTCGTTTGAAGTACACATACATGCAGTATACAAAATGTTTTAAAAAAGGAGATCACTTAAACACAAATGATTTCCTCTCTTTAATGCATGCAATAAGTGTGAATGTGTTCGTTTATGTCACGTGAATTTTATCACTCGTCTCAGTTTACGTAATCTTTTACATAACCTTAATTGCAATTTTTTTTGTGTTTCTCAGGAATGTACAAACATATTTTCCTCCGGTGGGGGCCGCTCGCTCTCGGAGATGGTGAAAGTCCCCTTTCTGGCGAAAATCCCCATAGACCCGGCCCTAGGGAAACTGGGGGAAAAGGGACAGTCCATTATGTCTTCTCTACCTGACAGTCAGGTGGCGCTGGTGTACAGGAAGCTCGTCGAGGAGCTTACCAAGAGCAAGGAGGCCTAACTACAGATCACGTTGATTCGTGCCTTATCATGGAGCAGGAAGAATGGAGAGAGGAAAACTTTACGTGTATTTTATAACTGAAAGTTGATTTTTCAAGGTTGAGCCAATTTATATCACTTGATTAAAATCACGATTTTCTTTTTTAACAATCCAAGCACTGCACCGTGATTGACCTTGTCGCAGTGTCATCGAAAAGGTACAAATTAAACGTAGTTTAACTCTGTTATAACGTTTAAACGGAAGTAATAATTTAGATGTTTTTTTTTTATTGCCTGATCTGTATTCCTAATAATTGAATTTACGAACCCATATAAAGAAAACTTTTTTCAATATTTCTGCTGATGACGCTGCAGCCCATGTAATGGGAATTTTTAGATCGTGGCTCGTAAGCACTTAACAAATCGAGGTGACTAATGATATCTTAATAATATCGATTTAATCTAGTCTTATGAACGAGGTTATTTAAATATTTAACATGTCTTTTAAAAATCGCGATTTTAATCGTGATTCAAAGAGAGATCTACATTTCTTTTCTTAAGAAATCATGACTTTTAACAACCCTGTCATTTTCTAAGGCACTTTTTAGGTTGTGGCCGTCGTTGCCATCATAAAAAAAAAACTGAATTAAAACTCCTGTGGTGGGAGGTTAACGTTTTCAGTTTATGGCGACTTCGTCAAGAGATACTTGCGATTGATGCATTTAGTTTTGTATTCGAGGCTGGGCACCCAGAAGAGAAAATTCGTAATAGGGAAAAATGATCGTTTTTATATCGTGCTACATACTTTGGTTGTAAAAAAATAAAGGTACACTTTGTATCGCAGCTTTAGAGCAGTGGCTGGCAAGCCTCTGTCGAAGTTGTACCATGATTTTAAAAGCACTTCGAACACAAATAGATTGAATATCGAAATGCTCATTCACTTCTCAGGCTTCCAGGAATGCACCGTTGAGATATTTCACAGTTTGGGACTTCTTTGAAGCCTCCACTTTGTATAAAACATCTAAGAACACTGTACACTTTTCACATTAACGATGTTTTGGGTCGTTCGACAACCTGAAACGACTCATTCAAGTACTTTCTGATTAATATCCAATTTCCAGTTGCTTCGATTACTTTGGTTACTCGTAAACTGATATTCTTAACTGTAAAAGAATCCTACTTTCTGAATGTAAATGCTTTGCATCTTTCAGCTGTCGATGGTTCTCGTTACTTTGTTCGCTAAATATCAATATTCTAAGTTATAAAACACCACTACGTGCTAGATGGATGGAATGCTTCGATTCCTTCGGTCAATGACACTCTTAATTGCTACGAATCATTGATTCTTTTTTTATAAGCCTGCCAGAGTGCTTCCTTGTACCGAAGAATAGCGGCTAACTTGTCATTTGCTTCGGTGATGCCTCTTCCTACGACCACTAAATCCGCTCCAGAGGCGACAACAGTCGCCGGTGTGTTATATCTCTGCCCAAGGCTGTCCGAAGTCTCCGAAAGCCTGACACCAGGAGTCAGCTGAATCAAACCTGGGTCGGATATAACCTCACTTTGACTGACCACTCCGACGATTGTTTCGGAGCACTTGGCCATGGAAACAGCTCTTCTAATGTAGTCTTCGGTGGTCAGGGCTCCTTCGGAGGACATTTCACACACCAGGAAAAATCCTCGATGCTCTGAGATTCCATCGAGAGCAGTTTCCAAGCCAGAGATGATTTTAGGTCCTGCAATTGGATGTACCGTAACAAAGTCTGCCCACTCTGCGATCCTGTAGACACCTTTTTGATATTGAAGCGACACTGTGTGACCGATGTCACCAAACTTTCTGTCCTCCATAAGCAGAAAGTCGTGCTTCTCTGCTAACTGTCGCAACTGCTTCGTAAAATCCTTTGTGAAGTCTTCGACGATGTCCACGTGGATTTTTAGAACTGCTATGTGAGGTCCGGCTAGATTGGCAAGTTCCAGGATGGAATTAGTTGTCGTTAAGTCTGCAGCCAGACACAGTGTAGTCTCCTTCGAGGACATTAATCGAAACAGCTTCGATGCCACTGGGTTCTTGGACTCTGCCGCTCTGCGTAGAAAGTTCATCGATAGTCGACTCTTCTCTGGAAGAACAAAAATTGGGTTTTTTGGAAAGACTCGGAGACAATATTGGTGTATCGTTTTTGGGAGTTTTTGAGGAGATTTAGAGGTTTACGAAGAGTGTCTGAAAATCGTGACTCTTTTAAAATGCATTTAAATATTTCTCTTGTCCAATTAAGTTGGTAAAATATGAGAAAAATTGAAATTTATATCCTAAACTCATTAAACGATAAGGATTCTCTATTCAATTCACACGGATACTGTTTTTAGAACCAAAAGTTGCCGACTAAACTTAAGTATCCTATTGTTTTACATTTTCATCATGTAACCTCTTAAGGAGAAGGTCGGAAGAACAAAGAAATAATCTCAGGTTTGAAAGCCCACCTTTCTTTTCTACGAGCACAGGTGCTTTGCACATCTTCAAGTATTCCGCAACATTCTTCACGTCCACCGAAGTTACCTTGCCAGCTTCGAGGAGATATTCCATTAATTGTGAAATTGTGTACAGGGACTTAACGACGATTCCATTCCTCTTAAGGTTTCGCCACCCACCCTGTTCTCTGTCCACAATGACCAGAGCCTCGGTAATGGTCAGTCCTGCTTCTTTCAAGTCTTTCGCCGTCTCCAGGACACTACTGCCCGTTGTAATAACATCTTCGATGATAATACAAGGATCCCCGTCGCTATATTTTCCCTCTATCAATTTCTTAGTACCATACGCCTTGGCCTCCTTACGCCGAATCAACATCGGTATGTCGTTCTCGGTCGAAATTAATGTGGCCAGTGGCAGCGCCGTGTAAGGGACTCCACAGATCTGTGCGATGCTTTTGGACTTTTGGGTATGCAGCTTCCACAGCGATTTGGAAAGTCTTTGCTGGAACGAAGGAACTGCGATTTAAAAGATATGTAGCGATCGGTCTCCCGATGCGAGTAGATGACAATATCAGTAAAGGTTACTCTTAATCAGCCAATTCGATCCAATTTTTATCGCAATCGAAAGCATTCATAGCGTTAAGATGTTTTAAAACGTTATCTTATTATTTCAAGACTTCGTGTCGAATCAATTATAGGGTTTTTAATTATTGAAACTAACGCAAACTACAAATGTGATGTAAAAGGAATGGTAAAAAAGGTTTATTTTTCCACACGTGACATAACCTCTAATCATTAATTTTGAGTGCATTATAGTTAGGTTGTTTTAAAACGTTATCTTATTATTTCAAGACTTCGTGTCGAATCAATTATAGGGTTTTTAATTATTGAAACTAACGCAAATTACAAATGTGATGTAAAAGGAATGGTAAAAAAGGTTTATTTTTTCACGTGTGACGTAACCTCTCACCATTAATTTTGGATGTGCTATAATGACTCTCAGGTCGAAGTAAATTGGCGTCTTCAAGCCGGCCTTCGTGACAAAGTCGCCGAACTTCACGGCGTTGATATCGTAAAGGGCGATCGCCAATTCTTTTAATTCTAACTCCATTGTTTTTAATAAAAACGAGTCCTGTCGAAGTTTACTGACGCTCTCGGATGAGAATCGACAAACGACACGCGTAGTGTTACCAACGTTTGGAAAAACTCGGACTTTGGATATCAAATATGGAGGCTGAAAGGTTAAGTAAGTTCGTTTACGAGGAAGATAAGTTCATTTGTCTTACCTCGGTTTTATAACTACTGGGAGCCGATTCTATATCTTTGGCGAGGGTGCTCGTTCTCGCATAGTCATTTCATGTGAGTTTATTCGCACCTCTACTTCAGGTGAAAATGTGAGATCCCTAGGTCGAAAATAGACTACGTCTCCATTGCACTGGAAATTTTCTTTTTTTTTTTTTTTCAAAAAGAGTACAAGGGAAACGAGTCAAAGGAATTTTCCGTTCTTAACCTCACTTTTAGGTAGTCCTTGAAAGAATGTATGCATCACGTAGAATCATATCCATTTATCTCCCCACTTCTCATAGAATTTACACACATAATCATTCAGTTATAAGATATTAAAGAAAAAGAAATGCACGTAGTCTTGCCTCCTCGGCTTTAACTCCGTAATGAACGAATTCCATAACCTAGCTTATTACAAGTAATCCCATGAAATAGCAAAAGGAGTTCCCACTTTTCAGATATTTTCGCAAAAATTCTAACTCAATGTTTCCTTGCTAAGTTAGATTATTAATATTAGCGATCTTTGTGAGAAAAATGTAACTCGATTATTCAATATAGCGGAGATTAGAATACGAGTCGAATGTATTAAGTTAAGAAGTTTTTGTTGTTTTAATTATGCTACGTCACGTTAAAAACGATGAGAACTTATTCCTGAACCCAATAATACGCGTGGAACAGACGTAAACACTATTTGGATAAAATAAACCTTGGACTCGTTTTACCAATGAATTCGGTTCCCTCTAGTTAGAGCAATGTTAAGTTTCCTTAATTTAAAACTGTATTTAACCGAAACTCTGTCGACTGTCATGACAGAAGTGGGAGCTCACGTTATTTCATGTACACACACTTCATTAATTCCTCGGAGAGGAGGTTACGTGGATGTAGAACCCCATCGTAGAGCAAAAGACCACAAATTCTCATCGTTACTATTTATTCCCCCATCCCCAGAGGCCCTTTACGAAGCCAGACAGTCCCGCTTGTCCCCCCTTCTTGGAAGGATCGCCAAACTTCTCGGAGAGGTCCGGAAACTCCACCATATTCGAGGCCAGATCGAAGAATAACGGCTTGCACGGAATGCTCTGAGTGGGAGGTGGCAGTTTAACGATCTTAGGTTGCTTCGACAGCAGGGAAGGATCCTCTCGATACTCGTGGAGCCTCTCGATGAGAGGTTTCTTGCTCTTGATTAGAGTGCTCGTCCCAGTTTCTGCTTCTTGATCCCCCAACACACTATGGGCATGGGCTGCGTACTGCGCCCCTTCGATGGAGGCTTTCAATTGACACAGTGCCGTCTTCAAGTCCTCCGGCAGAGTTTCCTCCTTTTCCATCGCAGTTTTCACATGTTGAAGCGCTCTTTGATACAAAGCAAGCGCCTCTCTCCATCGTTGGACATAAGCAAGCGACTGTGCCATATAAAAACATCGAAACGCACGATATCCACGTGTCCTGACCTCCAGATTCCGGCGGAACTCCTCGTCGTCCTGGAGCTGTGACATCTCGACGAGGTTATGTATCGCTGCTTCGTATAATCTGACAATGTCCTGGGGTTTTGAACTCTTGGACTCTTTCGCAATCTCGACAAGAGTCAGATTTCTCTCCAGAGTTCTGCCCAGTCGAATGTATTGCAAATAGGAGATCAAATGCTGCACCGTGCTGTTCTTCTCCGAGTCCTTGCTCTTCAGTTCGCTCTTGAAGGTCTCTCGGACTGTCGCGATGGCATCCTTGCAGTCTATTAAGTGAGCGTCCAAGTGTTCGACCCTAGTTTGAAGGTTATTAGCTTTACACAGCACCTGGTCCAGCCTGGAGTCTGCGTGCAAAAGGCCTGCCACCCTGGGGGGCACAGTTCCACAGGATTTGCCACGCCAGGTCACTTCCTCCGAAGAGGATTTTGTTTCTTGGGTCTGCGCCATCAAGGAGTCCAGGGTGGTCAACAGCTCTGCACTCAGTTGTCCTGCAATTAAAAAATCCTCGGTGTTGGTCCGAATGGAAACATTAAATAATTTTGAAATGCTTATAAACAAATTTAAAGGACGAATGAAATTTCATGGGTCGAAGGACTTTCTTTAGAGATTCCATATTCACGTGGTAATAATATAAATATTTATACATTGTATATTAAGCTAGAGGAAATACTAGATACTTTTCCATACTTCATCATCATTTTTGACGTAATATCAATTATTTAGAACAGAAACTAACCTCGCATTTGCATCAGATCGTCGATGGCTGTGGTGTCTCCGATGTTGTAAGCACAGTAGCGCAGGTTCGGGGCCAGTTCATCCACTCGAGACTGGTACGTAGTACGGTCTGGGTCTGGCAATGCTGTGACGAGTTTCTCATAGACCACCTGGGCCTTCTTCAAATTCTCCATCGCAGGTTTCCAGAGGTGTAGCTCGAAGTGAAGCGAACCATGAATCCATGCTACGTAAGCCTGGGCTTCGAGCTTGGTCCTGGCGTCACAGTTTACGCTCTGCAAAAGTAACAAAGTTGTAAGAATTATATTTTTTTTAACCCTTGGTTCATATTGCGGTTTTCAGATAACGTAGCTCATATTTACGGTTCTTTTACGTCCCAGGATGATCAAATAATATTGAAATTAAGTAAATGAGAAATCAATTTGTCCCGAAGTTAGAAGGAAGACAGGATTTCTACACAAGAAATAAAATATTCTGACATATTCATCGTACTTCTATTAATTCCTGCAGCTGCAAGGAATAGGTCGCGGCTTTCCTGAGTTTCGAGATTAAATGGAATTTCTTCCTCGGTTCGGTGTTCGATTCTTGTCGTAACTGCATGGCATAGCTCCAGGCTCGCTCTGCCAATGTCAATGGAATCTGTAGGAACTTGTCATCCTTGACCATCACTGGCATCACGTCACGTCTCTTAAAATGACGCCTATCACCCTGTGGAACTTTGAGCACTTTCCGCAGCCGTCGCAATCGCCTCGAACAGTAGCCACGATAACGCTGGTAATCCCCATGTCGAAGGCCGTGCTGTTGCTGCGCAGCTTTTATGATCTTCAGAACTATTTAACGATCGTTAAGGAAATTCTAGTATGAAATTAATGTTTAAAATTGGATAACATAACTCTATTTAAAATCGCATTAATTTTGCGGTAAATTTTACCATACAATTAACCTAGAAAGGTCTTCTAATTGTACGAAGGTCACGTGATAGGGATTTGATTGCTACGAGAGGTTATGTTGGTAAAACATTGAAACCCTTGGATTGTATAACATAATCAACTGGTACAAATTTTTCTGTATAATTAACGAGGAAGTTCCTTTAAATGTGGGAAAGTCACGAGACATGCAGCATCGTCTAGAGGTTAGCACATAACATATGGATGTGTCGACCAAAGTTTTGGATTCAAAGTGAGGTTAGATGGTACGCTCGAAAAGGATACTCTCCAGGGAGTAGACTTTCGGCTCCTTCGGGATCTCCGCCTCATGAATCTCCTGACTTTGCACGGTAAGTCCCGAATTATCCTCTTGCACCACCATCACGAAGTTTATCGCAGGCGTGACGTGTGCGAAACACAGATAACCCCTTTTTTAAAGACCGGAAAGTTCTAGGTTAGAAACTGTTCGTATGCCAGCGCTCCTAGCGGAGGAGGTATAAGTATACGGAGACAAAGTTAAGTTGGATTTCTAGGTGTCGATTCTGTATATAAATACCTCTGGTGAAAATGATAAAAGTGAACATCTGTCATTTTGTAACTTTCACTATGGTGAAAATGTGAGATATTTCGCGTGACATTACTCGACAAGAAACTCCGAGTCTCGAACCGAGTTCCTTCAGTCTGGAGATTTCACATTTTCACTTTGAAAATTGGGCGAATAAGCTCACGTAAGATGATAATCCGAGAAGTGAACATTCTCGTCAAAGTTAGAAACTCGACCCCCAGATTAGATAAATTTCAATGACTACGTCTCCATCGTACTCGAAATCCGAGATTTATCGGATTTACACCCAGTAAATAGGAATTTAAGTATGGATCGAGACACTCAGAATCGAATCTGTGTATTTATTAATGCAATGGAGACATGCGATTTACTGGATCTAGATCCGATAAACCCTGGATTAAGGATACGATGAAAACGCAGTCAATGGTTGCTATCTAATGAATTTTAATATCAAAGGCAGCCGGCACAAAATGGCGCTGCCCAGAGTCTCACGTTATTCTGTGAGAAAATAACTCTTTTAGTTACGTGAGAGTCAAAATTATGGGCAACAGAGATAACAAAGTCAATTTGAAATTGTAGAAACTGTAAACGCAGATTTCGACTGTAACCGCGGTGTGGCAGTCAAGAAGGAATCGTTTCACCAACGAAAATACGCAGAATCCAATGTTTGAGGTTATGCGGAATGCCGAGTTTTAAGTACCGAATGGAAGGTTATGTAAACTGAACGCAAGCAGTTCGTTAGGACTGACTTTGAAAATGTCATAATTAAAAGGTCGTAGAATAGTAATTAATTACAGTTCCGTATTAGAAATTAATTTAAATTGATACTTTGACGTTGTCTACCAAGATTATCACAGATCATGTTCTCCGTGGCCAGGCGAGTAGTCTACATGTTGAGAGAATGCTACACCGTCGAAAGAAGACTTATTCTACAAGGGAGGAGAGGACATTTCCCTGTGCTAGAAAGCAGCGCTTCCTTTGCCGATGACGGCTACAAAGGTCGCCAAACGCGGACAGACGATGTAGAGAATAGCGTAATGAAAATCTCCTTTGCGAAGTCGAAAGACCAGGACAAGGAGAACTTCCTGGACATCCTGCGGGCTTACACATTGGACAATGAGAGGAGGCGTAGCCACGTGGAGTTCCTCTATGCCGCCATGAAGTACATGGAGCAATTCAATGTCCACATGGACCTCGAAATGTACAAGAAGTTGATAGACGTGCTGCCTAAGGGGAAGTACATTGCGATGAATCAATTCCAGGTGGAGTTCATGCATTATCCGAAAGAGCAGCAGTGCATCATCGATCTCCTGCAGAAGATGGAGGATAACGCCATCATACCCGACGTCGAGACTGAAGAAATGCTGATAAATATCTTCGGAAACCATAGCTATCCTTTGAGGAAACTTCGTAGAATGGCCTACTGGATGCCCAAGTTTAGGAATCTGAACCCCTGGCCTCCTCCGATACCTTTACCAGAGGATTCCTGTGAATTAGCTAAAGTTGCGATAAAAAAGATCTGCTCGGTGGATGTGCAGAGTCATGTTACAGTGTTTCAGTCAGATTCCGTAGAGGATTCGGTCGATAAGACTTGGATTGTATCAGGGATGAGCCCCATGCAGGAAGAATTACTTGTTAAGCATGACAGAGCGAAGCCAGTCTTTGTCGAGGGACCCTTCAAGATTTGGGTTGGTCGAGCTTCGGTGGACTACTTCATATTAAGAGCGGACGCTGTGCCATTTAAACCACCTAACATTAACATTGATGGTAAAGTTAATGTTCGACTTGTTATAGTATTTATTATATCTTTCATTTCGCCGCTTTATCTGCTTTTGTAGAATAGAAAACTGTTTCACCCTCATAACTTGAATATTGGCAACAGATTTTTGAAAGTCTGAATTGCTAACAGATGTTCTATCGAAGTCCTATAATGTAACCTCACTTTTGAGCGTTAAACGATGTCTTCTATCTATTATCTTTAGTTAGGAAGACGTTTTACCTGGCCTTTAAATTATTAGAAAATGTCCCTTTCTGTAGTTACTAAATGGCCAAAACTCGTCTTCAAAAATTAAATGTGAAGTATGAGTATAAACCAAATTTTCTGTTCCATCACTATTTGTCACTGAAATTAGTTCTTCACTATTTGTAACTACAATACATGGTTTATTTAACAATATCTTTTTCAGATGTATCGAACATTCATATGCCCTGGGAGAAGGAGTTCAAGGAAATAATCGCAGCTCCATCGGTACACGAACAAGCCGAGGGGACGCTGTTCTCAGTCTGTGCTACGGGGACATCGAGTAAGGATTCCTTGCTGTCTTGGGTGCGATGCTTGGAAAGGAAAAATCCTGTTCTAGTGAATCTTCCTATAGTGTTCACTTTGAGTAGTGGCACCGAAAAGATTATACACATTGAAGGAAACACCGAAGAACACTTGATTAGTCCATCCAAAGCGGATGAGCATAGCAAAAGATAATGTTATTTATCACACCTTTCATAGTGTGCTACTTGTAAATAAGACGATTCCTACTTCCAGATGTGGGTGCTGCGTGAAAAATGTTACTTGCTTTTCACTTACACGTAATTATTCCTCTGTATTTTAAGGTTACAACTAAAACATGTAAATTGTACCAGATTGTACATTATGTACATTGTACGATTTATCCTAAAAATCACTCCTAACCTTCAAACCTTTTAAGATTTTATGCATTGCGTGAAAAACACAAAATTTTATTTATTTAATTTCTTATGGCTTTGCAGTTTGTTGCGAACTGCAAATAAGTTATTACAAGAGGTATTGTAATTGTACCATGAAGTCGTTCCGATGAGTTCGGAGAGGTCATTATGGAACTAATTATTAATAAATAAATGTTATTAGTACTCTGTATTTACAGTAAATGATTAGGTAAATGTAATGCAAGGTTTTCTTCGTATTTCAGATTAACTGAAGTCGATGTAAACGGGAATATTCTATGATTTTACTGCATGGAAACAAGCCCCAATCGCGGCATTGTAAACCCTCCTTTACACGTAACCAATAATGGCCGAAACGCGATAAGTATCAATAAATATTTTCGGCTTTTTGAATTAAAAATGGCATCGAAGAGTTTAACAGGACGTTTGCTCCGATTTGGAGGTTTTCTACCGTTAATTAGGTTAAGGATAATTTACGAAGTATCTAACAGTTTATTTAATGTTTCTAAACCATTCAAGCGGTGTTACTTAACCTATACTCTGTGAATATTAAATGAGATTTTCACTTTGGAAAACTGAAATGATGAAACAGAGATATGTAATCTTCAAATATTTGTCTTTTTCGATAAGGTTAGGTTAACTGTTCATATAGTTTTCTTGAGATTTGCTCAACGTAATCACCTAACCTAACTTTTGAAGACGATTATTAAAATTTGCAGTAAGAGTTATTAAGTAAATTTACACTGTAAAGGATGAAAAGATTTTTTAGGAGTATTCTTTTAAATTGAATACAATTTGTAATAAAGTTAGGTTATTTGGCATGTACATGTTTTCCATTGCTATGACAAATGCGGTTAAATTGGTAACCGTTTAAGAAGTAACCGATAAACGATATAATTTGTACATGTTTATATATTTGGACTGATATACTTGGCGTAAAATGTATTTGAAGTTAACTAAATTTTTATTTTAGCGAGTAGGTATTATTTTAATTATTTAAAGGCGTACATGTAACGGAAATTGCATTGCAGGCCAAATCTTGCACAAAATGGATATGTGCGACAATACTCCGTGTACCCGACCAGTTTCATCAAACCTGTGTACAAGCCTGACGAGCAGAAAGCTTTGAACGAATCTGGGGAGATGCAGAAAGTAATATTCCGTCAAATCCTGCCAGCCAAAACTGACGAGAGCAGCTCCGAATTTCATGACGAACTCACAAAGTAATAAAATTTCACTCAAACAATATTGATATTCGCATGAAAACTTGGAAAATTCAATCTTGAATAATTTCGAACGAACTTCACAAATGTTTTCATTTTTATAAGAAATAGTTACGTCAAAACATAATTTTTTATGACAAAGGTTATGTTGTTACCTTCTAATTCTACAAAGATTAAGAATTAAAATTGTTTAACCGTTGCCAACGTAATGGAAGTAGATATCACGAAATAGGATTGATTAATGTGAAACTTGGTATTTTCTCTTTGTTTTTGTTTTAAAGCAAACTCGTAAACTACATAATGAAAGGTGGCAATAAAATACTGGCGAGGAGGATAGTGGAGAAAACCTTTGAGAGCATCAAGCGAATTCAGCTGGAGCGATACAACAAAATAGCCAATAACATTTCAACGGAAAATCTAAGTCTCGAGGACATAGAACTGGATCCAAAGAAGATTCTACACCGGGCGGTGGAGAACTCCATGCCTGTCTTACAACTTACGCCGATGAAGAAAGGTGGCAGTGTTTATCAGGCAAGAAACGGATGCTTCTCTTTGGATAATACGTTAGAAATGAAATTGAGATCTTGTTTTAACGTTTTCCTTCATCTTTCAGGTTCCTACTCCCATTTTAAAAAATCGATCCAGATTTCTGGCCATGAAGTGGCTCTTGGAGGCTGGAAAAGACAAGGATAATCATGTCCGTCTTTACGATAAGTTATCGTGGGAACTGATCGATGCTGCGTACAATCAGGTTTGCAGATTATAGGTTATAAATCTTATCCAATGCGATTAAAAATGACATGATATCGTGTAGTTCGACAACGTAAACTTAGAAAAATATTTCTAACTTATTGCAGCCTTGTTTAAAACAACGAAGCTATTTATGTATAACTATTTCATTGTTTTATTTCAGGGTCGTGTTATCAAAAAGAAACAGGACTTACATAGACAGTGCGAAGCAAATCGAGCTTATGCTCACTTCCGATGGATGTAAAAGGAAGCATTTAAAATAGAATAGGATAACAAGTAATTGCTGAGATGCATCGATCAGATGATTAATTAATTCAGTCACGTGGATAGCTTTTACTGATCTAGAAACTATTGTTGAGGTTTCACTGTACATGATTCGAATAAGAAATGGTTTTTATTTTCCTCTCCTCGTCAAGTTTTGAATTCGTGCAATTAGACTTCGATTATGTGTAAACCGTTGACTATGACATGAATTTGCAATTCTACAGTGAATTATAGTTGCACCAAGGTGTAAAGTAATTTTAAAATTTCAAATTTTAACGTCTGCATTGAAATGGCATTTCAGAAAATAAGCATACTTTAAGGTGAAGTCCCTTTAACGTGTCGTTTTTAATTTTGGTTCCATGTTTCTTCTTTTATATACATTTCCATTATACTACGGTAAAAATGCAATCGATAAGAGTCAACGGTGAGATGGAGCACTTAATCTTGTCTTCTCTTATCCTCTAGAATTCAGATTCACAGAGCTACGCTGCTTCGGAGCATTTCACGGGTTGCCCTTCAGTACCGTTTCGAACAGTTCGTAGTCCAATATCTTTCCAGCACTGAGGTTTAACTTGAACGTATTGTTGGGAGACTTGACTCGTAGATTTTCATACATCCTGGCCAGAAAATTAGATTTCGGCGGGGAAAGCCCTACTATGTCTGACAATGGCAAGTCGAGGTCCTTCCTGCCTCCGTAGGTGGCGACATAGGATAACCTCAACATTTTGTTATGTTCATTGTAATAAATAAATCCTATTAAATTGTTGCAGAAATGTCCGAGAGAATAGAGCAGTGCAGTTATAGAGACAACTGGAATAGAAACACTTTCTTTTAATTTATTAGCATCTATTAATTAGCGTTCTATGAAATGCGATTTCTTAGTTTCATTATCTATGAAAATGGCAACGATATTTTATAACTTTGAGAGAGCGCTTCCTAGATTTAAATTATCATGGCAGTGCACACAGTAGGAGCGAAATAGAGCGATAGTTTGTATAAATGAGGGAAAATTGTCTAAGTATGAAAAGAATAAGAATTATTAATAGGATCTTACTCCAAACTCCAATTATAATGATGTATTCCGGACTGCTAGTTTGAAAAATATAACTGTAACAAGCAACCGGAACGTAGATACCCAATACGACTGTGTGGTGGAATTTCATTTTGTTGATGAAATTTGCCTCTTTGATGAACGGAAGTTTGTAAATCGTCTTCAGGCGTGGAACCTTTGATTGTGAAAGATGCTGTTCAACGGTCGGAGCTTCGCTCACCGTACTCAGATACTGGATCGATCGGGGAACACTCGTTAAGCATCTTTCCAGTAGATTATGTCGTAAGAGACTTCGAGTGAGGATCAACATATCGACAGTTTAAGGTGAACTCGAAACCAACTCCTTTCGAGAGGAAGAGAAAAATTAAATCCCTGTCAGTATTTCTTTACTATTCCAAAAGGTTTCTTTGCTTGCTGTTACAGTAATTTTTAATTCTATGTCGCTTTTTTATTTTTTCGAAGAATAACACTGTCGAGCAAACTCACAAAACAAATCATTCGAAGAGGTTATGTTTGAACTCCACCGTGTTTTCGTTAGATTAAAATTAACGGTTTTATTGAGTACGTTTCCGACGATTTGTAAATCTGAGGTTATGCGCGTTTCTAAAGTTGTTGGATCCTGTATTTTGGGGGAGAATGCTCATTTCTCGCACTTTCATCTTATGTGAGTTTATTTATTCGATTTTGTATCTTCTAAGTGAAAATATGAAATTTCTCGATTCGAGGTTTTATCATTCGACACGAAATTTTTTCTCGAATAGTCTCACGTGAAGTATCTCACATTTTTGCGATTATGAATGTTACAGAACCACGAGAAGTGCTCACTTTTAGCATTTTCACTGGTTTCGAGTTACAGAATCGACCCCCTGATATTTTTCTGATTGATAAAGAATTTTGAGGTTATAAAGAAGTGACCAATCAGTGGCTTTTATTTGATTTCAATGTGAAGATCACTTTAGCTATACTACGGCGATTGAAAACGTTACTTTATTTCATGTTAGGTTAGTTCGAATGCACCATGTGGTCTTTTTCGGCGTCCTAACCTCTGAAAGTGTTTCCTGCAGATTTTGAAAATAATTTCGGATTTCTTTAACGATTTCATGGACGCTGTCAATTTGTAGAAAGGAATCATGAACAAAAAACATCAGAAAACCTCGTATGTTTATAAATATTCTATTAATTATGCTGTGTATATTTAATTTCCTGTACCAGTTCAGGATTTGTAAACTACTGTTTATTATTTATTTACCATTACATGCATTATTAAGACTTTTGGGTCCATTTTTTACTCGAAATTATTTTGCAGTTTCGAGGTCGAATCTAAGTACGGACCATTTTATACCGGCGGGACAATATTGGTAAGTTGTTACATATTAATTTGTTAAACGTAAACATAATTTATTACAAGTCTTGAGTAATCTTTTGTTGGTTGAAATAGTATTACAGTTGCTAATGAGAGTTTTACATGCAGTGCTAATTTCGGTAAAAAGAGATGTACATATTTTAAATCGCTAAGAATATTTTGTAACCATTTTTATTAAGAGACTCGACTTTGATATTTTGATTAAATGTTAAATATTGTTCCAGTGGACTGCAGATGGCGAACATTTGCTGTGTCAAAATGGGACAAGCGTTTCAGTGGTATCGGTTGAAACTGCTACGACGATAACCACTTTAGGGGAGATGGAATCCGAGCACGATCAAGATGCCATTAATACTTTCGCTTTCATCGATAACGATCAGCGATTACTGACCCACCATAAGAGTGGCCTTTTTAAATTATGGAATTGGAAAGGTATATCTGACTTTGCATCAGATTTTCTATTAAGAACCGAGAGATCTCCAATTCTGTTTGATTGCGATGTACTTCTTTGGTTCTTTTTTCTTGCATCCATTAATTATCATAAAAAGATGCATTAATAGCATATTACTGCTTCCTTACTTTATTTATCTTTGTGTTTTATATAATTAAAAGTAAAAATATATTTATACATTCTGTAAGAGTATATGCGATAATTCTCAGCACCATGTCGGAATTCAAATGTCATAATCAACATTTTTAGACAATACGGTTTATCGCTTCAGTCCAGAGGACATTAAATTATATTTTACTCTTTTATTTTAAGAGAAATCCGTCGATTCAATGTGGAAATCTGTTCACATTGGACCGGTTGCCTGCATAAAGGCACGAGACGATGGCGTCATCTTGGCATCTGGAGGTAGCGATTCGAGCGTAAGATTGTGGAACTTGCAGAATCGTACCTGCACACATAACCTGAAGGGCATCCAAGGGGTCACCAGGTAATTGCACTTATCTCTTACTTTAAGTACATTAATTAATTAATCCAATTGTTTATAAATTAATATATTTAATGTATTAGTAAATTCATAAGTAGAATTAACTGACTGAGGTTAACAACCTCTCTTTTTAGCATTCTAGTATTTCATCCGGACGACAAGAATCTCTTATTCGGAGCTGGCGACAATTTAGGGATACATTGTTGGAACATTGAATCTGGCCAGTGTAAAGCCGTTCTCAAGGGGCATTGCAGTCGAGTCACATCGTTATGCTTTTATAAAGACAAAGTGCAACTGATCAGGTACCAATGTAACCGATGAATATAAAAATTCATTTAAGGCATCGTGAAAGTGGAATCAAAAAGGTCTCGTTTATGAAACTTTTCTCCGAACTGAATGTGTCGAATCGTTTCAAACTTTACATTGTAAAAGCTACAGAGAAGATCTTGACAATGATGAACTCTCAACTTTTTAAAAAATGTTTATACACATTTGACAAATTTTGTTTCATAAACGACATCTTTTTGACATCACTTTCACATCATCTGTAATGCAAAACAAGGCATTGAACGGTTAATTATGTTTATATGTTTTACTTAAAGATTGAATAAACCACGTCAGAAATTTTAACACATCATTGTAATTTTGTTTATGGCAGTTCTGGGCGAGACAAAGTGCTGATCTTATGGAATTTGGTTCAAGGCACCATTTTACGTACCATAGCCGTTTACGAAAGTATCGAAGGTGCCTTCATATTGCCCGACAACCGTGAATTACCTTACGCTGTGAAACCTGATGGAATTTATGTGGCTACTGCAGGAGCGACAGGTTTGATTTACACCGAATAATCTGAATAACGACGTGTGAAATATATTCTGACAAAATATTCGTTTAACGAAAAGGCAACCTAATCTATCTAGACTATTTCAAAGTATCCTATTCGGTGGATAAGTAAAAACGTTCTAGAAACGATCAATTCCCACTTTTATAGGTTATATTGGTTAGATCTCATCGATATGATTTTCTTTTTTAATTAACCTGTAGCGTAGAATAATGAAAGAAGTTTATAAACTCTTCAGGTTTAATTAGAGTTTGGGAAGTCAAAGCAGGCAGCGAAGTTTACTCGCAGAAAGTCTCGCTGTTACGAGCTGCGGATGAAGACGGACTCTCTGCGACGCATTTGTTGTACAATGATACAAAGAATAGCATCGCTGTGGTTTCTGTGGATCACAACATCATTATACATTCCTTGGAAGATTTTGAATGTAAAAAACAGGTTAGTACATTTTATCTGAAACATATAAAACCATTTGCATAGATTTTGAGAATGTTTTAAGATAGTAGTTAACCTCAGTGCGATAAAAATGTAATTTAAAGTTATGGAACTCATTATTACAGCTAGTTGGATACAGTGACGAGATTCTGGACGTAGTTTATGTGGGAGATCAAGACAGCCACTTGGCAGTCGCTACGAACAGTGCCGATGTGAAACTCTATGAACTGTCGACAATGGACTGTCAGTTACTACGAGGACATACTGACATCGTATTAGCTTTGGCTACTTCCGCAGCCAATAGAAACCTACTTCTGTCTTCTTCGAAGGTATACAAACCTTCCGGTCATTAAGGAGATACGAAAGTGGTACCCGGGTCTCAATTATGAAACTTTTCCCTAAACTGGGTTTATCGATGCGTTTGAAAATTGACCAAATGAATATAGAGGCTCCGATGAAATGTTATGTTTTAAAATTTCTTTCTGAACATTTTCTGTGTTATAAAAAGGGAAACTTCAACAACGTAATGACATTATGAATAATTTTTAGGACAACAGCGTGCGTTTGTGGATGATGAATAAAGACTCGAAGAAGGTTTCATGTATTCGCTCCGGAGTGAGACATACAGCTCCGGTTGGTTCCGTTGCTTTCTCGCAAACTTCGGCCACGAGTTTTGCATCCATCGGACAAGACTGCTGTCTGAAATTGTGGGAGCTGCCCAGAAATTTGGACGTCACTGGTATGAAAATTAATTTTCCACTTCCTGTATATAGATAATGAATGCAGTTCATTATTCATTTTAAGGCGAAGTGAAATTTAATCAGAAAGTGGAAGTCGTTGATGACGAAGGTCTTGTGACGTCAACAGTGATCCTAAAGAGATACATCACGGTTCTTGATAAATCGCGCTGATAAGCGATAGTTGCAGTCTCTTGTTTGAAGTACGCGGAATTATTCAACGCGTATTACGCTCGGTTTTTATGTCCCCTTAAGCTTTCTGGCAAATATCTGATTAGGGCTCTTAGGAGGGGAAAGAAACAGTGCTAATTTCCCGATAATTACGGGCTCGGAGTTTGCGGCTCAGGTGTTTCTGTTAGCCAAGCACAAGCTAATCTTTGGTGCTTTTGATTCGCTGAAGCGTGATCTATGCACGTGGAGGTGGGATTTTAAAATTTTCGTCAATTAGAGTACACTCCGAAAGGAAAAAAATGGAATCGGGGTGATTTCTTTTAATAAAGGTACACTTCGAAAGGAAAAAAATGGAATCGGGGTGATTTCTTTTAATAAAGGTACACTTCGAAAGGAACAAAATTGAATCGGGGTGATTTCTTTTAATAAAGGTACACTTCGAGGGGAACAAAATTGAATCGGTGTGATTTCCTTTACCAAGGATACTCTCCGAAAGAAAAAAAATGAGATCGATGATATAAAAATTGAATCGGTGTGATTTCCTTTACCAAGGATACACTCCGAAAGGAAAAAGATGAGATCGATGATATAAAAATTGAATCGGTGTGATTTCCTTTACCAAGGATACACTCCGAAAGGGAAAAAATGAGATCGAAATGAATTCCTTTAATAAGGGTACACTTGGAAGGGAACAAAATTGAATCAATGTGGTTTCTTAGAAAAAATACATGAGTTTCACGCCAAATGTATTATTTCCCCCTTCGCTGCTCTCTACAAATTTTATATATCTTTAGAAAAATAGCTTCTAATCCTTCGGTCTTTCAGTGGCCTCCCTATTCTTAGATAATTTTGCTCCGAAGAAAAAAGAGGTAATGTGTTCTTTCTCTTGCAGGTGGAGAGCATTCATTGAACGCAACTCACACCGCTTTAGCGCATGAGAAGGACATTAACTCCGTTGCAATATCACCGAATGATAAACTCATCGCTACAGGATCTCAAGACAAAACTGCAAAGGTGAAGATTTATTTATTCATTATAATATCATGCGTTAAGATATGAAAAATATGTACTTTATATGTGAAGTTTTCGGAGTTAGTTCTGTAAAAGTGAGCGGAGACTGAAAGATCGGTTGCGTTTCGCGCCAAATACATCTATACGATAAATCCCTAGGATACAGTGGAAGAGTTTATAATTCAAATTGACTGTATTAATCTCTTATTATTAATATTTTTAATGTACAGCTATGGACGGCGACGGATTTGCAGCTGCTGGGTGTGTTCCGAGGCCATCGAAGAGGAGTCTGGTGTGTTCGATTCTCACCGGTGGCCCAAGTTCTGCTGACCAGTTCGGCAGACTGCAGCATAAAGTTGTGGTGCCTATCGGAGCTTAATTGTCTGAAGGTAAAATAATTTTTACGAAACATATACCCCCAGTCTTCATTATGAATTAAATTTATAAAAATAAGGTGCATTGGTATTCGTGCAGAAAATAAATTATTTCCATTGGTCCTGCACATTGTGTAACGTCATGATGATTGGTCCGAAGGATTTGTATCTTTTTCTTAGGAAACGCGGTAGAGTTTCGCGGCAAATACATTTATGCATAAATATTCAACGTGATTGCTCATCTTTCAGACTTTAGAGGGACACGAGTCGTCCGTTTTGAGAGCGGAGTTCGTGACACGAGGAACACAGTTGATAAGTTCCGGTGGGGATGGATTATTAAAATTGTGGGACATCAAGACTTCAGAATGCGTCGCCACTTTGGAGCAGCACGACAACAGAGTGTGGACATTGGCTGGTAAATTAAGAAACTCGGTAGAGTTTCGCACCAAGTATATACACAAAGGCGCGAAACACTGACCTAGTCATTATCCGCGATATTACCCTGGTTCTTCCTATAGCTTCAATCAATAATAATAAATACGTCGATTTGTCATTAACTATTTTAAAATCTAGTACTTTGATTTATGAAAATTCACAATGACAATGGATCGCTGTCTGGCAATTTTTCAACCACTTAAAAGGAGATCGTCCTTTCTCTTTTTTAATGATTCTATCATTTTATTCCAGCTTTTATGGTAACACATTTATTGTTTAGGTTGAGGAATAAGTTCCCACGGTTTTTAACGCAACGTAATATAATTAGAACGGCGGGAATTTATTCCTAAATGTGATAGTTCCATCTTGAAGATATCTATCGTCTCGATGTGTAATTTTTAGTCAGCAGAGACGAAAGGCATATAATCAGCGGAGGAAGCGACTCCGTCCTGGTGATTTGGCGCGACGTGACCGAAGAGAAACTCGCTAAAGCTCTGGAAGAAAAGGAGAGGTTAGCCCTGGAGGAACAAAAGTTGGCAAACCTGCTGCAAGCGAACCGATTCGCGGAGGCCCTGAGAGTCGCTCTAGGACTGGAGCGTCCTCTTCAGACTCTGAGGATAATAGACGGTAATGAAATATCCTAAAGATCGCATTTTCTCTCCTAGTACAAAGAATTCAGAAGCCCAGATCCTATCCCAGTGAACACTGTCATATAACTGTTGGGTAAATGTTACGTTATCGAAACTAACATGTTACGTAGCATAAAAGTAACATGGAGGTAAGACGTTAGTTATTATTTCCCACTCAATAAGGTAACGTGTTGTGTAACATGTTATATCAATATTACATTAACGTTATAATATCAATTACTTTAACATAATATTAATTTTTCATACATTTAATAAAAAAGATGACGCAATTTTATCCAAAATTAAGTAATTCTTTATTTTTAATTATTTTTTGGTACTTGACAGTAGTTAGATGTTAAATGATAAATCGGACTTTCAATGAAATTATGTAACGATAAACTATCTGATTTTATATTTCATATAACTAGTTAGCTCTATGTTACGTAACTTTTAGGTTATTACATTGTAACAAACGTTATGTTATTTGTTAGTTTTAAGTTATGTAACTGTTAGGTTTGGTGTTCAGTGGGATGTTGATGCTTTAAAAGTTGGCTAAAAAACCGGAAGAGGGAGTAAAAGAGAGATCCCATGTGTTAGCCAACGATATCTCACATGTGGGAGGAAGAGAGACGCATATAAGGCGAGTATTGGGGGTAAGATAAGGAAAGAATGTAATTCTCTATATATCCCCATAAGATTAAGAGAGATGGAGAGGTGATTACAGCGCCGCCATCCGTTGGCTAACGTACTATTTATCCAGCATCGAAGGTCCCTATCCTTCTAGGCTTCTACGGAGACTTCTGAATTCTCTGCGTAGGACCTCAAGACTTTATAAGTTAGGGAATTTTATGGTAATTCTTAATCGTTTTAGATATCATCAAGAGGGGGAACAAGGAACTACTGGTAAAGGCTATTCAGGATTTAACTAAAGAACTGAAGGAAGCTCTGCTGAGATGTGCCATCTCCTGGAACACGAATAGCAGGAATTGCCACGCAGCTCAGGTAGCTTGAAAGAAAAGAGAAGATCCTTTATTTTTTACGCTTTTACTTTTGCACTCTCGATGAACTGTGTGCGTGTATTTGGCGCGAAACTCTATCGAGTCTCCTGATTGTGGATACACTCGATAGGCAGCGCCAGCGGAATTTCCTGGAACTAATGGGAAGTGAATCTTTTTCTTCGGGAGAGAAAAAAGGCGGCTTTAACATTTTTTTACAGTTTGGAGGAGGACGCGAGAAAAGCATTCTTGGAAATCGTTAATTTAGAGTTAATGAATTCCTCCTTTTGTTTTAGCAATTTAAGTACTCGGCGAATTTCAACCTTTCCTGGTTTTTGTATTTTTCTTTTTACGATACTCTTTGAGGCATCGAGAATGCAGATTTGCAAGACATTTATAAATAGTTTATGCGGAGGAAATTAATTTGTAAAAAGAATCTACTATACTGGGAGGTATAATAATCAGGGTTTTGTGCTAAATGTTTCATTTTGTTACTAAAACTTTAATGATTTATTGAATGCACTGTTTAATATTCAATTACATTTGTTTTTAAATTTGGGATGTGAACCCACTTTTTTGTTACTGAAATTTCCCATTCCAAAATACAATCAAATTTATTTATTAGTTTTTTTTTTTTTTATAAAAATGTGAAGTAGTGGATATTTTTGCATGTTACGTTATCGAGTAAATATCCTATCATTGGCTTTTGCAATTAATGTTTGTCTGAAATAATTTGTTATCTTGTAAAAAATGTTGATTTCGAAGCATGACTTCATCTTTCGAGTCTATCGTATATCCTTGAGTAAAAAATTAGATTCCGTTGAATTTCTTTTGTAAAATTGTTATTGGGTCGTGTATGGTGTAATTAACAATGTTACTCTTTTGTTTAATTGTTTATAGCTGGTGATGCACGAGCTGGTGAATGAAATATCGACTGAGAAGCTTCAAATTCCGGGATTATCGAAAACTATTGAAGAAATGATTCCTTACACGGAAAGGCATTTTAAAAGACTAGATCAGCTTTGTCAAGATCTACATTTGTTTAAATACACAATCAGTAGGATGAAAGTTGTTACAAATGATAACCCAGATGCCATATTAGAACGATGATTATTTTTTGGAGTGAACGTAAGAGTGAGAAAGTGGTATTAATTATAAATAATTAGTGGTATTAATTATAAATAATTAAAAAGCCTGACAATTACTTTTTAGAGAAATCACGAGACAGTGGATATTAATGTTAATAAAAAAAATACCCTTTGTGAGTCGAAGATGTGTGAACAAATGATATTTTTGATTTAATGAATGATGGATACGGATAATCATTAGAGAAAATTATGTCAGCTCTGTTGAGATTTTCATTTATTGAAACATTTGATTCGTCGAAGGAAACCTCATATTTGTTTAACGAATAAGTCATCGCAGAGCGATGATAATTGTTTGTTAGAATAAATATAGGAAAGTGGATGTTAATTTTAGTTGATTGATAACGGGTAAATAAACGTCATCAATTGACGGAATGACACGTGCGAATAGATGTTCCAAAAAGCTGACTCAGCTTCGACATTTCTATTTGTCGAGGGACGATATCTCTCTCGAGTGAAATAATACCTCGCTAATGATAATCCATATGATAGTCAGATATCGTAGTAAATGTAAGAGAAGCAGAACTAGTCTAAATGAATGAAAAAGTGAAGCTGCTCATAAATTATAAATAAATATCATAGTTCACCGTCTACATAAAATGATGCTTAACCGATGATAATTCAGATGATGGTTTTAACAGTAAATGTAAGAAGCAGTACTAGTTTAAGCTGATTAAAAAATGAGGAAGTCCAGCGACTGTAAATAAATTGATAGCTTTGACGTCGCCTTAAGTGCGAGGGTTTCACTTTTTCTTTCTTTCTTAGAGGCAAGTTGTTCTTCGAGGAATCTCGTAGGAGAAGCCTCGGCGACCTTGATATGCAAAGAAACAGCTGTAGTTGACAAGGGGCTCCATATTGTAAACGAAAGGCAATTGTACGCGAAAGGCGGCCACGAACGTTTCGAGATATGTTTGCTCAAATTGATAAGGAAAACGCACCGCTGCCGAACTCACGAGAATCTCCCTGGAGATCACGTTTTCGAATTATTTTCAATTTACAGTCTCAGGGAAATACGCTGAGAATAGAGAAATGCAAAATAATAGGTTTGTTCGTGTTGACTGCACTTTTGAGGGTAACGAGTGTACTACACTTTTCTTGAAAAGTGCGGAAGGGTAGATACACTTCCATTATAAATAAAAAACTCGAGTCTATCTATATTTTTTAAATATATACTACGTTCATATTTACATGTACTATAATTAGAAGTTCAACGATATAACTTTCTTATCGTGTCGTGTAAGCATGAATTATTAAACAGTTTTCAATGTTTAATAACGTAATATAACCTCGCACTAACAAAAACTAACCTGTACATCCTAGTAAATTCTTTTTCTTCTAACGAAAATGGGTCCGAGGCATCACGTAATTTCCTTCTTCTTCTAATAAGGTTATTATTACGTCCCCGAATACGATCGTTGGCATAAATCAAATCAAATCACCCTGGAGGTTTTCCATTTTGAATTTCGGTATCATAATCCGTGGAAAATGACGTTCACGGCGCTTATTTTTCTATTTTTTCTTGTATGCTTCCCTATTTCGCTTAAAAATTTGTGCCGAGCCAGTTCATACGAATGGTCTCGCATTTTCACCCCCAAAAACGTTCCGTAATACCGTTCGCTCCTCATTTTTCACATTTTCGCTCAATTTGATTTACGTAATAGACCCTCTGCTTTGAAAAGGGAAAAACCTACAAAGTTTGCTCAGAGGAGGATAAACTGGAGCGTAAAAGGAGATTCGGTAAGCCGAGGGGAAGCGAAGCGAAGCGAGCGCACTAAAATCGGTGAACCGGTGAGATTCCTCCCCTCTCGCTCTATCCCCGTTAATCCGAAAGAGACGGAAGACGCCTCCGAGAATTCTCGTCGCGCTCCGTAAAACTTCCTTTATCGCTCGTTTCGCGCCGAGAATTACACCTTTCGGGAATTCAAGGGCTCGATCGTGACTGCAGCTGCAGCTGTACTCCGCCATTAGCGATATTAAGGTGATATGAAAGGTCAAATCGTTGGGGAAAGTATTCCCCCGAATTGGGGGTACCGATTAGTTTGAAATTTTCCCACGGGAATGTGGAGGCGCTAAGGTAGGTCCTGAAACTCAGAAAATTTAATTTTTAATCGAAATTTATTTATTTATCATGGACTGGACTAACATGGCAGGTCTGGGCACGTTTTCGATGTTTTACGCTTCTTGGAGGCTTGGAATAAAAAATCAAGAGTTTCAGGACTGATTTTCAATGTTTTATGCTTCTTGGAGGCTTTGAATCGAAAATCAGGAGTTTTAGGATCGATTGGGGGTACCGATTAGTTTGAAATTTTCCCACGGGAATGTGGAGGCGCTAAGGTAGGTCCTGAAACTCAGGAAATTTAATTTTTCATAAAAAATGTATTAATTTATCATGGACTGGAACCAACACGGCGTGGTCCGGGCACACGTATTTTTAGAGGAAAAATTTAGTTGCATCTAAACGTCACAGATGGCGGCGCTGGTCCTAACCAGTCGTTAGAATAATGAATTCCCGGGATTTCGACAGTTTTACGTCGATCTCTTCGTCATTACTTTACCGAAATGACATATGGAACGCTTCAATTCGTATAATTATCAACTTAGACTGTAAAAGACCCCAACATAAATATAAATGTCGGTAACGAGACGCGCCAGCTTATGTTCCCACTTGAGGATTCAAAATGGCGTCTCCACCAAAAAGGGTACAGATGAATTTTAATTTCTCGACCTGGATTGAATTTCTCAGCGCCTTTCGTATCATCTTAATATAAAGTTAAATAGGTAATTATATAATCGTTATATGTTATTTTTTTTTCTTGTAGCTTCACCTTATCGACAGAGTTGAAGGAATTCGGGATGGAGACACGAGTGGGAATTTGGAAAATAAATGAAACTGCAACTGCAGTCGGCGCCTCGATGTAGATATCTGCGATGGTAATGTGGTAATGAACGGTTGCACCGAGACCTTAGGCCGGAGTCGGAGTAGATTTGAAGGAATTGTGTACTTGTGGCAAACAAAAGCTGCAGCTGGTGGGAGAAAAGGTGTCGCCTGGTTGGATATCGATATGAAAAGAGTGGATGGCATTTCGGCTGAGTAGTTCGCCGAGTAGCAGGCTGCTCGGCAGTCTCTCCTCCATCTCACGATTTTACAATTTCATAACTTTACAAGCTTTATTTCACTCTTCGAGCTGATATTCTTAACTTTTTAGGAGCTATCCCATCGTTTACACACTTTGAAGAATAATTGGATCGGAGCTTCGAAGAGAATTTTCAAATGGAATTTATAATTGTTGCTTCGACTCTGGAAACTTCATCGATGAATATTCTGTGCCAGTTTTGAATGTTTTAAGAGTGGTTGGAGTATCGAAGAATAATTTGCATTCAGTTTTTAAAGCTTCAAGTGTGATTTGAGCATCGCAAAGTATTCTGCATCGAATTTTCAAAGTTTCAAGTGTGGTTTGAGCATCGAAGAATAATCTGCATTCAGTTTTTAAAGCTTCAAGTGTGATTTGAGCATCGCAAAGTATTCTGCATCGAATTTTCAAAGTTTCAAGTGTGGTTTGAGCATCAAAGAATAATTTGCTTGGTCTAAAATGAATTCTGGAATTTTCCAAGATTAATATTCTCAAGATTGAGTGTATTTGGTGCGAAACTCTGTGAGGAGAGACTGCGAAGAAAATTGGATGTCCAAAGTGTAACGGTGAATCAAGATTTCCAGTTACATCGAAGCCTGAAACTGTATGTTGGAAGATTCGAGGTTATATCTTGAATTCTGGTTTAAGAAGACATTTCAGGTGATCATATTCTTGAAATAATAGTTAACTTTTTCAACTAATCGAGGACCAAATGTGCACTTGCAAAGAAGAATTTCAAACCGAAGCAATTGGTGTACCTGAAGTGGAACGTCGAACAAAGTCTTTACTCTACATACGATTCTAAATGCCTAATTAGATACTAAATGAGCAGTTGTAGAGAATTCCAAGTTGGAGAAGTTGGTTTCCTTCGAAGTGGAACTTTACGCAGGAATCTCGGTCTTCATCGGAGCCTCAGATTCTGCGTTGGATAAGTTTGAAGAATCATTTTTGATTCTAAACACTCTGCAAAGACATTCTTAAGTACTCTTTTATTATTAAGAGTTTCATTTTGAATTGTTACGATGTGGAAAGTAATAATCTCCCAGGTGCGTAACAGCAGAGGAGAGTTTCAGCCAGAATTGCTCGGTTCACCTGGGATACATCGAAGAGAAATTTGTACTGAAAGATCATTTTGATTCGAAGCATCGAAGAGAGAATTCCAGCCAGAATTTTATAATCAATAAACATTAAAAAGGAATATGCCACATTGTGTACTCATCGACGAAACAGAAGAGGAATTTCAGTGCGTGGCTCTGTGAAATGGAATTTTAATTCGCAGCCTTCAGTGCAATTAAAGGAAGCATCGAATTGAATAGTGAAAGAAGTATTTTATACTGCATATAAAAAATGAAACTGTGTACAAAAAAAAAGTTTTATATCACATTTATGTAGTGCAGATACATGTACAAAAAAAAGACTTTTGTACTGCATTTCAGCACTGCAAAATAAACAATTTGTACTTATTTGCGGTATAACTGTTCATATACAGAAGGAATAATTTTGTAGTGTACTTCGGTGCAACTGTATGCATGTAAAAAAATTTCATACCGCATTTCATCAGTGTAATTGATGAAAGAAAGAGTTTCCGCAAGATCAGTGTGTGCAAGAAGACTTAATCAGTGCCTTATTCCGAGAAGAGAATTTTAGGTTAGGTACATGAAGTGTTTTCCAGTGACTGCGTTGCTGAGAAGGAAATTCCCAAAAATGATTCATCGAGGCCAAACTTCCGTCATCTCGATTGGAATTCTTTTATCAATATTGTGCCATCTTTCTTCCGCTGGGACAATCTTGTGAGTCAAGAATTTCATATATTTCTGAACTAATTATTTTTAAATGATGTACTACCACAATTCTCAAGTATTTCATAGACAACAGATACATCACGATTGTTTGAAATGGAATATTTGAACATTTCCAATATGGCGGCGTGGTCTTCCACTTCAGATATATTTATATTAATATCAAGCCTTTGCAAGCTTCAAAGTAGAAAGTAAAAGTCTCTAATCATACTTTCAGTGTGAGAGATTACGAGGAAATTATCAGAATTCAAGTTTATCCTCAAGTTTCGACATAAAATCGGAAACTATAATGTCGGTAACTCGCAGGAAATCCGCCAACGGTTTTTCCTCGTCCTTTTTCTTACCGCCGTCAATTAGTTTTTCGGTGACATCACGAGAAATCGATCGCATAAATAGATTTCAACGTTGTAGGTCCTTCCTGCGATTTATTTATACGTCGGTAGTCGACGCCGATGACTATGCGGAACCAAGGCGAGCAAATAGCGGGAGAAATCGGCGTCGGTTCCGGCCCGACGCGTTTCGTCGGAAAGAATAGTTTTTTTTTTATTTCGTGCGTGTTTCGCAGCTTCGACTATAGTGGCGTAATCACAAAGGGGCTAGGAATAAAGATATGATGCGTAACGTTTTTAAATTCTCGATAATTTAGAAGTTAATTTTAATAAAAAATTCTAAAAGTTCCTATAAATTCTCTTAAACTCCCTAGGGATTTTTAAATTGCCGTAACATTCTCGGTTAACTACTTACGTAATATATACGAAAAACCTTGAAAAACGGAAAATTATCCAACCCTGTTGAAAACACTAGGACCCTGTTCCACAATTCGAGTTAATCGGAGTTTAACTGGCGAATAAACCCACGTGAGATGAAAGTGCGAGAAGTGAGCGCTCTCGTGAAAAATACGTAATAAACGCCCTTTATTTGGCAATATTACTAGACCGGAAGTGCTAATGATCTCGTTCTTTCATACAGCTAATACGTAATTCGGCGAATAAACTCACGTGAGATGAAAGTGCGAGAAGTGAGCGTTCTCGTCAAAAATCCGCCATAAACGCCCTTTATTTGGCAATATTACTAGACCGAAAGTGCCAGTGATCTCGTTCTTTCATACAGCGAATACGTAATTCGGCGAATAAACTCACGTGAGATGAAAGTGCGAGAAGTGAGCGCTCTCGTGAAAAATACGTAATAAACGCCCAAATCTCTTCATAAATCCATGGGGTGGAAGGAGCATAGAATGAGCGGTGTCCTCGAGGGTAGAAGGGTGACCTAGAGTGGAAACCGTTCGTTCCGTTTCAGTTGTTTCTCGCTATGCTTCGAGAGGCACCACGTGCGTTGGTACGGAGGAAACCGTAATTACCTACCGGGACAAAATGTCCGGAAAAAAGTGCAACTTTTCAAAGATGCTGTTACATTCCCCGTCTCGAGGTCGCGCGTGTCTAATTAGTTGTATTAATTAATACTTCCATTAGCCATTTACTTGGGAAGAATTTAGAGTTTTTTAATGGATGGTTGCCGCCACTGCAGTTTATAGTGTTTTTAAATTATCGGGAATTTAAGTTCGAGTAATATAACCGAGAAAAGTCCGTAGAGAATTAAAGAGAATTTAAGAGAACTTTGAGAATTTATATTTAAACTGAAAAATAATTCATCACTTTTAATAAATAATATTCGCGAAATCGAGGTATTTTTTAACTGAAAATAGTGGCTCTTTAATTTGTGAATAACGGTAAATGAAATGAAACATAGTGAGCGTTACACATTTCTTAAAACAATTTATATTGGTGTGACGTAAGTTTGAATGAAAAGAAATCATTGAAAATACTAATGCCCTTTTTCAACGCTCGCATAATATTATTACAAGCGTTTATGTAATTACGGCTGAAGAGTGAATTACAGGGATCGCTAGAAGAAACGCAAAAACCGCAAAAGACCTCTCTTGGCGTTTATGAACTGCTAAAGAGTGTTTGCGGATTAATGTCGGTTACGCGGCCATTGCGGTCTGCGGATTCTTGTTAGCGTCAATTTTACGGGAGAAAAAGGAGACAAAAAGAAATAATAAAACAATAAGCGGTGGATTCGATAGTTTAGAGCCGGTGTTTGTATTTCTTTAACGACTCATTGTTAGAAATTTTCCGTTCCCGCAATCCAAGATGGCGGCGAAGGAATTTTTTACTTTTTGCAGTTTTTACGCGCTTTCTTGCAAGTTTAGAAAAAACACCTGAATTTAAATAGAAAATTGTAGATAAAAAATGAAATAAGAAAACAATAAGTGATAGATTAAATAGTTTAGAGCCTGTATTTATATTTCTTTAACGACGCATTGTTAGAAGTTTTCCGTTCCCGCAATCCAAGATGGCGGCGAAGGAATTTCCTTCGTTTTCGCAGTTTTTATGAGATTTCTTGCAAACTTTGGAAATATATCTGAATCGAAGTGGAAAATTGTAGATAAAAATGTTGTGAAGTACTAAATTTTAATCCAAAATTAAAAATGGCGGCGGAATAAAATTTGTATGTGTTCGTAAATGTTCTATTCAATTGATTTTCATAAAATTTAATAGGAATATGCAATAAAAAAAGAGTCATTTCAAAATGACGGTGAAATGGAAATTTAAAAGCTTATAATTATAATACCTCCACCGGTTTATATCAAATTTTGTGAAGGAATGTCTTTTCTAACCTCTCTTGCGCGTTATGCGTCACATTTTTGTTGCAGTGCACTTTTAAGGCGCTATTATGCACATAGAAAGTAATTGTATGTATATTATTTGTTTAATAAGTTATTTGCATTTCATAACAAAATGAGAAAAATTCAAACCACGAAATATCGTTCCTAACCTCTCTTGCGCGTTTCGCGTGACGTTTCTCTTTGCAGTTTCAACTCGTAAGACTCAAAACAGCAATTTTAGGGCGCCTCGTGTTTGCGGGACACAATCGCTGTTTAGTGACTCATTTACATACATTACAAATATAGGCGGGTCTTCCATAACCTATACAACTCCTCGACCTCGTATCTCCTCTCGGACGCGAAACTCGGGCGGTAGCCAAACATCGTTGGGTTTATTCAGAACGAAGATAAGCTTCTCAACTGACCTTATTGCACTTTAAGGCTTTGATTTAATAAATCGCCGACTTTACTTGCAAACACAAACGCGCTTATCTACGGATTATCTTATTGCGCGGCATAATCGCATCTCAAAGAGTTACGAAGCTTGAATCCTGACTTAAATACGCAATAACAGTTAATTGATGTTAAAAATTGAGTCCAATTGAATTTTTATACGAAATTGCAAGAAAATTGAAGCAGTTATCGAGAATTTCGAATTTCGAATCGCCGCCATTTTAGATTTCTTCAAAAGCAAGTCCTGACTTTTCTTACTCGTGATTCTGAACATTGAGTTACATTTATTTCATGGTTTGAATTTCTCATTTTATTGTGAAATACACATTTCTTAGTAACAAATAATATATATGTGCAATTACTTTCCACGTGTATAGTGGCGCCTTAAAATTGCAGTCGAAACTGCAAAAGAAATGGTCTTCTTTGTCTTTGTCTTTGTCTCAATCGAGTTCTGATATTTTTTTTCTGAATCTCTCACAGCCAAATTTTATAGAAAACTTTTCATCTCCTCTGTAGAGATTCCCAATAAATTTGTGGAATTGTTTAAAAATCGGAGGTGACGGTCCGTGCCGCCATCTTGAATAGCGTCATTCATACAGTCGTCGGCACTTCCGCTCGTTTTGCATCGCAATTATCGACTAGATATCCGCAATGGCTAAAACTCGGTCGATAAATAGCGGCATTCGTTTTTAAAAGCGCACTTGTGACTCTCCATCGTTTAAGAATTCTCCAGAAACGCTCATTAGCCAACCAACACGTGGCCTTTTGTTTAAAGAACAAAATGGCTCGTCTCATTCTGTTCCTTAACAATAGTAATGATAAGCGCGTGACGTTCATAAGTTTGAAAGTTTCCAAAGAATAGAATACCAGAATATTTCCTTCTTCCCGAGAAATTCCCCACAAATATCCCTAAACAAAGATTTAGGAACTATTTTACTGACTTATCTGTTTTTCAGTATTTCTTACGTTTATTATTTGTTTATTATTATACGTATTCGTTAGTATATTTATTCATGGCGTCGCTTATCCGCCATTTAAAAATATTTCTCAGCATAATAGGATTTATTAATTTAAAAGATATGGTAAAATACGATTCTGCGATTCTTATGTTTAGTCATGGGGGAAGAATAATATTTAGTTAATTCTTTATAAATTTCTGGTGAATTTTTACAGGCCTGCCGCTGCTTGTCCGCCGATTAATGTTTATAGGACGACGACACAAACGGAGCTTTTGCAAGAATTGACGAGCGATTGTCGATACGACAAAATGGTGAGGCCTCCTGGTGCTCTGAATGCCAGCGATCCGGTCCAGGTCCTTTCCGCTGCTTACATTTACACCATTAAATCGAATATGGTGAAAACGTTGGTAAGTTACCGCTAGGGTATTAAATAATTCCTCCCTTAAGGTGATATGAAGATCGTTCATAGTGAATAAAGTCACTCGTACGACAAAAAGGAGCATGCAATATCGAGTCACTATACTCACCCGTAAGACGAAAGTGAGCGTACGATAATGGGTGAATAAATTCACCCGTAGGATAAAAGCGAGCACACGATGATGGGTGACTCTATTCACTTATAGGACAACACGGAGTTTATTCGTTCATAGTGAATAAAGTCACTCGTACGACGAAAGGGAGCATGCAATATCGAGTGACTATACTCACCCGTGAGACGAAAGTGAGCGTACGATAATGGGTGAATAAATTCACCCGTAGGATAAAAGCGAGCATACGATGATGGGTGACTTTATTCACTTATAGGATAACGCGGAGTTCATTCGTTCATAGTGAATAAAGTCACTCGTACGACGAAAGGGAGCATGCAATATCGAGTGACTATACTCACCCGTAAGACGAAAGTGAGCGTACGATAATGGGTGATTAAATTCACCCGTACGACAAAAGGGAGCATGCAATATCGAGTGAATAAAGTCACCCGGTGAATCGAAAGTACTGAAGCTGACGTCTCCCTTCCATTTCTCTTTTTTCAGGAGTTTGATGTGCACATGATGCTCCAGTTTCGTTACTTGGACCCACGTCTCAGGTTTCTGGACATTGCTCCAGGTTACAATCAAATAATCGGCGGACAATCCGCCCACGACTTGATATGGACCCCCACGGTTTACGTGGCGAACGAACGAAGCTCCGTCGTCATGGGAAATGGCGTCAAGGATCTTCTCATTTCCATCGACCCTTCGGGGATGGTGGTTTTGAACACTAGGTTCGTCTTTTATGAAAGAGTATTGACCACGTTTCTATCGCACTCTTAAATCCGGGATTCATCGGGTCGGCATTTAGTAAATCGTGTGTCTCCATCGTATTAATAAATCCGCAGATCCGATTTCGTAATTCAAATCCATTAAGCATTTTAAAAGTGAATATCTCTTGCAATTCCGTAACTTTCACTATGGTGAAAATGTGACATACTAGGAATTTCACATTTTCATTTGGAGAATCGGACGAATAAACTCACGTGAGATTACAGGGCGAGAAGTGAGCACTCTCGCCGAAGTTACAGAATCGACCCCCAAGATCGAACACTAAGTTCGTCTTTTATGAAAGAGTATTGACCACGTTTCCATCGCATTAATAAATTTACAGTTCCGATTCCGTAATTCAAATCCAGTGAGCATTCTAAAAGTGAATATCTCCTGCAATTCCATAACTTTCACTATGGTGAAAATGTGACATACTTCGCGTGAGACTACTCGACCAGAAAGATCTCGGACCGAGTTCCTTCACTGTAGGAATTTCACATTTTCACTTGGAGAATCGGACGAATAAATTCACGTGAGATTACAGGGCGAGAAGTGAGCACTCTCGCCGAAGTTACAGAATCGACCAGAGCGTTTCGACACTTAAATTCGAATTTATCAGGTTTGAACCCGATCAATCCCGGATTTAGATGGAGACATAGTTAATAAAAATGATGAGATTGTTATTTATGCGGATTTACTTTCATTCCAGGTTGGAGGCCATCTTGAATTGCGGTCTGCGCCTGGAAAAGTTCCCGTTCGACGTGCAGGAGTGTCCTCTGGTCTTCGAGAGTTGTAGGGAATCCCTGAAATTCTTAACTAATGCCACATAGTTCGAAATCAATCACCTAGGTGGCGCGCTTGAGCGCGGGAAATTTAAACTCGATTTATGAATCCTTTACAGGGACGAACAATGTAAACGACATGGAGCTCGACTGGGACGAAGACCCGATAGTACTTGCCGAAGAACTCCACCTGACCGAATACAAGCTCGTTGGCACATGGGTCAATAAATCCGTAGTTTCCTACACCGTTGCCCAGCAGCATTACGGACATTTTGGTACGCTCCTGGCACGAACATACTTTCAGTTCTTCTATTAATAATAATACTTAGTAACTAACAAAATTTGCGCAGATTTTTTTTTTCGAAGAAGTTGATATGAAAGTGGCTTCTGAGAGGCCAGGAATTCTTTTCGTATTTTTATAAAAAATTAAAAATAATTAAATTTCAGTGGGGTCAGGACTTTCCCTAGGGCCTCCACGTGGACATGGTAACATTTCAAACGACTCGGTATATCTATTTAACAGAAAAGTTTCATTAACGATTGAACCCTCGGATACCATTTTCGCATCCCCTTAAAACTGCAGAAACTTAATCGTTTAGTGTTATATTTAATATTATGTGTAATAAAAGAGAAAGAGCCCGCTTCCTTATCTACGCTTTTTCCCCAGCGGGTAATTTTAGTTCCATCAGTATCACCTTCAAGTTGGCTCGTGAGATGGGCTTCTTCATGATGGACTATTATATACCATCGGTGCTCATCGTCGTCATCTCCTGGGTCTCCTTCTGGCTTCACATGGACGCAAGTCCTCCGAGAATAGTCCTAGGTAATTATATAACAATTTTGGAAGAAATACAATCATTGAATAAAATGCTAAACTTGCAAATTTTCGAAGTTCCCCATTTCCTACGGGGTCGATTTTGTAACTTCGGCGAGAGGGCTCACTTCTCGCTCTCCCATCTCACGTGAGTTTATTCGCCCGATTCTCCAAGTGAAAATGTGAAATCTCTAGAGTGAAGGAATTTGGTGTTTCTGGGGGTCGATCCTGTAACTCGAATTTAGTGAAAATTCTAAAAGCGAGTACCTCCCGCGATTTTGTAACTTTTACTGTGGTGAAAATGTGACATACTTCGCGTGACATTACTCGCCCAGAAACTCCGAGTTCCTTCAGTCTGGAGATTTCACATTTTCACTTAGAGAACCGGAAGAGTAAATTCACGTGAGATGAAAATGCGAGAAGTGAGCACTCTCGCCAATGTTATAGAATCGACACCCCCGGGTCGAGTAGTCTCACGGGAAGTATCTCACATTTTTACCATAGTGAAACGTACAGAATCGCTGGAGATGTTCACTTTTAGAATTTTCACTAGATTCGAGTTATTGAATCGACTGCCAGGGGTCGATAATATCAGATAAATGTTCTTGTTTATGGCACAGCTGTAGAAAGAGACCACAAAATGTGATACTTTCAACTTTATTTTAGGTACAAATACCATTTTGGCTTTCATGACCCTCGCCTCGAAGGTGGAGAATTCTTTGCCAAAAGTGTCCTACATAAAAGCCAGCGAGATTTGGTTTTTGGGATGCACGATTTTCCTTTTCGCCGCGATGGTCGAGTTTGCGTTCGTCAACACGATTTATCGGCGGAAGTGAGTGAGAAATTGCATATCAATTTGGTTATAACCAGCGACAGCAAAAAAATGTCCAGAGTTTAACAAGCAAATTGGCACGTCGGCCATGTTGGATTCGCCATTTCTTAGTAATTTGAATTTAAATTGTAACGGTTAAAGTGAAATGATGTGAATGTATATGTTACGATGAATGGCCGAAATTGGAGAATGTCGATTTTCACCGGTGAATGTCAACAGATACCAAATACGTCGGTGAAAGATCGAATATTTCATATTGTTGTACATTCGGACCCTCTCCAGTGTGTGTCGACAATCACAGGTATTAGTGCATGGTGAATGTCAACATTTACCGGTGTAAGTCAGAAATAAGGGTATTTAGCAAATATTTCGAACATACACTAAGCGATTATGTGAATGTTGACATTCACTGGTGAAAGTCGACATTCTCCAGATTTCGGTCATTCACCGTAACATATACATACATACATGCACGTCGGCCATGTTGGATTCGCCATTTCTTTGTAATTTGAATTTAAATTGTAACGGTTGAAGTGAAATGATGTGAATATATATATAGATAGTGAATGTATACATACATACATACATATATATATATATATATATTCAGTATATATACGTATATTTTTTTTTTATAAAAAATAACATGCATGTCAATGTAATACAAATTTAAATTGTCCAGGAAAAATGTTCCTCTGAAGAAGGTGAACAGCAAGTACATCCTAAAGTCGACGTTGACGCCGAGATTGGCCCGTAAACAATTTCAGAAAAACACAACAGGACTGGAGAGATCTCGTTCGTGGTCCTCTCTCGATAATGGAAATGCGAGCGAGCAGGAATACTCCAGTCAGAATTACCTCACGGTGCACGTAAGTGGAATTTCCAAAAAATTCCCCCATAAATATAGGATTTTATTCCGGCAATAAAACCCTCGTAAAAAACTGGACGGAAAAGCTCCTTTCCAGAATTTTGTGGGAGCAGTAGTTCCTGAGATATTAGATTATGAACCTGACCAATCGGAAGCCGGCTCCAGGGGAAAGAAGCGTTTTTATTGGTTCGCGTCCACTATTTTCTAAAACGACAATATCTAACATTTTCGGGATTACGAACTCGCAATTTAGATCGTCAAGCCTGGGGATCGATTCTGTAACTCGGATCTAGTGAAAATTCTAAAAGTGAACGACTCCCGCGATTCCGTAATATTCAGTATGGTAAAAATGTGAGATACTTCACGTGACATTACCTGACCAGAAGCTCCGAGATCTCGAACCGAGTTCCGTCAGTCTGGGGATTTCACATTTTCACTTGGCGAACCGGACGAATAAATTCACGTGAGATGACAATGCGAAAAGTGAGCACTCTAGCCAAAGTTACAGAATTGCCTCCCTCCACTTTCCCCTGGAGCCGACACGCGATTGGTCAGTTTCATTCCTGGATATCTCGGAAACTATTAATCCCTCGAAATTGTGCAAAATAGGTTTTCGGCTCGGTTTTTCAGCAGGAATCCGCTATTTAAATATAATAAATGTAATAAGCTGTTTAAAGGTGGAATAAATGAAAAAAAAAAATGTTCACAGAGTTTCCCCAGTACTATAACCGTTCCTGCCGTGAGGGTCGAAGAGGAGAAGGAACAAGGTTCCGTGGGAAGCATCGTGACCCTGGACAGCGCGACCCAACAGAAAACTCTTCCCCGAAGGCCGACCTTGGCGCAATTAAATAGTTTCACGACGATGACCCCCCAGGAAATTGCGCAGTGGATCGACAGACGAAGTAGAATCGTTTTCCCCATAGCGTTCCTCATCTTCAACATCCTCTACTGGTCCTTCATCTGGATTTAGAGATTTCTTTGGATCGAAGATGTTACAAAATGAATAAAGCGCGTCGCGGGCGATGCCTTTAAATCAAGAATGTTTCCTTGATTTTTCTTTTCTCCATAATATTTATATTTATTCCATAGAAGAGACCATCGTTGCACTGAGAAAAAAAAATTCATCGAAGCGAAGAAATATTTCCTCGAATAGTACTAAAGATATATTTTGATAACTCAAAGAATAATTTAACTCTAATGAATCATCATAATTTCTCTTTGAATTAACAAGATATTTCATTTATTATACGACTTGTTTTTTTTCCCAGTGTGGATTTTTGCATCACTTTCGCAAAGCGAAGTTTTAAGGAACGATTAATAATTTCGCATAAGTCGTTGAATTAATTTTTTACACTTGGATGGAATAGTTTTAGCAACATTTTTCCTTATTAAACAGGAAATTAATTTATGATATAGCCAACGCCTAAAATAGATCTCAATATATAGTACAATATTTAATTACGATGTAAATTAATTTTGTTGTTTAGTGAAAAAAGGACAGTTAGTTATGCAAGGGAAATGTGAACGTTCGATTTACATCGAAATAGAAGAGACGATTACTCTTAGCTGGATTAACATCGATCTTTATATCGGTGGAGAGATGGAAAAAAATCTTTTTCCAGTTCTGTGAGTATTTACATACATAAATAATTCGTGAAGTTGACAATAATTCCCTTACGGAGGATGTAAAGTCAACTAGATCGACTCCACCTGACACTTAGAATTAATTAGTAGCGTACCAAGTTTTGATAGTTTCGATGACGTTCCACTTTACCATAAAAATTACTCTCATTGAATTGTACTTATTGAAACGTACACAGATTGCCATTAACATAACAAATAAGTGGACATGGGCAAAGGATTGGCATCGCTTTGGAAAAATGGTTCTAAGAAATGTTACAATAGCCTGCGGTTCCACTTTCGTAATCAGACCCGTTGCCTTTTTAAAAACACCAAAGAGGGTGCACGATGCATAAAAACAGTACAACATGCACTTTAAAGTATTAATAACAGTTGCACAATTATTATTAACAATAGGTTTCAACTCGAAGGGGAACCGTAACACCGAAGAACCACTTCTTTGGATCGTAGTCTTTCGAGTTCAGGATTAATTCTTCACTATGAACACAATCACTCTTGATACTTTTAATGGGAAACTGACTTATTTGTTATGAAAATCTACTGTTGGTTTCCGAAGAAAACGAACAGCACCAAATACTGAAAAACATAACCTATACAGGTAGCAGGACTTGTCGTAGATATTTCCTTCGACCTGAGCCCATTGGGTCTTTAAAATCTTCAGTTGTTGCAAGATGCTTTAAAAAAAACTCCAAAACGTGCACCTTCAAATATTGACAATTACATTACTTATAATAGATTCCATATCGAAGAAAAACCATCTTAAGTAACACCAAAGAACCATTTCTTTGGATCGTAACACCCTTTGAGCTTAGGATTCCAAAAATTGTGCCATTTTTTTTCAAGGAATTAAGGCGTTATGAAAGTGTCATTACATATTTATGTACTAGAGAGGTTAGTTAATCGTTTATGAAACTTTTCTCCGAACTGGATGCACCGATTCGTTTTAATCTTTACTATATGAATATGGAAGCCTTAAAGTACATCCTGAAACTCATGAATTCATTTCATTTGATATCCAAAAATTTGTTTATTATGGCGCTGTTACTCCAATAGAGTTTTAAAGATCATGAGTTGGGGCGAATTCTCAAGTTGTAGTTTGATCTCTTTATAATCACTCTATTGAATTTACGTATGGAACACTTAATTTCGTATAATTCTCAACATAGAGTGTAAGAAACATCACGATAAATATAAATGTTGGTAATACGACGCACGAGCTTATGTTACCATTTGAGTATCTAAAATGCTGTTACCACCGAAACATGTATAGATGAATTTTACACTATCAACGTAGATTACAATATGCAATGGCACTTCCATAACACCTTAATCCTCCATTTTGAAGAAGACAAACCCTCTCCTCTTGATGATAAGCTAAATCATCCGTTATGAAACACCACTGGTGGTTCCCAGCGGAAAGACCCTAACCTGTCGATCGGAGAGTTTGTACAGATAGCACGACCTCTCAGCCCACTTGTACTTCTTGCGAACCGAATCCACTTTCCATCGAATATTCATCCTGCCCGAAACATCGTTAGCCTTCCCCGAGGCAAGTGGCTGGACGGTAACGACCAGGTCCGCCGTATGCTTCAAACCAATCGCAATCATATCCGGCTGACAGCTATCATGGTCTGCTTTATAGGTATGCGTCATAATGTACAAGGACACCATAGGCTCGAACTCCATCAAGGACCTTAAATACCGAACGACGAACCACACATCCTTAAGGCTAAGCTGCGCATCGAAGAGATGGCTGAGGTCATCCACTATAATAACTACGGAGTCCCTCGAGTCGAGCACCTCGAAGCACTTATCTCTGAGAGGAAACAAAAGTTTGCGTCCAATATTGGCATCGAACTTCATCGAGTTTGGTGCTTGACTGTTCTCCGGTTCCTTCGGCTTCCTTTCGCAGAGATTTACACTGTCTGCATCCACCGAGTCGTGGCCCAACTCTTCGATCTCACAACTCACTAGCGACATCGGCTCGATCACTGCCACCTGTCCTCGCTCTCTCAGTACGCTGAGATTGTATCCGAGCTTCATGCCTATGTTGTGGTAATGGCTGAATGTGTTATGGAAAAGCACCAGACAGACTCCTTGACCCTTCTCCAGGGCTCCGGCAAGGATCGAATTCACCAGGAAGTTCGCATCGCTGCCATGCTGCTCCTCGATCAGGGTCATCATTCCGTTCATGTCCACTCGGTCTATGCCCAGCACTCCACATACCGAGTCCGTCATCCTGGCTTAATACTGTTCTGCGCCAACTTGAACAATCGATAGTAATATTAAAAATTAATGTTCATTTTGGAATTAAATTATCTGACGTGCCACAAATTAAAATAAAACTACTCACCGAAATACGGGAATATATCCTGCTTATTTTAACGCCTCATATAAAAGAACGCCACTTCGCATTCGGTAAATCCTGTAATTATATTTCTTAATTGAACGACGATGGATAATCAAAAAACATGACTAGAATAATGTTCGGTGAGAATCTATCAGCCTCGTACGCTTATTTTAAAATCCTGAGCGGAAGTATTGCACTATTTATGGGTAAACCACGATTCGTTCTAAAATGAATTATTTTACTAACGTTAAAAACATTTTAGAACGACAGAGATGATTAAATATCAAAACTGAGACTACAGTATCTATCGTTACATTTCTGTCAATGCTTATTTTAATCATATAGCTGTGTTTGACGAGTGTCCTCGTCATAAAAACACATGTTTCAAATAGGTCGCAATGGCTAACTGGTTAATATTCTGCCTCAAGATTTTAATCCTAGGAATACAATAATTAATAAATAGTCACGACGACCGATCGTTTCAATATTCTAATAACTACGCTATTTTACAACAGCATATACAATAAAATATCAACGCTTCAATTCGCAATCACATTACCTCGTAGGCAAACAATAGTAAAATATTGTTCGGCAGGAGATATTATTATCAACCAACAATTTAATGATTTTCATCCAGTCATTCTGCAACATGCAATTCCAGATAACAACAATCTCTGAAGTAGAATGTTGCTAAATTAGTCATTAAAGGATAATTAATTACCGACAAAGTGAATTCCTCGCGGTGGAATATTGAAGCCGTGAACGTCAGTTTATAAATATAAAATGATGATCACAGTGTGGTTAACCTAACCTCAAACACGCCTTGACTGACTCCGACTCTATGCTGCTGACCTCGGCCTTGTCGGGCTTTGTGGGAGAGGAAGAGAGAAAAAATAACCTCTCTTTTCGGTTCTCAATCCCTCTCGATACTTTAATAAGAATAGCAAAGGGATAATTCGGATTTTAAGCTTCATATTTCCGAGGTTTATTGTCGAAAAGCATTTGAGAATGATTTCATTTATTTGATTTATTTCGTAATCGTGTATAATGGTTTCGAAATTGGCGCGCAATATGGCGGATTTTAACCTCGCTTCCTGATTGGCTGGACTCATTCTAATCATTCTGCGTATTTCCAGGTAAATTCAAGGTAACCATGAAATAAACATGCCCTGCAATACTTGTCAAACTAAGTTTTCCGTTTTCACCCGCGAAGTAAGTATACGTAAGTAAATGTTTACAGATTAGTGTAATAGTAATCAGTTTAACTTGTTTCATAATTTTCCCCTTCCTAGGTTATGTTCGCGGCGAATGTTTCTGGTATTAGATGGTTTTACTTTTAAGTCCTAACCTAAAATGGGCGCTGCCAGTTTTAGTTTGAATTTATTTACTGGTTTTAATGTGTCACTTCACGATTGTAATTACGAATAATCAAATATTTACTTCACTTTCGTACGATAGCTTTTATACTTCTGTAATGGCATTCATTTTATATAATTTTATATCGTTGCATCTTGAGAACGTCTTTCCGGAAGAATCAAGTTCAGAAGTTACTCGTAAGACATTATTTCTACGATAAATAGACAACATTATGTACAAGAAGAATTTAGTTTTGTACAAAGTACTTGTATATGCGTAGTTTCATTTAAAATATAAGTATACAGTTTAAAGCGTAGTTACTTCAACAGGTGGGGTGCCCAGCGTGTGGATTTTCTTACTGCAAATCGTGCCTTCGGTATAAAGTCGATCTGCCGAACATTGGTACTAAAAAAGTCTGTGGAAAATGTTGGAATAAGCAACAAAAGATGTTAGGGGCAAACGCAGACTCTGGTGCCGATGCCGAAGTCAGTTCGGAAGCAGTAACGGCGCAGCAAGGAACTGCACGTAAAGTCGAGCGATTGTCCAGGTTTGTAAACCGTAAAAATTATATCTACGTTAATTTATTTTATCTTATAGTATATTTCTGACATTTATAACAAGCATGTGCAAGATACAGCATAAAGCATTTCAGAAATATATAAATTAAATTTTCAGGTAAAGTTTAGCTAAACGTGAATTTTTTATTTTTTCAAGTTTAAGGTTAAGTACTGGAGATTATTTTATTTTGACCAAAATTTTTACAGGCGCGTCGATAAGTACCTACTCTAGATTACGGTATGACGATATTAAGAGTGTGTAATTTATTAATCATTTTAATTCGACAGTTTGGAGATTCCTAAATATTTGGCGGAATCTTCATCTACCGAGGAGTCAAGTAAACATCAGGACGAGAACAAGAACAACGAGAGTCCAATCGACAAACAGATCATCGAGCGTCTTAGCAAACTCCGAGGAGATGACTTGTCACGTCCAGTACCTACCGATGAGGAAATCAAAGAACGGCTGGACCGACTCAAGGACACAGACTCGACAATGATGGACCTCGCGAAAAGACTCGGGTTGGAAAAGCAACATGCAGAACAAAACGTAACGACCCTTTCTCATCTTACAAAGGACCTTATGAATCTAAACACGCACTGCAATTTTAGTTTCTTACATTAACCTCAAAAACCAGAACTAATGCCAATAAACTCTTACGGCAGAATATCTTTAAGCTTCGGCAGTTAAAATCATGAAGTAATTGTTGCTAAACATTGCGTATATACTTATTAATTAGTTCTAATAATATAAAACTTTCAGTTGAAGCCTGAGGATTTAATGCAACAATACTTAGAGCGATTAGAGCTGGAACGAGCTTCGAAACCTGACCCTTACGTGGAAGTCGAGTCTCGATTGAATGCATTGAAGAGAGATGGCAATCTAGAAGTATGTACGCAGTATTAACATTTTCTTTCTGGTACTGAACGTTTCATAAAAAGATGTTATGTTTAAACAGAGTCAGTCTTCAAAACAACCAAAGCCGAGAGAAGATGACTCGGATGATGAAGACGCCGTGATGAAACGATTAATTAGGAGAGCGTTGGCAGAAGCTACGCTGGAGGCTAGAGAATTGGATGGAAGCACCGAAGCTGAAGTCGAAGTAAGTATTGTATTCTCCCTTAATACGTAACCTATCGGAATGTATTGGATTAGCATTGTTTTCTTTATTTCAAAATGGGTCCTATTGAGCAAAATTGAATGTGTTGAATTTGTATTTTTTCGTATCTTAAAATGGGCCTTATTAGGCGAGATTTAGCACATTAATAATTAATATATTTACCCTTCGTTGTTCACGCCATGAGGTAGATTTAAGGTCTGCAGTAATGTCGGAAATTCTTCGAGATACTCCCCCCCGAAAAATCCTGTAGCCTAGTTTTTTTCCATCGGAAAACCCCATAACGGAATTTTTCCCCCACTTTTTGGTTTCCTTGCACGTCGTTAAGGGCGCTGCAGTCAGTGTCGCCAACTATACAACTATTATAACATCTATACTATTATTTTAGTCCATTAAACTGCACTTTTAGAACATTAATACACGAATTTTACTATTTCAGTAGAAAATGAAACTGACTTTTGTAATAAACCTTTAAATGTTCATACGGCACGAACTTATGAGTATAAAAGAAAGAATATAATATTTTTACGTAGTGTTAGATATTTCTAGATATTGTAAAATAGAAGAGTATGAAGTGTTTGAAAATTGCAGTAAAAATTGTTTATCTGTTCAGAGTACATTGACTGCGAGGCAAGCTGCATCGGAAGAAGACGAACTTGAAGCCGTCGATGCACTGACGCAGAAACTTCTCGAACAAGCCTTTAAGGAAACAGCTCTTGAATCGGAACACGAAGATGAGGTAAGTCGAAGGCATAATTATAAATCACAGCCTGCGTAGCTGGGCGATCGAAGGAACATCATTTGTCAAAGTAACATGGACTTGGAATTAAAAGTAAGAGGTTAGAATATGGAAGTCGGAAGAGGGTTAGTTTTAACTGAAATAATTAAGAACTTATCTGCGATTTCACACTGTAACGGGACCAGAGCGAACAGTAAATTAGTTTCTGTTTGACAGAGTACGCCGGAAACCGAAGATTCACTTTCCAGTTCACTGGATTCGGAATCGGAGGACGAGAAGAAGCGCAAGAAGAAATGTATAAAGCTATGATTCGTCATCGTAGGAATCTAGAAATCTCATTCCAGCGACGCAGTGCTCATCTTTGACAGGAATTCAGGTTTTGATTTAAAGTACATAGTGAGTCATCTCGTTCACGTTCTAAATTTACAAACGTCTGTTTCTATCTGCCTCTTTTCTTTCTTTTCTTAAATGCAGCTTTATAAGATATGAATCGTCGGATGGAACATGTCATGGCATTTTTATCCGCCTCTTTCTCCTACAAAAGCAACTAAATAGGTTATGAATTGTCGGATGGAACATAATGTCATCGGAATTTTATCTGCGTCTTTTTACAAAAGCAGCTTTACAGTTTATAAATTGTTGGATGGAACGTAATGCCATGGCAATTTTATAAACCACAGTTTTAAAAAAGACTCGTACAAATAGCTTTAACACTTTGCGAGGCGTTGCTGTGAAATGTTTATAACGTATTTACCCCCGACAGTTAAATATAGAACGATGAATTTTACAAACAAGGCGCATAAGTCGACGTTATCCAAAAGTCTATGAAAATGTTTAAGTCGAATTCTTTGCATTGCTGTCTTTTTTTTTTCTTTACTACGTCCTTTCTACACGCCTTCGGCTAATATATGGAATAAAGAAATAAGCTTCTCGAGCAATGCGTCTTTTTTAGAATTGACCAGCAGTCATCGTGTTTCCCGAATCGTCGTTTCTCCTTCTTTCCACTTTCTCGACTCGGCGACGCAAAAACTCAAGCACGCCGGCTTTTTATTTTTAGAAGCCACTCCGACCTGCAAATCCGCGGCTTTGTGCCAGCTATCGCGATAAAAAAGTGCGCCTACTCGCTAAAAGAACGAAATTCCGCGGCCGCCATTTTGGATACTTCCTCCGTTCTTGAACAGAGAAACATAAGAGCCTTAAGGTATTACTTCCCTAAATGCACTTTTCTTACCATTTTTTTCCCAGAATATTATATCAGCCTGAAATTAGGTGATAAGAACCCTCTATTTCATACCTCCTTACGATGCAAGTGGGTTAAGGAAACGTTTTCCTCGGTGTAAACGAGGTTAGGAAGGGGAAATAACGAACTCGCAGCTAACGGGCAGCCACTGGCTCGCCCTGGCGGCGTTTATTCGAAGCGTGCACTGTGCACCTGCGGCTCGACGAAAAACGGAACGCCCTCAGGAAGCGGAACATCGTCCTGTGAACACTCGGGCGTAGAAAGCGTTAACTTTTGGTCGCGACCTCTATGTACTTGTTGCGTTAAACCGCATTGACTAGCGCAGCCACGAGTGGTCCTCGAGATGGGCTTCGGGTAGTCGTCGACCTTGAAGAGGGACCAAGATGGTTCCTTCAAGTAGTTATCAACTTTGAAGAGAGCAAGTTGGTTCCTTTAAGTAGTTATCAACCTTGAAGAGGGGCCAGGATGGTTCCTTCAGGTAGTTATTAACCTTGAAGTGATACCAAGATGGTTATTAACCTTGAAGTGATACCAAGATGGTTTTTTCAAGTAGTTATCAACCTTGAATAGGGACCAGGATGGCTCCTTTTCAAGTTGTTATCAACGTTGAAGAGGGACCAAGATGGGTCCTTCAGTTACTAATCTTGAATAGGGACCAAGATGGTTCCTTCAAGTAGTTATCAACTTTGAAGAGGGATCAAAATGGTTCCTTCAAGTAGTTATTAACCTTGAAGAGGGGCCAGGATGGTTCCTTCAGGTAGTTATTAACCTTCAAGAGAGACCAAGATGGTCTTTTCAAGTAGTTATCAACCTTGAATAGGGACCAGGATGGCTCCTTTTCAAGTAGTTATCAACGTTGAAGAGGGACCAAGATGGGTCCTTCAGTTACTAATCTTGAATAGGGACCAAGATGGTTCCTTCAAGTAGTTATCAACTTTGAAGAGGGATCAAAATGGTTCCTTCAAGTAGTTATTAACCTTGAAGAGGGGCCAGGATGGTTCCTTCAGGTAGTTATTAACCTTGAAGAGAGACCAAGATGGTCTTTTCAAGTAGTTATCAACCTTTGAAGAGGGACCAGGATGGTTCCTTCAGGTAGTTACCAACTTTGAAGAGAGACCAAGTTGGTTCCTTTAAGTAGTTATCAACCTTGAAGAGGGGCCAGGATGGTTCCTTCAGGTAGTTATTAACCTTCAAGAGAGACCAAGATGGTCTTTTCAACTAGTTATCAACCTTGAATAGGGACCAGGATGGCTCCTTTTCAAGT